ACACTCGGTCCCTACACTCGGTCCCTACACCCGGTCCCTACACCCGGTCCCTACACTCGGTCCCTACACCCGGTCCCTACACCCGGTCCCTACACCCGGTCCCTACACCCGGTCCCTACACCCGGTCCCTACACTCGGTCCCTATACCCGGTCCCTACACTCGGTCCCTGCACCCGGTCCCTACACCCGGCCCCTACACCCGGTCCCTACACCCGGTCCCTACACTCGGTCCCTACACTCGGTCCCTACACCCGGTCCCTACACCCGGTCCCTACACCCGGTCCTACACCCGGTCCCTACACCCGGTCCCTACACCCGGTCCCTACACCCGGTCCCTACACCCGGTCCCTACACCCGGTCCCTACACCCGGTCCCTACACTCGGTCCCTGCACCCGGTCCCTACACCCGGCCCCTACACCCGGTCCCTACACCCGGTCCCTACACTCGGTCCCTACACTCGGTCCCTACACCCGGTCCCTACACCCGGTCCCTACACCCGGTCCTACACCCGGTCCCTACACCCGGTCCCTACACCCGGTCCCTACACCCGGTCCCTACACCCGGTCCCTACACCCGGTCCCTACACTCGGTCCCTACACCCGGTCCCTACACTCGGTCCCTTCACCCGCCTCCTACACCCGCCCCCGGCCTCTACCCCCGGCCTCAACACGCGGTCTCTCTGTGTGCAGGGCAGCAGGTGGAGCAGCAGGTGGAGCAGCAGGTGGAGCAGCAGGTGGAGCAGCAGGTGGAGCAGCAGGTGGAGCAGCCGGCCTGTCTGTTCTGCTTCTTCTCGTTGCCAAACGCTGGATTCCTGTACAGTGTGAGGGGAGCTGTGGAGCTGCTGTCGACCTATCAGTATCCAGAGAAGGTTCTGGAGGCTGTGCTGACCGACCACCTGCTGCATGTGGTGACCAGGTGAGAGACCAGGTGGGAGAATCACAGGGACAGACCAGGTGAGAGACACACAGGGACAGACCAGGTGAGAGAGATACAGGGACAGACCAGGTGAGAGAGACACAGGGACAGACCAGGTGAGAGAGATACAGGGACAGACCAGGTGAGAGAGACACAGGGACAGACCAGGTGAGAGAGACACAGGGACAGACCAGGTGAGAGAGATACAGGGACAGACCAGGTGAGAGAGACACAGGGACAGACCAGGTGAGAGAGACACAGGGACAGACCAGGTGAGAGACACACAAGGACAGACCAGGTGAGAGACACACAAGGACAGACCAGGTGAGAGACACACAGGGACAGACAAGGTGAGAGACACACAGGGACAGACCAGGTGAGAGACACACAAGGACAGACCAGGTGAGAGACACACAGGGACAGACCAGGTGAGAGACACACAAGGACAGACCAGGTGAGAGACTCACAGGGACAGACCAGGTGAGAGACACACAGGGACAGACCAGGTGAGAGACAGACCAGGTGAGAGACACACAAGGACAGACCAGGTGAGAGACACACAAGGACAGACCAGGTGAGAGACACACAGGGACAGACCAGGTGAGAGACACACAGGGACAGACCAGGTGAGAGACACACAAGGACAGACCAGGTGAGAGACACACAGGGACAGACAAGGTGAGACACACAAGGACAGACCAGGTGAGGGTGGTTTGAAAGTTAGGTACCCTGGCTTTAGTTGGGATAGTGTGGTAAAGATGTGTGTTGGTGTTTACAGTGTGTCTTTGTCTCTGTTGAAATGAAGGAGTGCGCTGCAGTGTTTCACGGTCCGCTGTGCAGCTCTCGCAGCGAGGATCGACGACGCCTACATCGACACCACCATGAAGGTACGTCCCTCTGTCTGTCCCTCTGTCCGTCCCTCTGTCCGTCCCTCTGTCTGTCCCTCTGTGGGGGAAAGTTGATGATAAACGTTTTATCTCTGACACTGTCGTCACCCTCTGTCCGTCCCTCTGTCCGTCCCTCTGTCCGTCCCTCTGTCCGTCCCTCTGTCCGTCCCTCTGTCCGTCCCTCTGTCCGTCCCTCTGTCCGTCCCTCTGTCCGTCCCTCTGTCCGTCCCTCTGTCCGTCCCTCTGTCCGTCCCTCTGTCCGTCCCTCTGTCCGTCCCTCTGTCCGTCCCTCTGTCCGTCCCTCTGTCCGTCCCTCTGTCCGTCCCTCTGTCCGTCCTTCTGTCCGTCCTCTGTCCGTCCCTGTCCGTCCTCTGTCCGTCCTCCTTCTGTCCGTCCCTCTGTCCGTCCCTCTGTATGTCCCTCTGTCCGTCCCTCTGTATGTCCCTCTGTCCGTCCCTCTGTCCGTCCCTCTGTCCGTCCCTCTGTCCGTCCCTCTGTCTGTCCCTCTGTCTGTCCCTCTGTCTGTCCCTCTGTCTGTCCCTCTGTCCGTCCCTCTGTCCGTCCCTCTGTCCGTCCCTCTGTCCGTCCCTCTGTCCGTCCCTCTGTCCGTCCCTCTGTCCGTCCCTCTGTATGTCCCTCTGTCCGTCCCTCTGTATGTCCCTCTGTCCGTCCCTCTGTCCGTCCCTCTGTCCGTCCCTCTGTCCGTCCCTCTGTCCGTCCCTCTGTCCGTCCCTCTGTCCGTCCCTCTGTCTGTCCCTCTGTCTGTCCCTCTGTCTGTCCCTCTGTCCGTCCCTCTGTCCGTTCCTCTGTCCGTCCCTCTGTCCGTCCCTCTGTCCGTCCCTCTGTATGTCCCTCTGTCCGTCCCTCTGTATGTCCTTCTGTCCGTCCCTCTGTCCGTCCCTCTGTCCGTCCCTCTGTCCGTCCCTCTGTCCGTCCCTCTGTCCGTCCCTCTGTCCGTCCCTCTGTCCGTCCCTCTGTCCGTCCCTCTGTCCGTCCCTCTGTCCGTCCCTCTGTCCGTCCCTCTGTCGTCCCTCTGTCCGTCCCTCTGTCCGTCCCTCTGTCCGTCCCTCTGTCCGTCCCTCTGTCCGTCCCTTCTGTCCGTCCCTCTGTCCGTCCCTCTGTCCGTCCTTCTGTCCGTCCCTCTGTCCGTCCCTCTGTATGTCCCTCTGTCCGTCCCTCTGTATGTCCCTCTGTCCGTGTCCCTCTGTCCGTCCCTCTGTCCGTCCCTCTGTCCGTCCCTCTGTCCGTCCCTCTGTCTGTCCCTCTGTCTGTCCCTCTGTCTGTCCCTCTGTCCGTCCCTCTGTCCGTCCCTCTGTCCGTCCCTCTGTCCGTCCCTCTGTCCGTCCCTCTGTCCGTCCCTCTGTCCGTCCCTCTGTCCGTCCCTCTGTATGTCCCTCTGTCCGTCCCTCTGTATGTCCTTCTGTCCGTCCCTGTCGTCCCTCTGTCCGTCCCTCTGTCCGTCCCTCTGTCCGTCCCTCTGTCCGTCCCTCTGTCCGTCCCTCTGTCCGTCCCTCTGTCCGTCCCTCTGTCCGTCCCTCTGTCCGTCCCTCTGTCTGTCCCTCTGTCCGTCCCTCTGTCGTCCCTCTGTCTGTCCCTCTGTCTGTCCCTCTGTCTGTCCCTCTGTCCGTCCCTCTGTCCGTCCCTCTGTCCGTCCCTCTGTCCGTCCCTCTGTCCGTCCCTCTGTCCGTCCTCTGTCCCTCTGTCCGTCCCTCTGTCCGTCCCTCTGTCCGTCCCTCTGTCCGTCCCTCTGTCCGTCCCTCTGTCCGTCCTTCTGTCCGTCCCTCTGTCCGTCCCTCTGTCCGTCCTTCTGTCCGTCCCTCTGTCCGTCCCTCTGTATGTCCCTCTGTCCGTCCCCCTGTATGTCCCTCTGTCCGTCCCTCTGTCCGTCCGTCCCTCTGTCCGTCCCTCTGTCCGTCCCTCTGTCTGTCCCTCTGTCTGTCCCTCTGTCTGTCCCTCTGTCTGTCCCTCTGTCCGTCCCTCTGTCCGTCCCTCTGTCCGTCCCTCTGTCCGTCCCTCTGTCCGTCCCTCTGTCCGTCCCTCTGTATGTCCCTCTGTCCGTCCCTCTGTATGTCCTTCTGTCCGTCCCTCTGTCCGTCCCTCTGTCCGTCCCTCTGTCCGTCCCTCTGTCCGTCCCTCTGTCCGTCCCTCTGTCCGTCCCTCTGTCCGTCCCTCTGTCCGTCCCTCTGTCCGTCCCTCTGTCGTCCCTCTGTCGTCCCTCTGTCTGTCCCTCTGTCTGTCCCTCTGTCCGTCCCTCTGTCTGTCCCTCTGTCCGTCCCTCTGTCCGTCCCTCTGTCTGTCCCTCTGTGGGGGAAAGTTGATGATAAACGTTTTATCTCTGACACTGTCGTCACCCTCTGTCCGTCCCTCTGTCCGTCCCTCTGTCCGTCCCTCTGTCCGTCCCTCTGTCCGTCCCTCTGTCCGTCCCTTCTGTCCGTCCCTCTGTCCGTCCTTCTGTCCGTCCCTCTGTCCGTCCCTCTGTATGTCCCCTCTGTCCGTCCCTCTGTATGTCCCTCTGTCCGTCCCTCTGTATGTCCCTCTGTCCGTCCCTCTGTCCGTCCCTCTGTATGTCCCTCTGTCCGTCCCTCTGTCCGTCCCTCTGTATGTCCCTCTGTCCGTCCCTCTGTATGTCCCTCTGTCCGTCCCTCTGTCCGTCCCCTCTGTCCGTCCCTCTGTCTGTCCCTCTGTCTGTCCCTCTGTCTGTCCCTCTGTCCGTCCTTCTGTCCGTCCCTCTGTCCGTCCCTCTGTCCGTCCCTCTGTCCGTCCCTCTGTATGTCCCTCTGTCCGTCCCTCTGTATGTCCTTCTGTCCGTCCCTCTGTCCGTCCCTCTGTCCGTCCCTCTGTCCGTCCCTCTGTCCGTCCCTCTGTCCGTCCCTCTGTCCGTCCCTCTGTCCGTCCCTCTGTCCGTCCCTCTGTCCGTCCCCTCTGTCTGTCCCTCTGTCCGTCCCTCTGTCCGTCCCTCTGTCCTGTCCCTCTGTCCGTCCCTCTGTCCGTCCCTCTGTCGTCCCTCTGTCTGTCCCTCTGTCCGTCCCTCTGTCTGTCCCTCTGTCCGTCCCTCTGTCCGTCCCTCTGTCTGTCCCTCTGTGGGGGAAAGTTGATGATAAACGTTTTATCTCTGACACTGTCGTCACCCTCTGTCCGTCCCTCTGTCCGTCCCTCTGTCCGTCCCTCTGTCCGTCCCTCTGTCCGTCCCTCTGTCCGTCCTTCTGTCCGTCCCTCTGTCCGTCCTTCTGTCCGTCCCCTGTCTGTCCGTCCCTCTGTATGTCCCTCTGTCCGTCCCTCTGTATGTCCCTCTGTCCGTCCCTCTGTCCGTCCCTCTGTCCGTCCCTCTGTCCGTCCCTCTGTCCGTCCCTCTGTCCGTCCCTCTGTCCGTCCCTCTGTCCGTCCCCTGTCCGGCCCTCTGTCCGTCCCTCTGTCCGTCCCTCTGTCCGTCCCTCTGTCCGTCCCTCTGTCCGTCCCTCTGTCCGTCCCTCTGTCCGTCCCTCTGTCCGTCCCTCTGTCCGTCCCTCTGTCCGTCCCTCTGTCCGGTCCCTCTGTCTGTCCCTCTGTCCGTCCCTCTGTGGGGGAAAGTTGATGATAAACGTTTTATCTCTGACACTGTCGTCACATTCTGTCTTGTCGAGGATCATGATTCATTTCCTGCTTTGTTTGTAGAACCCTACAAACTTAAGAATCTCTAAAAAACTATTAGCGCTGCGTTTTGTACATAGACTGTATACTGTATATGCTAGCCCGCTAGCTCAATGCTAACCCGCAGTGCTCATGGACGTTTGCTCCGACTCTCTCTGGCCCTATTGACTTCCATGTAAAAGTAAACTCGTCTATCTCAGTAACTTTTGTCTGTCGTGTTTGTAAATCCAGATCTGAGCCCTGTAAGGCTTGACCTATCAGAGGCCTTTCGCTGGGAAGCCCCAGCTTGCCTTAGCAACATGTCTGCCACTGAAAAATTATGATTTTGATGAGGATTATGTACGGGATAATGTATATAATATATAATGTTCTCCCTGTGTCTGCATACGTTTCCTCCGGGTGCTCCGGTGTTTCCTACCATTAAAAATACGTACAATAGGTCTGACATCTTCTGAACGGTGATCCCGCTCCCATCTCTGTGCCATTGCCTAAAGGGTTGTGTTGTTGTATTGTGTGTGTGTGTGTGTGTGTGTGTGTGTAGGCCTGTCCCCCCTGTGGCCTGGAGGTGTGTGCGCTTCGGATGCAGTCGTTCATCGGCCTCAGATCGGTGTGTGTTAACGGCCGCAGTGTGGTGCTTCAGTCCAGGGTCGACCCGGAGCCTCCGGAGGAACCAGAGAGAACCCCCCAGCGCAGAGGCCTGTAAGACCCCCACAACAGCAGACTATTACTGTGAAGGTGCTGGGATTCTCTGCTTTGTTTCCTCACTCTAAGGAAGGAGGCAAGGAAGGAGGCAAGGAAGGGAACTAGGAAGGAGGCTAGGGAGAGGCCAGGAAGGAGGCTAGGAAGGAGGCAAGGAAGGAAACTAGGAAGGAGGCTAGGAAGGAGTCTAGGAAGGAGTCTAGGAAGGAGTCTAGGAAGGAGTCTAGGAAGGAGGCTAGGAAGGAGGCTAGGAAGGAGGCTAGGAAGGAGGCTAGGAAGGAGGCTAGGAAGGAGGCTAGGAAGGAGGCTAGGAAGGAGGCTAGGAAGGAGGCAAGGAAGGAGGCAAGGAAGGAGGCAAGGAAGGAAACTAGGAAGGAGGCTAGGGGGGAGGCTAGGAAGGAGGCAAGGGAGGCAAGGAAGGAGGCTAGGAAGGAGGCAAGGAAGGAGGCAAGGAAGGAAACTAGGAAGGAGGCTAGGGGGGAGGCTAGGAAGGAGGCAAGGGAGGCAAGGAAGGAGGCTAGGGAGGAGGCAGGAAAGGAGGCAAGGAAGGAGGCAAGGAAGGAGGCTAAGAAGGAGGCTAAGAAGGAGGCTAAGAAGGAGGCTAAGAAGGAGGCTAAGAAGGAGGCTAAGAAGGAGGCTAAGAAGGAGGCTAAGAAGGAGGCTAAGAAGGAGGCTAAGAAGGAGGCTAAGAAGGAGGCTAAGAAGGAGGCTAAGAAGGAGGCTAAGAAGGAGGCTAAGAAGGAGGCTAAGAAGGAGACTAGGAAGGAGGCTAAGAAGGAGACTAGGAAGGAGGCTAGGAAGGAGGCTAGGAAGGAGGCAAGGAAGGAGGCTAGGGAGAGGCCAGGGAGGAGGCTAGGAAGGAGGCTAGGAAGGAGGCTAGGAAGGAGTCTAGGAAGGAGTCTAGGAAGGAGTCTAGGAAGGAGTCTAGGAAGGAGTCTAGGAAGGAGTCTAGGAAGGAGGCTAGGAAGGAGGCTAGGAAGGAGGCAAGGAAGGAAACTAGGAAGGAGGCTAGGGAGAGGCCAGGGGGGAGGCTAGGAAGGAGGCAAGGGAGGCAAGGAAGGAGGCTAGGGAGGAGGCAGGAAAGGAGGCAAGGAAGGAGGCAAGGAAGGAGGCTAAGAAGGAGGCTAAGAAGGAGGCTAAGAAGGAGGCTAAGAAGGAGGCTAAGAAGGAGGCTAAGAAGGAGGCTAAGAAGGAGGCTAAGAAGGAGGCTAAGAAGGAGGCTAAGAAGGAGGCTAGGAAGGAGGCTAAGAAGGAGGCTAAGAAGGAGGCTAAGAAGGAGACTAAGAAGGAGACTAGGAAGGAGACTAGGAAGGAGACTAGGAAGGAGACTAGGAAGGAGGCAAGGAAGGAGACTAGGAGGAAGCTAGGAAGGAGGCTAGGAAGGAGGCATGGAAGGAGGCTAAGAAGGAGGCTAAGAAGGAGACTAAGAAGGAGACTAAGAAGGAGACTAAGAAGGAGACTAAGAAGGAGGCTAAGAAGGAGGCTAAGAAGGAGGCTAAGAAGGAGGCTAAGAAGGAGGCTAAGAAGGAGGCTAAGAAGGAGGCTAAGAAGGAGGCTAAGAAGGAGGCTAAGAAGGAGACTAGGAAGGAGACTAGGAAGGAGACTAGGAAGGAGACTAGGAAGGAGGCAAGGAAGGAGACTAGGAGGAAGCTAGGAAGGAGGCTAGGAAGGAGGCATGGAAGGAGGCTAAGAAGGAGGCTAAGAAGGAGGCGAGGAAGGAGGCTAAGAAGGAGACTAAGAAGGGGACTAAGAAGGAGACTAAGAAGGAGACTAAGAAGGAGACTAGGAAGGAGGCTAGGAAGGGGACTAAGAAGCAGACTAAGAAGCAGACTAAGAAGCAGACTAAGAAGGAGACTAAGAAGGAGACTAAGAAGGAGACTAAGAAGGAGACTAAGAAGGAGACTAAGAAGGAGACTAAGAAGGAGACTAAGAAGGAGGCATGGAAGGAGGCTAGGAAGGAGGCTAGGAAGGAGGCTAGGAAGGAGGCTAGGAAGGAGGCTAGGAAGGAGGCTAAGAAGGAGGCTAAGAAGGAGGCTAAGAAGGAGGCTAAGAAGGAGGCTAAGAAGGAGGCTAAGAAGGAGGCTAAGAAGGAGACTAAGAAGGAGACTAAGAAGGAGACTAAGAAGGAGACTAAGAAGGAGGCTAAGAAGGGGGCTAAGAAGGGGGCTAAGAAGGGGGCTAAGAAGGAGGCTAAGAAGGAGGCTAAGAAGGAGGCTAAGAAGGAGGCTAAGAAGGAGGCTAAGAAGGAGGCTAAGAAGGAGACTAAGAAGGAGACTAAGAAGGAGACTAAGAAGGAGACTAAGAAGGAGACTAAGAAGGAGACTAAGAAGGAGACTAAGAAGGAGACTAAGAAGGAGGCTAGGAAGGAGGCTAGGAAGGAGGCTAGGAAGGAGGCTAGGAAGGAGGCTAGGAAGGAGGCATGGAAGGAGACTAAGAAGGAGGCATGGAAGGAGGCTAGGAAGGAGACTAGGAAGGAGACTAAGAAGGAGGCATGAAAGGAGGCTAGGAAGGAGGCAAGGGAGGAGACTAAGAAGGAGGCATGGAAGGAGGCTAGGAAGGGGACTAAGAAGGAGGCATGGAAGGAGGCTAGGAAGGAGACTAAGAAGGAGGCATGGAAGGAGGCTAGGAAGGAGACTAAGAAGGAGGCTAGGGAGGACACTAGGAAAAAGACTAGGAAGAAGGGAGAAGACAAGGAAAGAGACTATAAAGCAGCCAAGGAAGGGGACTAGGAAGGAGGAGGAGTGGGAAGGAGGATAGCAAGGGATTATGAAGGAACTTAGAAAGCAAACTAACAAAGGGCTAGGAAGAAGAGCAGGAAGGTCACTAGGAAGGAGACAAGGAAGACATTTAGACTGAAGATTAGGCAAGGGGCTAAGAAGAGGTCTCAGAAAAAGGAGGAAGACTAGGGAGAAAGCTAAGAAGTACACTATGAATGAGGGAAGAAGACTAGGAAGAAGCAAATGCTAGAAAGTGGACTAGGACGGAGCCTAGGAAGAGGACTAGGGAGAAGACCCCTCTCACCTCGTGTTTGTGTTGTGATTGTGATTGTAGCGAGTTGAAAGAGCGCACCACTCTGGCTGGTATTTTCATGGCCGTGGGAATTGACCCCACAACCTCACCAGCTCTGGAGAGTCTCCTGTCACACTCACTTTTGTAAGACAGACCACCTCCCACCCCCCTGACCTCTGACCCCAGACCCTGCCGTCACCTCCAAACCCTGCTGCAAACTCTTACGTTCAGTTGGTTCTCGGAGAGTTTTTAAATGTTAGTTTTTCATGTTTGTGCAGTTTTGTTTGAAGGTGACGGAGTATTTAGCTGCTAACTGTAGATCTAACCCGTCTAACCGCCTGGTGTGCGCTGTCTTAACTCCAGGACTAACGTCAGGCCAAAACCACATCACTGCAACTATCAATGGATCTCAAAATACATCCATTTTCTTCCGCTCCATCCACTGCTGGGTTTCAGGGGCAGCAGTCTGAGCAGAGACACAGACTGTCAGCTCATCTGGACCAGCGGAGACAGTCTCCCCCGGACCAGAGGAGGTGTGCTGGACATGCCCAGAACACCTCCTCTGGGAGACGCCCAGGAGGCACCTGGACGAGCCTCCACATGACTCCTGTCCATGTGGAGGAGCAGCAGCTCTACTTCGAGCACCTCCTGTGTGACTATACTCCTCACCCTTTTCTCTAAGGGAGCTCATCTCTTCCTCCTTTCAGCCATTACCCAAACACCAAAAGCTTTGAGTAATCTATAAATAAAAAATAAATAAAGTATTTGTCATTTGTTGTTTAGTATATTTCTGTGTAATATTCTTACTACACACGATCAGCGCAGTGGCTGAGTGGTTAGCACAAGAAGGACCAAGGTTGGGTCTGCAGCACTAACAGTTTGAGACAGACTTAGTGTTGTGTGTTCTCTCCCTCTTTCTGCTGTAGGACTCTGCTGAGTATGAGCTTCTCCTGCGGTTTTGGCCTCAGACTGAACTAACTTTAGTTCTAACCTGTTGTGTGGAAGTGTGTGTGCGTCAGTTTAGTGATTTGTGTTTCTCTGTGTGTTTGTGTTGTCTTCAGGAGCAGGAAGTGGGCTCCGTCTGCCCCCAGAGGGCAGAGTGCAGAGGGACACGGCTGGAACCTGTACGTGGTCAACACTGTGTCCCCCATCCAGCTGTACCAGGAGATGGTAACACACACATGCACACTATCATGCACATACACACATACATACACGCACACATTTACACAATCACATACACCTTGTGGCAAAATGAGGAACAGACAGGTAGGGTCATTTAACATATTTATTGTAAATAATGAAAATAACAAACTAAAGATAATAATTAACAAGAATGAGGTGTGAGCAGTGGAATGTGTGCATGTGTCTGAGTGTGAAAACCAGTGTATGTGTGCATGTGTCTGAGTGTGAAAACCAGTGTATGTGTGCATGTGTCTGAGTGTGAAAACCAGTGTATGTGTGCATGTGTCTAAGTGTGAAAACCAGTGTATGTGTGCATGTGTCTGAGTGTGAAAACCAGTGTATGTGTGCATGTGTCTAAGTGTGAAAACCAGTGTATGTGTGCATGTGTCTGAGTGTGAAAACCAGTGTATGTGTGCATGTGTCTGAGTGTGAAAACCAGTGTATGTGTGCATGTGTCTAAGTGTGAAAACCAGTGTATGTGTGCATGTGTCTGAGTGTGAAAACCAGTGTATGTGTGCATGTGTCTGAGTGTGAAAACCAGTGTATGTGTGCATGTGTCTGAGTGTGAAAACCAGTGTATGTGTGCATGTGTCTGAGTGTGAAAACCAGTGTATGTGTGCATGTGTCTAAGTGTGAAAACAAAGCTAATCTTAACGAATGACCAACGAATCTTAACGAAGATCCAGTACCTGGAGGGAGCAGAGACAGAGTGTTAGTGACACACACATTTATGCACAGGTGCCCCAATCACTGGGTCCTCCCTGCCAGAGAGGGAACCGCCCCTGTCAAGCACAAACACACATTTACATACATGCACACAATTACACAATCACACACACATACACACACACACATTTACATACATGCATACATTTACACAATCACACGCACACACATTTACATACATGCACACATACACGCCTATACACTATAACATACACACCTGCACATGCACATACACTATCACACATGCACGTTCACATGCACACATACATGCACACGTACACTATCACACATGCACACACACATGCACACATACACTATCACGGATGCACACAGACACACACACATGCACATTCGCTATCACACATGCACGCACGCACACACACACATGCACTATCACGGATACACACACACATGCACATACACTATCACACATGCACGCACACACACACACACACATGCACTATCACGGATACACACACACATGCACATACACTATCACACATGCACGCACACACACACATGCACGCACACACACACATGCACATGCACTATCACACATGCACGCACACACACACATGCACTATCACGGATGCACACACACGTGCACTATCACACATGCACGCACACACACACATGCACTATAACGGATGCACACACACGTGCACTATCACACATGCACGCACACACACACATGCACTATAACGGATGCACACACACGTGCACTATCACACATGCACGCACACACACACATGCACTATAACGGATGCACACACACGTGCACTATCACACATGCACGCACACACACACATGCACTATCACGGATGCACACACACGTGCACTATCACGGATGCACACACACCTAAATATTGTCGTTGTGTGAATAGTATATAATAAATATATAATGGGAATCATTTTGTGTGTACCCTGTGATGTTGCAGGTGGAGTACAGCCAGAGTTACTCTGTGGCCAATCCTCAGGCTCAGAGTCTCCGACACCTGCTGAGTGAGGCCCACCTGCTGCTGCGGGCCTCGCTGCTCACCGGGCCTCACCCACAGACCCTCCCACTGCAGGGGGAGGGAGGAGCAGAGACGGAGCCACAGAGAGCAGAGAGGGAGGAGCTGGAGGCTGCGCTCCGAGGGAACTGTGCAGACCTGGGAGACTGCTTCAGCAGGTCACACCACATTATTCACATTCATTATATATACTGTATAGATAGATAGATAGATACTTTATTGATCCCCCGTAGGAGAAATTCAGGTGTCCAGTAGCAGCAAAAATAGAAATAATATTGATCATTCTAAAAACATAATAATAGTAATAACTAGCAACAGCCCTTCAGGTCACAGCAGCACAGAAGGAGTGGCCTCTGGGTGGAGCAGGACGGGTCACAGCAGCAGAGGTGGAGTAGCCTCTGGGTGGAGCAGGACGGGTCACAGCAGCAGAGGTGGAGTAGCCTCTGGGTGGAGCAGGACGGATCACAGCAGCACAGGTGGTGTAGCCTCTGGGTGGAGCAGGACAGGTCACAGCAGCACAGAAGGAGTAGCCTCTGGGTGGAGCAGGACAGGTCACAGCAGCAGAGGTGGAGTAGCCTCTGGGTGGAGCAGGACGGATCACAGCAGCACAGGTGGTGTAGCCTCTGGGTGGAGCAGGACAGGTCACAGCAGCACAGGTGGTGTAGCCTCTGGGTGGAGCAGGACAGGTCACAGCAGCACAGAAGGAGTAGCCTCTGGGTGGAGCAGGACGGGTCACAGCGGCACACACACAAAATAAAATTATATATAGACTTTACTTTCATCTTTTAGACACAGACTGTTTATAGATGGACAGTAAACCTCTAGCTCCGAGGCCCAACAGGGAAGTGCTGATGGACGAAGCTAAAGTATTCATACAGCATTCATGCAGTATTCATGCAGTATTCATACATCGGGCGGCACGGTGGCTGAGTGGATAGCACTCTCGCCTCTCAGCAAGAAGGTCCTGGGTTCGAATCCCGGGCCGGGCCAGGGCCTTTCTGAGTGGAGTTTGCATGTTCTCCCCGTGTCTGCGTAGGTTTCCTCCGGGTACTCCGGTTTCCCCTACCACTAAAAATATGTACAATAGTTCTAGCATGCGCCTCCTGTACTGGCGACCCCGCTCCCATCTCTGTGTGGAGTGAGAGGACAAGTGCCCAAAAAATAACAATTGTAAAACCGCTTTGTGACTCTGGTTTGTGAAAGGCGGTATATAAATAAAGCTTACTTACTTACTTACTTACTTCATACAGCATTCATACAGTATTCATACAGCATTCATACAGTATTCATGCAGTATTCATGCAGTATTCATGCAGCATTCATACAGCATTCATACAGTATTCATACAGCATTCATACAGTATTCATGCAGTATTCATGCAGCATTCATACAGCATTCATACAGTATTCATGCAGTATTCATACAGTATTCATACAGCATTCATACAGTATTCATGCAGTATTCATGCAGCATTCATACAGCATTCATACAGCATTCATACAGTATTCATGCAGCATTCATACAGCATTCATACAGCATTCATACAGCATTCATACAGCATTCATACAGTATTCATGCAGTATTCATACAGTATTCATACAGTATTCATACAGTATTCATGCAGTATTCATACAGTATTCATACAGTATTCATACAGTATTCATGCAGTATTCATACAGTATTCATGCAGCATTCATACAGTATTCATACAGCATTCATACAGCATTCATACAGCATTCATACAGTATTCATGCAGTATTCATGCAGTATTCATGCAGTATTCATGCAGTATTCATGCAGTATTCATGCAGTATTCATACAGTATTCATACAGTATTCATACAGCATTCATGCAGTATTCATGCAGTATTCATGCAGTATTCATACAGCATTCATACAGTATTCATACAGTATTCATGCAGTATTCATACAGTATTCATGCAGCATTCATACAGTATTCATACAGTATTCATACAGCATTCATGCAGTATTCATGCAGTATTCATACAGTATTCATACAGCATTCATGCAGTATTCATGCAGTATTCATACAGTATTCATACAGTATTCATACAGCATTCATACAGTATTCATGCAGTATTCATGCAGTATTCATGCAGTATTCATGCAGTATTCATACAGTATTCATACAGTATTCATACAGTATTCATACAGTATTCATGCAGTATTCATGCAGTATTCATACAGTATTCATACAGCATTCATGCAGTATTCATGCAGTATTCATGCAGCATTCATGCAGTATTCATGCAGTATTCATACAGTATTCATACAGTATTCATACAGTATTCATGCAGTATTCATGCAGTATTCATGCAGTATTCATACAGTATTCATGCAGTATTCATACAGCATTCATGCAGTATTCATACAGTATTCATGCAGTATTCATGCAGTATTCATGCAGTATTCATGCAGTATTCATACAGTATTCATACAGTATTCATACAGCATTCATGCAGTATTCATGCAGTATTCATGCAGTATTCATGCAGTATTCATGCAGTATTCATACAGTATTCATGCAGTATTCATGCAGTATTCATGCAGCATTCATGCAGCATTCATACAGTATTCATACAACATTCATACAGTATTCATACAACATTCATACAGTATTCATGCAGTATTCATGCAGCATTCATGCAGCATTCATACAGTATTCATACAACATTCATACAGTATTCATGCAGCATTCATGCAGTATTCATGCAGTATTCATGCAGCATTCATGCAGCATTCATGCAGCATTCATACAGCATTCATACAGTATTCATGCAGCAAGAAGGATTTTCCCAAATTTTAGGAAATAACCGCCCTCCACTTTTTGAACAAAACTTACTGGTTTTATTGGACGAGCTCATATCACCAGAATGATTGACAGCTGGGAGGACCAATCGTCTTCATGATGCACCTGGAATTTGAAAATCCTCCGATATACTTTTAATATCCCTTTTGCTGCAGTGACCCGTCTTTTTTAGGGCGACAGTAGCTCAGTTGGTAGAGCATTGGCCTTAAGGCCAGAAGGTTGTGGGTTCAATTCCCACCTCTGCACCTTCTCCATCGACTCCCACTGATGACTGCTGTCGTTGTGTCCTTGGGCAAGACACTTAACCCCACTTTGCCCAAAGCCCCCACTGAAAGATCAAGGCTATGCTCACACTCAGAGAGCAGCCGTCCTCCTGTGGACTCACCACCTGCAGAGGGTCAGTGAGGGGCTGGTGCTATGAGACTTGGGTGGCATCTCTGACTGCCACCCCCCTGACCCAGAAATGGATTAAAGGGTAGAAAATGGATGGATGGATGGATGGACCCGTCTTTATGGGTTTGACTCTACACAAGACAGAAAGTTTATCCCATTCCTCTTTACAAAACAACTCGACCTCTGTCAAATTAGATGGAGAGCGTTTTCAGGTCTTTCCAGTTATTTTGATTGGAATTAAGTCTGCACTCTGACTGATCCATTCTAATTAACATCTTGAGCTTTGTTATTACCTTGACATGTGTCGAAGGGTAAAGGTAATAACAAGGCTGTCTTACAATTGTCTGATATCGAACAACTTAATGACCTTATTCTGCTAAGGAAACAAGATGGACCTTCCTAAATGTTTAATGTTGTGTTTGTGGCTCAGGGGGAGTCAGAAGGACTGCCACCTGGCCCTGCCCTACTACAGGATGTCCGGTCTGTCCGTCCCAGAAGTGATGTCCCGAAACAAGCCACACTCGGGCAGTTCCTACGGCCTCGGCTTCCTCTTCTTCCTCAAGCACTACCTCCTGGAAGAGACGCAGCTCACTCTCAGCCAGGTCCTGACTCCTACTGGTCCAGACTCTTGCTGGTCCAGACTCTTGCTGGTCCAGACTCTTGCTGGTCCAGACTCTTGCTGGTCCAGACTCTTGCTGGTCCAGACTCTTGCTGGTCCAGACTCTTGCTGGTCCAGACTCTTGCTGGTCCAGACTCTTGCTGGTCCAGACTCTTGCTGGTCCAGACTATTGCTGGTCCAGACTATTGCTGGTCCAGACTATTGCTGGTCCAGACTATTGCTGGTCCAGACTATTGCTGGTCCAGACTATTGCTGGTCCAGACTCTTGCTGGTCCAGACTCTTGCTGGTCCAGACTCTTGCTGGTCCAGACTCTTACTGGTCCAGACTCTCACTGGTCTAGAGCTAATCTCTCTGTAACAATTCTCATGAAACCAGAGCGAGCGACTAGAGAGAGAGAGAGACCAGAGAGAGAGACCAGAGAGAGAGAGAGACCAGAGAGAGAGAGAGACCAGAGAGAGAGAGAGACCAGAGAGAGAGAGACCAGAGAGAGAGAGAGACCAGAGAGAGGGAGAGACCAGAGAGAGAGAGAGACCAGAGAGAGAGAGAGACCAGAGAGAGAGAGAGACCAGAGAGAGAGAGAGACCAGAGAAAGAGAGAGAGAGACCAGAGAGAGAGAGAGACCAGAGAGAGAGAGAGAGACCAGAGAGAGAGAGAGACCAGAGAGAGAGAGAGACCAGAGAGAGAGAGAGACCAGAGAGAGAGAGACCAGAGAGAGACCAGAGAAAGAGAGAGACCAGAGAAAGAGAGAGACCAGAGAGAGAGACCAGAGAGAGAGAGAGACCAGAGAGAGACCAGAGAGAGAGAGAGACCAGAGAGAGAGAGACCAGAGAGAGAGAGAGACCAGAGAGAGGGAGAGACCAGAGAGAGGGAGAGACCAGAGAGAGAGAGAGACCAGAGAGAGAGACACCAGAGAGAGGGAGAGACCAGAGAGAGAGAGAGACCAGAGAGAGGGAGAGACCAGAGAGAGGGAGACCACCACTTTTTTGCACCTTGAGCCAAAGCAAATTCCTAGTTTTTGACTTCTTGTTAAGGTACTTACAAAGGCAATAAAAAAAAATCTGATTCTGAGAGAGAAGCCGTACCCTACATTGTTGCGTTTCCATTTGGCTGGTAGCATGTCCTAGCACCCTACCAAAAAGAACAGTAGAGTTGAGTAGGGCATTGTTTTGTGTATTATTGTATTTTATTTCCCACCAGGAGTCTGCGGATGAGGTCATTGACGTCTTCAGCCAATCAGAGCCCTCACAGCTGGTGTGCGTGTGCTGCAGCCCCCTCATGGTGAACGTGAGCCCGGAGCGGACCCTGAGCCTCCTGCGGCACCTGGAGGACACCGCCGGCGTGTCCGTCAGCCTCACCGTCACCATGGCAACGCTGGCCCTGCGGCTGGAAGAGCGGGCGCTTTTCCGGCAACTGATGGACCGACACTCGGAGGTGAATGTGACCGGATTCTAACTGTGAAAGTATCGGATCAAAGTGTTTACGTCCAAATGAGCTGAAAGGAAGTGTTTGCGGCTCGGTCATCGTCAGCGACAATATTTTTGATTGAAATCACTTCTCTGCTCTCTCTTTGATCTCTCTCTCTGGTCTCTCTCTTGTCTCTCTCTGATCTCTCTCTCGGGTCTCTCTCTGCTCTCTCTCTGATCTCTCTCTAGTCTCTCTCTCTGATCTCTCTCTAGTCTCTCTCTCTGGTCTCTCTCCGATCTCTCTCTCTGATCTCTCTCTCTGATCTCTCTCTCTGGTCTCTCTCTGATCTCTCTCTCTGATCTCTCTCTCTGGTCTCTCTCTGATCTCTCTCTCTCTGATCTCTCTCTCTGGTCTCTCTGATCTCTCTCTCTGATCTCTCTCTCTGGTCTCTCTCTCTGGTCTCTCTCTCTGGTCTCTCTCTGATCTCTCTCTCTCTGATCTCTCTCTCTGGTCTCTCTCTGATCTCTCTCTCTCTGATCTCTCTCTCTGGTCTCTCTGATCTCTCTCTCTGATCTCTCTCTCTGGTCTCTCTCGTATCTCTCTCTCTGGTCTCTCTCTCTGGTCTCTCTCTGATCTCTCTCTCTCTGATCTCTCTCTCTGGTCTCTCTGATCTCTCTCTCTGATCTCTCTCTCTGGTCTCTCTCGTATCTCTCTCTCTGGTCTCTCTCTCTGGTCTCTCTCTGATCTCTCTCTCTCTGATCTCTCTCTCTGGTCTCTCTCTGATCTCTCTCTCTGGTCTCTCTGATCTCTCTCTCTGATCTCTCTCTCTGGTCTCTCTCTCTGATCTCTCTCTCTGGTCTCTCTCGTATCTCTCTCTCTGGTCTCTCTCTCTGGTCTCTCTCTGATCTCTTTCTCTGGTCTCTCTCTGGTCTCTCTCTGATCTCTCTTTGCTCTCTCTCTGCTCTCTCACTTCAGCAGTGGTGACTTCAGGTGGTTAGAAAGGTGTATAAGTGTGAGGGAAGAAGCTGCGACCCCTGTGATTAAAGGAACCCTGCACAGTAATTGGTCACTCAGAACGGAGTGGGCGGAGCCTCCTCCCGTCTGTGACCAGTATCTGTACATTGTGCTTCAGATGCTGCTGGTGTACGCCTTCATAGAGGAGCCGCGGCTGCTGCTGCACGGCTGCGGAGGGGCCCTCAGCTCGGAGGTCCGGCCCTCAGCTCTGGCTTCGGAGATGGCCCGCTCTCAGCCGGGGCTCCTGGTCGCCGCCCTGGTGGCTCTGCACGAGAACAACAAGATCAAACTAGAACAAGCCGACTGTCTGTTCAAGGTGCGGGACTTTACCGTCGTTAAGAGAGGAGAGACATACACTCTGCTGAAACTGTCTCAGAGATCACAGCAGGAAGGAAAGACCTGCGAGGGTGGATCAGTCTGTCACTAAGGCTGCTCTCCAGAGAACTGCCCTGTAGAGAGACATTTGCCCACATCTGTAAACCGCTTTGTGACTCTGGTCTGTGAAAGGCAGTGTATATACTGTACATAAAGATTACTTACTTACACTGCTCTGTTGAGTGACCTTTGCATTTTCCTCCATAAGGATTCAGATCATTCTAAAGGTGTTGAGACTTGCTCTGGGCTCAACAGCTAAACACACACACACCAAACTTAATCCTGGGAAATGTGTATGAAGTGTGTTGCCAAAGGACACAAAAGTAATGCACTTAACCTTACTGTGGTACGTGCTGCTCCCAGCTGTCTCCCATCAAAGTATTAACCAGGCCCTGCTCTGCTTAGCTTCTGAAGTCTCATGGGATTAGACTTCCTCATGCAGGTTGTCAGCGGAGTCTGTTGTGTGTGTGGCAGGAGCTGGGCTGCGAGGGCTGTCTGCAGGTGGACTTCTGGGAGGGGACCCTCATGGCCTCGTCTCAGGAGCCGCTGATCCAGGAGCTGCTCTTCAGAGTGGCCTCGGTCTACATCGACAGACTCACTCACACCGACCCGGACCCTAGACTCGCCCCAGGACCCGGGAAGCGCTCCCTGAAGACCGCTGAAGACCTGGTACCATGTGCCTCTCTCTCTGCTCTCTCTCACTGGTCTCTCTCTCTCTCTGGTCTCTCTATCTCTGGTCTCTCTCTGCTCTCTCTTTCTGGTCTCTCTCTCTCTGATGGTGTCTCTCTCTCTCACTGGTCTCTCTCTCTCTGATGGTGTCTCTCTCTCTGGTCTCTCTCTGATGGTGTCTCTCTCTCTCTGATCTCTCTCTCTCTGATGGTGTCTCTCTCTGCTCTCTCTCTGGTCTCTTTCTGCTCTCTCTTTCTGGTCTCTCTCTCTCTGATGGTGTCTCTCTCTCTCTGGTCTCTCTCTCTCTCTGATGGTGTCTCTCTCTCTGGTCTCTCTCTCTCTGATGGTGTCTCTCTCTGGTCTCTCTCTCTGCTCTCTCTGATGGTGTCTCTCTCTCTGGTCTCTCTCTCGTCTCCAGATCAGCTCGTGCTCTCACTTCGGGGCTCTGTATCCGTGGCTCACAGTCCTCTGTCCTGTTCACACCAACTCCCAACACCAGGAGGCGCTGCACAAACTTCAGGTAACTGAACCGTATCCATCGATTACACGTGGACTAGAGGCCACCCGCGGTACTGCAGCCTAAATCCCTCAGTGGGGAAATGTCAGTGTTACATCATCAGTTACAGAACAGTAGAATGAGGAGCACACAGTACAAGATAAATGAATGAATAGATACTAAATAATACTAATACTAAAATAAAAAAAATATCACTAGCTTTAGCATAACTCTCTCTGGCTCCTGTTGACTCACATGTAAAGGCAAATGAAACTTCCTCCTGTGAATTCCTAAAGCTTTTGTGAACCCTGGGATGTTCAAGTTCTGAAAGCCAGATCCTGTCAGACCTTTACAGCTAAACAGGGCAGGGCCTGGTTAGTACTGTGATGGGAGACCTCTGGGAACAGCAGGTGCCACAGTGGGGCGGCTGCGGCTGTAAAGTGCCAAACTGTGGTTGTGTCCTTAGGCAAGACACTTCCCCCACATTAGAATGAGTCTGGTGTGTGTGTGAATGGCTGGTGGTGGTGGGAGGGGCTGATGGCACAGACTGGTAGCCTTGCTTCTGTCAGTGTGCCCCAGGGCAGCTGTGGCTACAGTAGTTTATCACCACTGTGTTTGGAGAGAGAGAATAATGATGTGAAGAGACTTTGAGCGTCCGAAAAAGTGCTGTATGAAATGAATGCATAATTATTATTATTATTATTATTATTATTATTATTACTACTACTACTCCATCTTTTAATGTGTCCAACTGCTCTTCTCCTCCTCCTCTTCCTCCTCCTCTTGCTCCTCCTCCCCCTCCTCCTCTTGCTCCTCCTCCTCTTCCTCCTCCTCTTGCTCCTCCTCCTCCTCCTCCTCTTCTTCCTTCTGCTCCTCCTGCTCCTCCTCAGTCCCTGCTGTGTGGCCCCTCTCTGTCCCTGGGCTCTGTGGTTCCTCTCCTGGAGCAGATCTCTGAGGAGACGCTGTGGGGGTTCAGCCTGCACCTGCTCTGTGACACCAGGAGGGGGCAGCACCACCGCAGCATCGAGAGTCTCCTGGACCGCTGCCCTCAGGCCATCATCGCCTACGGCAACCACCACCTGCAGGACCGACACATGGTGAGAACATGGTGCAGGACCGACACATGGTGAGAACATGGTGCAGGACCGACACATGGTGAGAACATGGTGCAGGACCGACACATGGTGAGAACATGGTGCAGGACCGACACATGGTGAGAACATGGTGCAGGACCGACACATGGTGAGAACATGGTGCAGGACCGACACATGGTGAGAACATGGTGCAGGACCGACACATGGTGCAGGACTGATACATGGTGAGAACATGGTGCAGGACCGACACATGGTGCAGGACTGACACATGGTGCAGGACCGACACATGGTGAGAACATGGTGCAGGACCGACACATGGTGCAGGACTGATACATGGTGAGAACATGGTGCAGGACCGACACATGGTGCAGGACTGACACATGGTGAGAACATGGTGCAGGACCGACACATGGTGCAGGACTGACACATGGTGCAGGACCGACACATGGTGAGAACATGGTGCAGGACCGATACATGGTGCAGGACTGACACATGGTGAGAACATGGTGCAGGACTGACACATGGTGCAGGACTGACACATGGTGAGAACATGGTGCAGGACCGACACATGGTGCAGGACTGACACATGGTGCAGGACCGACACATGGTGAGAACATGGTGCAGGACTGACACATGGTGCAGGACTGACACATGGTGAGAACATGGTGCAGGACCGACACATGGTGCAGGGCCGACACATGGTGAGAACATGGTGCAGGGCCGACACATGGTGCAGGACTGACACATAGTGAGAACATGGTGCAGGGCCGACACATGGTGAGAACATGGTGCAGGACCGACACATGGTGAGAACATGGTGCAGGACTGACACATGGTGCAGGGCCGACACATGGTGAGAACATGGTGCAGGACTGACACATGGTGAGAACATGGTGCAGGACTGACACATGGTGAGAACATGGTGCAGGACTGACACATGGTGAGAACATGGTGCAGGACTGACACATGGTGAGAACATGGTGCAGGACTGACACATGGTGAGAACATGGTGCAGGACTGACACATGGTGCAGGACCGACACATGGTGCAGGACTGACACATGGTGCAGGACCGACACATGGTGCAGGGCCGACACATGGTGAGAACATGGTGCAGGACCGACACATGGTGCAGGGCCGACACATGGTGAGAACATGGTGCAGGACTGACACATGGTGCAGGACCGACACATGGTGCAGGACTGACACATGGTGCAGGGCCGACACATGGTGAGAACATGGTGCAGGACTGACACATGGTGCAGGACCGACACATGGTGAGAACATGGTGCAGGACCGACACATGGTGAGAACATGGTGCAGGACTGACACATGGTGCAGGACCGACACATGGTGCAGGACTGACACATGGTGAGAACATGGTGCAGGACCGACACATGGTGCAGGACCGACACATGGTGCAGGACCGACACATGGTGAGAACATGGTGCAGGACCGACACATGGTGCAGGACCGACACATGGTGCAGGACTGACACATGGTGAGAACATGGTGCAGGACCGACACATGGTGCAGGACCGACACATGGTGAGAACATGGTGCAGGACCGACACATGGTGCAGGACCGACACATGGTGAGAACATGGTGCAGGACTGACACATGGTGCAGGACCAACACATGGTGCAGGACTGACACATGGTGCAGGACCGACACATGGTGCAGGACTGACACATGGTGCAGGACCGACACATGGTGCAGGACTGACACATGGTGAGAACATGGTGCAGGACCGACACATGGTGCAGGACCGACACATGGTGCAGGACCGACACATGGTGCAGGACCGACCCATGGTGCAGGACTGACACATGGTGAGAACATGGTGCAGGACTGACACATGGTGCAGGACCGACACATGGTGAGAACATGGTGCAGGACCGACACATGGTGAGAACATGGTGCAGGACTGACACATGGTGAGAACATGGTGCAGGACTGACACATGGTGCAGGGCCGACACATGGTGCAGGACTGACACATGGTGAGAACATGGTGCAGGACTGACACATGGTGAGAACATGGTGCAGGGCCGACACATGGTGAGAACATGGTGCAGGACTGACACATGGTGCAGGACCGACACATGGTGAGAACATGGTGCAGGACCGACACATGGTGAGAACATGGTGCAGGACTGACACATGGTGAGAACATGGTGCAGGACTGACACATGGTGCAGGGCCGACACATGGTGCAGGACTGACACATGGTGCAGGACTGACACATGGTGCAGGACTGACACATGGTGCAGGACCGACACATAGTGCAGGGCCGACACATGGTGAGAACATGGTGCAGGACCGACACATGGTGCAGGGCCGACACATGGTGAGAACATGGTGTATGTGTGGATCTCTAATCTGCACCTGGGAGTTATCAATGACAACAGGCTGTCAATAACTGTTAGGACTCACATCAAAGAGGTGGAGGTCTGTGTGTTTCTGTTCTGTAAGAGGGTTTCTCACATTGAGTTTGAGTCAGAGGAAGACAGTTTTATTTCATTCCCTTTGTATTTGTTTAGAGTTCACTTTGTCCCCACGGAAACTCCAGCTTGTCTTAGCAACACCAGAGAGAGACCAGAGAGAGAGACCAGAGAGAGAGACCAGAGAGAGAGACCAGAGAGAGAGACCAGAGAGAGAGAGACCAGAGAGAGAGAGACCAGAGAGACCACAGAGAGAGACCAGAGAGAGAGACCAGAGAGAGAGACCAGAGAGAGAGACCAGAGAGAGAGACCAAGAGAGAGAGACCAGAGAGAGAGCCCAGAGAGAGAGAGACCAGAGAGAGAGAGACCAGAGAGAGAGACCAGAGAGAGAGACCAGAGAGAGAGACCAGAGAGAGAGACCAGAGAGAGAGACCAGAGAGAGAGACCAGAAAGAGAGACCAGAAAGAGAGACCAGAAAGAGAGAGACCAGAGAGAGAGAGACCAGAGAGAGAGAGACCAGAGAGAGAGAGACCAGAGAGAGAGAGACCAGAAAGAGAGACCAGAGAGAGAGACCAGAGAGAGACCAGAGAGAGAGAGACCAGAGAGAGAGAGACCAGAGAGAGAGAGACCAGAGAGAGAGACCAGAGAGAGAGACCAGAGAGAGAAACCAGAAAGAGAGACCAGAGAGAGAGAGACCAGAGAGAGAGAGACCAGAGAGAGAGAGACCAGAGAGAGAGACCAGAGAGAGAGACCAGAGAGAGACCACAGAGAGAGAGACCACAGAGAGAGAGACCACAGAGAGACCAGAGAGAAAAATAAAATAAAACGGACAGGAATGAAATGACTCTCTCTGAAAACTGCTTCTTTCACTTCTTTGGAAAAGTGGCAGAAAACAAAGTGATGAACAGATGGACAGATGTTATGACTGTGGGAGGGATTTCCTTGTTTAGTCTCTGTCAGTGAGTAAAGTCTCAGGAAGAAGGAACGTGTTGAGAGCGGGACACCCTCTTTCTGCTGTGACACTGATTACTGATGCATTCCACCTGCTGGAGTTTAGCTGCAAACTCTAACTCTAACACCTAAGAGCCATTGGTCCAAAGGGAGGAACACTGTCCACAAATGTAAATAAAAGTCTTTAGATGAAGATGAAGATGATCCTTGTATTCGTCCCACAGTGGGGAAATTTCAGTGTTGCATCGCAGGTTACAGATCAGAATGATACATGTCCCGGACCATAACTGTCCTCGGAACCACTCAGGAACCCAGTGGGACAAAGTGAGAAACCTCCGTGAGCTCCGTACATTACATACTGTCTGTAAGCCTTTGTCTGTGTCCGTCTTTAATAGTTTAGACAATCATGAAGTTTAAAGCTGAGGTACTTAACTTTGAACCCACATGACTCCATTACACACATGAAGCAAGTCAAAGCGAGACCAGACTCACTCCTTAAAGTCCCACGTGTTGCTTTTGTCACCAAACACCTCCATTGTCATTGTATAATCTCTGCTGGTTTACTGTCTATTGTGTTGTTGTGTGTGTTTGTGTTGTGCAGGCGTTGTGGTGGCAGAAGCTGTTACCTGAGTTGTGTAACCGCACCAGAGCGGCGTCAGACAACAGCATCCTCTTGGCAGCGCTACAAGGTGCTTTACACACAACAATGACACACACACACAGCAGGAGGTCGTCTGTATGAGCCCTGTCAGGTTTGACCAATCAGAGGCCTTCATTCACCAGGGAAACTCCAGCTCGCCTTAGCAACCGCCTTAGCAACCGCCTTAGCAACCGCCTTTGCAACCATCTTACCAACCGTCTTAGCAACCACCTTTTACAACTGTCTTAGCAACCGCCTTAGCAACCGCCTTAGCAACCGCCTTTTACAACATCTTAGCAACCGTCTTAGCAACCATCTTACCAACCGTCTTAGCAACCACCTTTTACAACCATCTTAGCAACCATCTTACCAACCGTCTTAGCAACCACCTTTTACAACCATCTTAGCAACCATCTTAGCAACCGTCTTAGCAACCATCATAGCAACCACTTTAGAAACCGTCTAATGCAGGGGTCGGGAACCCAAAATGTTCAAAGAGCCATAATTGACAAAAAAACTAAAAACAACATCTGTCTGGAGCCGCAAAAAAATAACAGCCTTGTATAAGGCTTTTATGAAGGTAACACAGGCTGCAAGATGTATTAGCTATATTAGCCTAATATCTACATGACAAAGTAAAGGCTACAAATACATAATAATCATTCATGATTATCAAATGTGTATTTTCACTGCAGCGTGTCGCACCACGCGTGTAGTGAATGACGCAACACGTGACAACTCTGCTTTAGTTTAACTTCCATTTTTTTGCCTTCATGCAATTATAGAAATACAGTAAATAAATCTGCTTTGGGCTCAGAGGTCACATACCTGCATCACTGTCTGCTCATATCCATCACGTCACAGGCTGAAGTTTGCTGGAGCTGAATTAAAATCCTTAATGGCCTTTTCTTTCACCGTCTTTGAGAGGGTTTTGAAGTCTGAAAATAGGTGCTCTGAATTTTTGATGAATGAATCCTTCACGTAATCACCGTGTACGGTGTTTTGCGCGTCATCGTTCCTCGTGTTGCAACAAAACTTTTCATTACAAACATGAAGCAGTCCTTCCTCATTGACTGAAAGAAAATGTTCATTCTCATTCTTAGTCCAGTCTTGTTATCGACTCTTTCTCGTTTTAGCTTTGGGATCCATGTGCACCTACAGTCTATCATGCACACACGCCGGTTTGTTTACAGCAGCGGCCGCATGGGGCGGGGCCGCGTGACCGCGCGTCATAGGATATGACGCACTACGTTGACAGAAATGTTGAAATTAGATATTACTTACATATTACATACATATTTTTACAGCATTTAAAAACGTAAAGATTGTTTTTCCTTCTACAGAAACCACATTCAAACTAGAAATAAAATATAGCCCTCACTCTCCATTTTCAGACATTTTTGAAAAGGCTCCAGGAGCCACTCCAGGAGCCACTCCAGGAGCACTCAAGAGCCGCATGCGGCTCCGGAGCCGCGGGTTGCCGACCCCTGGTCTAATGTGACAGGTGCATTTCTCCGGTGTGAGAAGTCTATGGTATCTTATCTTAGCAACCACCCTAGCGACCGTCTTTGCAACCGCTTATTCTTGTCTCTTATTTTGGCAAATGTAAAATGTTTATACTTCTTCGTTATGTTAAAGATAGAGATTTTATTCTTGTTCTTTGATGCTAGAGTTAGAGATTTTGTTTTATTTGAATTAGTGTAGAGTTATTGTTCATTTATCTAGTGCTGTGTGCTCCTCATTCCTACTGTTCAGTAACACTGACATTTCACTGTCTTTGCAACCACCTTAGCAACCACCTTAGCAACTGCCTTAGCAACTGCCTTAGCAATCGTCTTAGCAACCTCCTTAGCAACCTCCTTCGCAACCATCTTGGCAACAGAACAAATGCACATATAAGTCAATTGAGAGTGGATTATCTGAACCGATCTAAATTTTGGCATAAAAAATAAGTAATTAAAAGTAAGTATAAAATCTGGATTAAGAACAAATGATACCAAACACCATCCCCTGATCTCGTCTGAGGACCTCACTGAAAAACATGCACCCGTAGATGTGTGTGATATTTGAGCCTTTGACTTCATTCACACTTGTCTAACCTGCGTTTCCGTGACGACAGAGACGCTGGTGGTGGTTTCCATGGAGACCAGTCCCACAGAGTTCCTGGAGCTGATCCCGGACGACGGCACCGCAGCGTTCTTCGTTCCTCACCTGCTGAGCTGCAGCAGCAGGAGCCTGACCACCTGAACTCTATACTGCCCCCTGGAGGTGGACCCAAAAGCTCTAAGCACTGCACCACGAGCCGCTCGAGGCCAACGGCAGAGAAATGAGTTGCTTTTAAAACTGGCAGAACCACACTTTTTTGGGATGAATTTCCAGATTTCCATTGATTTTAATGTGAGCCGTTAAAATGACTAGGGTTCTGTAACTATTTAATTCTGGATGTTTATAGTATTTGTAACATGGACCAGAGTCAGGACTAAACATAAAACCTGGAACAGTCTTCCTGAAAATGTGAGACAGACTTCTTCTTTGACAGTGTTCAAATCCAGGTTAAAACAGAGCTCTTTTTAATGCACTGTGATTGTGTTGTTCTTTGTGTTGCCGTGTGTATGGACTGTGCTATACTATTAAACATGCCTCATCTATGGACGCAAATAAATAAAATAAATAAGAACTTCTGTTTCATAATTTAAACTTGAGCAGGAAGGACGACCAGATCCAGGACTGAGGCTGAAGACCCAGGACTGAGGCTGAAGACCCAGGACTGAGGCTGTAGACCCAGGACTGAGGCTGTAGACCCAGGACTGAGGCTGTAGACCCAGGACTGAGGCTGTAGACCTCAGTGTGATGTAACAAAAAGGTTTTTATTCTACAAACCCAAATATTTACAGAAGAAGAAGAAAACTAAGACATTCATTGTTATTTTTGTGCGGGTGTAAAGTGTGTTGGTTCATTTTAGCCTCTGCTGTCAGACTGTACAACGAGCCTCACCTGTTCTGATGATCCACTGCTCACTTCACCTGCTGCTTCTGTTACTATTGTTTATCATACTCTCTGCTGCTAAAGTACAGTAGGAACATCAGTAAACACCTGCTGCTGACCCTTAGCAACCATCTTAGCAACCGCCTTAGAAACCATCTTAGCAACCATTTTAGCAATTGTCCTAGCAACCATCTTAGCAACCATTTTAGCAACCGTCCTAGCAACCGTCTTAGCAACTGTCTTAGCAACCGTCTTAGCAACCATTTTAGCAACGGTCTTTTACAATACAATTTATTGTATTGTATAACAGCATCATCTCAGAGACTTAACAAAACCATTGAAATCACCAACACAGATCAGAGAATCAACAGTTAAAACACATAAAGAATATAAACACATGTTGATAAATGTCATACATGTTGATAAATGTCATACATGTTGATAAATGTCATACATGTTGTAGAATGTTAAAGTGTCCTGGATCATCACCACTAGTTGGACACTAACTGTCCAACAGACTCCTGCATCGGCAAGGAAAAAACTCATACAAAACCCAGTGGGAAAAAGTGAGAAACCTCGGGAAGACCCATTTGAGAAAGGGATCCGCTCCCACGGACGGACGGGCTGTAGATCCAGGAGTCAGACTGTAGAACGAGGACTGAGGCTAATGATCCAGGACCTAAGCTAGCTACAGGACGTGGACCAGTGGCCGCTGAACGTGGACAGGTCCGGTGCAGGACTGAAGCACTCCCAGGCGGGTCGGGCGGGGCAGTCCGCAGGTGTAGATGGAGGTTCAGAGATCCCGTCATCGTACCATGAAACAGACAATGGGACAACGGGTGAATAGCAATGAACAAACTACAGTCAAAATCCTAATAATGCTAAACAGGTAAAGTAGGAAGGAGGAGAGGATAGTGCTCAAGTTACCATACTTCTCCAGCAGGGGGCTCCCTATGCAGCTTGACTGACAGTCTGAGGAGTTTAGCCTTCCCTGAGTCTTACCTTCCTAGCCATATGCTAAACTAAAGAGGACTGTTTTAAACCTAGCCTTGAATAAAGAGAGCGTATGTGAAAGGAGGTGAGACAGCAGCAGCCACGGCTAGCCTAGGCTAGGCTAGTCTAGGTTACAGCACCAAGATTCATGGATTACACACCAGGTGTGCAAACCGATCCAAGCAAACAGCCTAATTATATGCTATATTAAAGTAGAGTGCTTTAAGCCTGGCCTTGAATGTGGAGACCGTATCTGCTTCCTTTACATAAATGGAGCTGATTCCACAGTAAAGGAGCCGTCTTAGCAACCGTCTTAGCAACCGTCTTAGCAACCGTCTTAGCAACCGTCTTAGCAACCGTCTTAGCAACCGTCTTTGCTGGTCACTTCACCTGCTGCTTCTGTTACTATTGTTTATTCATACTCTCTGCTGCTGAAGTACAGTAGGAACATCAGTAAACACCTGCTGCTAACCCCAGAGAAGACTCCGTCGTGACTGATCCTGAACCGAGTGACATCATAGCTCCATAATTTTACTTTATTATCTTACTACTTCAGTATTTTTTTTTTCATTTTTTTTCTAAGTTCTTAATTCATTGATCCAGTTTGACGTGTCCAACATGAGTCTTGTTTCCTGCTGTTCTATGTTCGGCTGTAATGTGCAATGTTTACACTGATATTTCCACAAATAAAATATTATATTATCTAAAGGCTCAGTATTATTATGAAGTATAACGTGCCATCGTAGCTCCTGAAGTCACTGAGCAGTGATTCATTTAAATGGGGAGAGACAGGGTGAAGTCTGGGAAAGGTCTGAGGGCCGCATGGAGACGAGAACCGGCCGTATGTGTCCCCCGGGCCACACTTTGCCCAGGTCTGATCTAATCACTGGTGGAACCTCTTCGTCCAATCACAACCTCCGCTGTCCGTCTGACCAATCAGAGCGCAGAGCCTAATGGTCCCAGCTTGTGTGTGTGTGCTGCAGGAGAAAAAAACAGTTTCTCAGTGTTTTTCACTCATTTTTAGTTGAATTGGCAGCTTTTCTCTGTGTTCTCTGTGTTTCTCGACACAGAATGACAGCGGCTGAAAGCAGCGAGTTTGTGAAAGAGAACATCGAGATGGAGCTGTTTTCTTCTGAGGAGGTTTGTTTTTACACAAACTCACTGTAGTTTAAGACTCTCTGTCTCTGTCTCTCTGTCTCTGTCTCTCTCTGTCTCTCTCTCTGTGTCTGTCTCTGTCTCTCTTTCTGTCTCTCTCTCTGTCGCTCTCTCTCTTTGTCTCTCTGTCTCTCTCTGTCTCTGTCTCTCTCTCTCTGTGTCTCTCTCTCTGTCTCTGTCTCTCTCTCTCTGTGTCTCTCTCTCTCTCTGTCTCTCTCTGTCTCTCTCTTTCTGTAACACACATTATTTCCACAGAGAGGTGTGGATCACCCTCTGGCCCAGGACCCTGAAGAGGAGCCTGCGTGGAGCTGCTTCTCCCTGGGCAGAGGCCTCTCTCAGCCCCCCCCTGCAGAGCGGAGCCCCCAGAGACCCATAGAGATGGAGGTACGAGGCTGTAGACCCAGGACTGATGCTGTAGACCCAGGACTGAGGCTGTAGACCCAGGACTGATGCTGTAGACCCAGGACTGAGGCTGTAGACCCAGGACTGAGGCTGTAGACCCAGGACTGAGGCTGTAGACCCAGGACTGAGGCTGTAGACCCAGGACTGAGGCTGTATTTGTATCATTTGATTGATTTGATTGGGGCGACAATAGCTCAGTTGGTCTTTGGACCTAATGGTCGTGGGTTCGAGCCCACCACGAACCATGTCATCTGCTCTCACTGATGTCTACTGTCGTGTCCCTGGGCAAGACACTTAACCCCACTTTACCTGAAGCCCCTGCTGAAAGACCAAGGTCATGTCTTTGATGACAGAGAAGCCATCTTCCTGTGGACCCACCACCTGCAGGAGGATCAGCGAGGGATTGGTGCTATGACCTGGGTGGGCCCTACCCCCGACCCAGAAATGGATTAATAAACGGGTTGAAAATGACATGACATGATTGATTGACAGCTCTCTTCTTCTTCAGGTTCTGTGCTCACTCAAGACTCACAGAGACAAGGTACACATTTATTGATTACTATAGACCAGAGAGAGGCCGAGACCAGAGAGAGCCCGAGACCAGAGAGAGGCCGAGACCAGAGAGAGGCCGAGACCAGAGAGAGGCCGAGACCAGAGAGAGGCCGAGACCAGAGAGAGGCCGAGACCAGAGAGAGGCCGAGACCAGAGAGAGGCCGAGACCAGAGAGAGGCCGAGACCAGAGAGAGGCCGAGACCAGAGAGAGGCCGAGACCAGAGAGAGGCCGAGACCAGAGAGAGGCCGAGACCAGAGAGAGGCCGAGACCAGAGAGAGGCCGAGACCAGAGAGAGGCCGAGACCAGAGAGAGGCCGAGACCAGAGAGAGGCCGAGACCAGAGAGAGGCCGAGACCAGAGAGAGGCCGAGACCAGAGAGAGGCCGAGACCAGAGAGAGGCCGAGACCAGAGAGAGGCCGAGACCAGAGAGAGGCCGAGACCAGAGAGAGGCCGAGACCAGAGAGAGGCCGAGACCAGAGAGAGGCCGAGACCAGAGAGAGGCCGAGACCAGAGAGAGGCCGAGACCAGTTGTGACATGAGTCTGACCATCAGAGACTTTGATCTCTGGTTCTGTGGCGTTTGCAGACGGTCTGCGAGCACAGGTCCCGGCGTCTGAAGTGGAAGAAGACTCCGCCTCCAGGAAGTCGTTTTGTGGTGAAAGACGTGACGTTTGTGTCCAGAGAGCAGTACCAGGCGCAGATGGAGAGGTGCTTTTCCCTTTTCAGTCATGATTTAGGTTATTTTAGTTGTTTATTTTGTAATTTCTTAACCCCTGTGTCTTCTTTAGTTGTACTTCCTGTTTGCGTTTCTGCCCCGCCCTCTCGTGTGTGTCTTCTTTAGGCCCTATCCCAACACCCACACTGCCCCCTACAGTCCTCTATGAAGTGTGCCTTTGTTTGAAGTGGGTTTGAGTGGCAGGTTACAGCAAAAAAGGCGGAAGTGGGACAGTGCAGTATTTAATTTATTTTAAGTTTTATAACTTATTTACACACATACAGCATATATTTCAAAACGTACACTTAAATGCATTTTCCCAACGTTTTGGTTTGTACTGCAAAGAATTATGGGCAATATCCTTCGCCAGAGTGCGCTTGGATGCAGGCTACAGCAAAGTGTGGAGCAGGGGCGCAAAGGGGACGGGGCCAAAGACCTCCCTGGAGAATTGGGACTGTACCCTACGCACTCACACCAATCATCGGGAACGGGCAAGGGTGGAAGTGCGAGTATCGGGACTGGGCCTTAGTCTTTATTTAAGCTCCATGTGTTCCTCCACTCCGTTGTTCCACGTTTGTTTTAGTTTTTCTCCTTGATCTCTGTTTGGTTCCTTTTTTTATTTTTATTTTTTTTACTACATATTTGAAATGCAGTTTGGTAAGAGAGAGATGACCCGATGAGGTGTATTTGGGTTTGGGATGCGGCCTGTGTCCTGTGTGCACACGGCCCTGACACCTGTGGGGTACCTCAGGGCTCGATCCTGGGACCTCCTCTGTTGTCCGTTCACTACCTGCTGCCAACACCGACCACACTCAGATCTGTGCGTGACGATGTCTTGCAGCCAGGTCTTCTCCCAGAGTGGAGCAGTGTCTCCAGTTCGAGCTCGGATGACGGTGGACCAGACCTGGGCGGCTGCGGAGATGGACAACAGACTGAGGCTGGTTCTGCGCAGACAGTTCGGAAAAGCAGCCGCGAAGAGCATGCACTTCACCTACCTGCAGGTGTGGAAGTCTGTTCTCTCTCAAGTCTCTCTCGCCCTCTCTCTCTAGTCTCTTTCTCAAGTCTCTCTCTCTACTCTCTCTCGCTCTCTAGTCTCTCTCTCTCTCTAATCTCTCTCTCTCTAGTCTCTTTCTCAAGTCTATCTCTCTAGTCTCTCTCTCTCTAGTCTTTCTCTACTCTCTCGCTCTCTAGTCTCTCTCGCTCTATAGTCTCTTGCTCTCGTCTGTCGCTCTCTAGTTTCTCGCTCTCTAGTCGGTCTCTCTCGCTCTCTGGTCTCTCTCGCTCTGGTCTCTCTCGCTCTAGTGTCTCTCGCTCTCTAGTCTCTCTTGCTCTCTAGTCTCTCTCGCTCCCTGGTCTCTCTCGCTCTCTGGTCTCTCTCACGCTATAGTATCTCTCGCTCTATAGTCTCTCGCTCTCGTCTGTCGCTCTAGCTCTCGTCTGTCGCTCTCTAGTTTCTCGCTCTCTAGTCGGTCTCTCTCGCTCCCTGGTCTCTCTTGCTCCCTGGTCTCTCTTGCTCCCTGGTCTCTCTCGCTCTCTGGTCTCTCTCGCTCTCTGGTCTCTCTCGCTCTGGTCTCTCTCGCTCTAGTGTCTCTCGCTCCCTGGTCTCTCTTGCTCCCTGGTCTCTCTCGCTCTCTGGTCTCTCTCGCTCTCTGGTCTCTCTCGCTCTCTGTCTCTGTCGCTCTCTGGCTCTCTGGTCTCTCTGGCTCTCTGGTCTCTCTCGCTCTCTAGTCTCTCTCGCTCTCTGGTCTCTGGTCTCATATTTCTCATATGGTAAAGCTGTCTATTCTTCTTGACAAAAAGCCTCCCATCTTTTTTAAATTCCTGTGTTGCCTCGCCTGAAATTCTGGCTTCAGTCTGTGCAGAGCTCCCGGTGTCTGTTCGTCCCCTCGGCCCCGGAGGAGGGCTGGAGCGGGGTCCACGTCCTGCGCATCTCTGCCCTGAGGCCCCTGCACGTCCTCATCCACCAGGACATCTCTCTGGTAACCATCAACGGCCCCTGGCTTCCCTTCAATGTTGATCTGGTTCTTCTCCCTTCTGATCTTTCAACAATGGCAGGGGTCTCAAACCGGTTCCAGAAAGGACCATGTGGCTGCAGGTTTTACTTCCAACAGGAGCACAGATGACTCCACCCATTTCCTCAAATCTTCAGGTTAAAACTGGAGTCACTTGTCACTCCCGTATTCGTCCTGGAAACCGGATTCGTCCGGAAGTTCAGTTTAATCCAATGAGCATACGCAGCGGAATCTGGACGGAAGCGGAAGTAAATATAAAAAAACTACTTTACCAGCCATTCCCATAAAATAACCCCAACCCAGCCTTAACCCTAAACTTAATCAGAATAATTTTTATTGCCACGTAAGTAACAGGAGGTCACAGACTTGGAAATTGCTTTGGCTCAGTGCAACAGTCAGAAAGACGTACAGGTCCTGCAGCGATGGAAGGCTGCGGCCGATCACACGATGTAACCATCTTACTCAGACGCCTAAACTTAACCAGTCACAATTTAAAAGACAACTCACCCTCAAATCCACTTTTTTTTGCTGATAAACGGTATAAATGAGTGTCCAATAGTGTTGTCTACATATCCTGGTCATAATCTTGTCACTTTGGTGCAAATTAGTTGAAAGTTAAACTTTCTGCCTAAAACCGTCTGTGAGGCGCCATCTGCTGGCGACCTGTATTACTACATTTGAATTTTGAATCTGGCGCCAACACTGGCGCGGCAGCAAGACCTGACGTCTGAAGCGAGACCTGACGTCTGAAGCGAGACCTGACGTCTGAAGCGAGACCTGACGTCTGAAGCGAGACCTGACGTCTGAAGCGAGACCTGACGTCTGAAGCGAGACCTGACGTCTGAAGCGAGACCTGACGTCTGAAGCGAGACCTGACGTCTGAAGCGAGACCTGACGTCTGGAGCGAGACCTGACGTCTGGAGCGAGACCTGACGTCTGGAGCGAGACCTGACGTCTGGAGCGAGACCTGACGTCTGGAGCGAGACCTGACGTCTGGAGCGAGACCTGACGTCTGGAGCGAGACCTGACGTCTGGAGCGAGACCTGACGTCTGGAGCGAGACCTGACGTCTGGAGCGAGACCTGACGTCTGGAGCGAGACCTGACGTCTGGAGCGAGACCTGACGTCTGGAGCGGACTGACGTCTGGAGCGAGACCTGACGTCTGGAGCGAGACCTGACGTCTGGAGCGAGACCTGACGTCTGGAGCGAGACCTGACGTCTGGAGCGAGACCTGACGTCTGGAGCGAGACCTGACGTCTGGAGCGAGACCTGACGTCTGGAGCGAGACCTGACGTCTGGAGCGAGACCTGACGTCTGGAGCCCCCCGCACCTAGCAATGTAAACGGCCCAGTCTCGTTCACGCCTCTTTAGTCCTCCAGGCTACGCCCATTTAGAGGAAGATTTGAACAGGAAATGTGAGTGACGTAAGCTCCGAGGAGCGGGGGTGAGAACCACTTTAAAGACTTATTACACTTTTTGACATGCGCAAACTGAACTTCCGGACGTTTCCGGGACGAATACGGGAGTGACATCACCTGAGGAAGTGGGTGGGGTCATCTGTGTCAGTGACACAGTCGGCTCGTGCTGCATTATTCCTCATCGTTCTGTTGCTGCCAAAGATAAAGATAAACCTGTTTGAAACATTGAGTTTTATTGTCAAACTCCAGTCATTTAAATCACCCGGAGCGTGACCTCACCCGGAGCGCGACCTCACCCGGAGCGCGACCTCACCCGGAGCGTGACCTCACCCGGAGTGTTAGCTTTGATGCAAAAGAAGCTGGAGCCAATTTCCTAATATGGGCATTTGCGTTCTACAGCATTTGCTCTGTGCCGACGGATTGCTACGGCCGTTGCCAAGGCCGTTGCCAAGGCCGTTGCCAAGGCGGTTGCTAAAGTTTACCCATGAATGAAGCCCTCTGACTAAGTAAAATCACATATAAACAGTAAGATCACAAAGAGAGTTAAACCACAGATTTTGGAGCCAAACTTCATCCATGAGCACTTCCCTATTGCGTTTCATTGAGCTAGCAGGTTAGCATTGTCCATCTATAAACAGTTTGTAATTTTCATTATAGTTTTGTGTCAATAACTTCCTGTTTTTCTCAGGTTCAAAGTGAGCAGCTGTTGTCTGAGCCGCAGAAGAACAGGTTTGACAATATTTACTGCATCAAATAAAGGGACGGTGTGTAATATCTCACATGACACGTCTATGATTCCTCTCATTACTGTGGTTGCCAGTTTGTTCGGTGAAATGTAGCTGATTTTGGCTAAAATTCACAACCTGGAAAATCGCACCACACATATATAAATAAAACCACAGACATCCGTGGTCACAGCTGAACTCCGGCAAGTGGGTTGCATCAGTAATCTCTCTGGTCTCACTCTCTCTGGTCTCACTCTCTCTGGTCTCACTCTCTCTGGTCCTTCTCGCTCTGGTCTCACTCTCTCTGGTCTCACTCTCTCTGGTCTCACTCTCTCTGGTCTCACTCTCTCTGGTCTCACTCTCTCTGGTCTCACTCTCTCTGGTCTCACTCTCTCGCAGGTCTCACTCTCTCGCAGGTCTCACTCTCTCGCAGGTCTCACTCTCTTGCAGGTCTCACTCTCTTGCAGGTCTCACTCTCGCAGGTCTCACTCTCTCTGGTCTCACTCTCTCTGGTCTCACTCTCTCTGGTCTCTCTGGTCTCACTCTCTCTGGTCTCTCTCTCTCTGGTCCTTCTCTCTCTGGTCTCTCTGGTCTCACTCTCTCTGGTCCTTCTCTCTCTGGTCTCTCTGGTCTCACTCTCTCTGGTCCTTCTCTCTCTGGTCTCTCCCTCTCTCTGTGTGGTTAGAGTCGGTGTCAATGCTAGGCTAATCTGACTCATTAACTGCACCTTGAGTGTTTGAAATCGGCTCATGCTAAGTGCTACATGTGTCACAGGTGGAGGATTCTGGCAACATGCTAACTGATGCAGGTGTGTTGCCATGGTAACTCTGAACCGTCTAGATCTTTTCCTGAACCTAACATAGAAATAAACTGCAAATAGAAATAGATCTGAAGACCTCAGCAGGAGTTACACATTCAAAATGAAAACCCGTCAATTTGACTGCTCTGGGAGTTTGAATGTTTGTTTGAATGTTTATGAAAAAATTATAATGTTTGTTTCTTCAGAAGTGATCTCTGCCCAACGACCGACACCAACTGCAGGACACAAGAGGTGAGTCTGACACCAGTCCCTGTGCCCCTGCGAGTCCCAGCAGGAGGCCAGTCCCTGTGCCCCTGCGAGTCCCAGCAGGAGGCCAGTCCCTGTGCCCCTCCGAGTCCCAGCAGGAGGCCAGTCCCTGTGCCCTTCCGAGTCCCAGCAGGAGGCCAGTCCCTGTGCCCCTCCGAGTCCCAGCAGGAGGCCAGTCCCTGTGCCCCTCCGAGTCCCAGCAGGAGGCCAGTCCCTGTGCTCCTGAGAGTCCCAGCAGGAGGCCAGTCCCTGTGCTCCTGCGAGTCCCAGCAGGAGGCCAGTCCCTGTGCTCCTGAGAGTCCCAGCAGGAGGCCAGTCCCTGTGCTCCTGCGAGTCCCAGCAGGAGGCCAGTCCCTGTGCTCCTCAGAGTCCCAGCATATGTTACAGATGTACTTTGGAATTCAGATGTTGTATATCCTCTCTCCATGGCCTCGCACCAGAGCCTCTCTGGTCTCTCTCTCTGGTCTCTCTGGTCTCTCTCGCTCTCTCTCTCTCTCTGGTCTCTCTCTCGCTCTCTCTCTCTGGTCTCTCTGGTCTCTCTCTCTCTGGTCTCTCTCTCTGGTCTCTCTCTCTCTCTCTCTCTCTCTCTCTCTGACACTGATCTCAAAGCCTACATCACGTTTGAACATCTTTGGGTTAGGGTACTTCTTCTTCTTCTGCAGTTGGGGGAAGAGCTGCGTAGAGTCCTCTCAGCTTTCACAGGAGAGTCCCGAGGTGAGGAGGTCCCCCTGCTGGTGAGGAGGAGCACAGCACTGCAGTCAGCTCTGAGGGCAGTGAGGAGGTCCAACTTCTGCTTCAGAGACACGCCCCTGGTCTCCTTCAGCGGAGAGGAGACCGAGGGCCACCAGGGGCCTCAGCGAGAGTTCTTTAGGTAAGACCATAGACCAGCAGGGCTCAGTAAAATGGGGCCAAAAGAAGTGTATGGTTATGTTTTTTCTACACCAGCGACGTTTTAAAGCTAATGTCACTGTGATAGCAGTGGAAGCTAACATTGTACTACGACACGATGAACCTAAATCTTCTTAAACTAAAAATGATGGCGGTGTTTTCTGCGGCTCAGGTTGATGCTGCAGGAGCTCCGGCAGAGCCCTCTGTTCGAGGGGCCTCCCGGGCGCCTCCTCTTCACCTCTGACCTCTCGTCTCTGGAGGACTGGGGCTACTACGAGGCGGGCGTTCTGATTGGCTGGTCCCTGGCTCACGGAGGGGAGGGGCCACGCTGCCTGCACCCTGCTCTGTTCCAGGTACAGTCCATTCTCAACACTAGGACTCCCAGAGCAGTCAATTTGACATTTGTTTTTAGTGTTAAGCAGATATTGGTGACATGTCGAGGCCTCATAACGATTGTGTTTTTACGGTCCTTTATGGTCATGACCAGCGTGTAGTCCCCTCTGGTCCTGGCGCCTTGTTTTGAGAGTCTGACATTAGCTTTGACCTGTTCTGTTAAATGGTTTAATTATATTTGTGGCGCCACCTGCAGGTGAGAGCATGATCTTGTCAGACCTCTGAAGCTAAGTAGGGCAGGGCCTGGTTAGTACTGTGATGGGAGACCTGTGAGTGGTGGTGGTGTGCCATCCGCCCCCCTCATCATTCAGACACGCCAGACTCCTTCCATTCATTCGATCCAGCAAAAGCTCCTTAGCGACGGTTGTCATGACCAAAAGGGAGACACACAAAGTAGAAAAGGCCAAGTTTTCTGACATTTACCTCGTGAACATTTAACATGTTTAGCATCTTACTTCAACATGGAGATTGCATGTTCTCAGTGTCTGATGCCTGTTACTACGGCGACCAATGCTCCTTACAAACTCCCAGTGGCATGCAGGACACAAGTTCCCATTTTACATTTAAAAAAAAGTAACTTCCACAATCCAAACTGGAGGTACATTTTGTGTGCCTTGCGTTGCTATGGTGACGGCTCGGCGACCTGTAGTTTAACCGTGTGTTGTCCTCTGCAGCTGATGTGTGGACGCAGCTTCTCATTGGACGACTTCAGCTGGAGGGACGTGGTGGACTTCCAGGTCCAGAGTCACCTCCAACAGGTTTGTCTCCGAGAAAACGACACAAAAACGACTGTGACATCATTCAATCTGTGTGAGATGAAGATGAAGAGATCCTTCATTGGTCCTACTGTGGGGAAATGTCAGTGTTGCATCATCAGTTACAGAACAAGAGGAGGAATGAGGAGCACAAGATAAGAACTAGATTAAAATACAAATCTCTAACTTTAGCCTCGCATAGAAGCAGAGAAGAATAAACTATCGTCCTAAATCACTACAGCAGTCGTCTGAGGACTTTACAAAGTTGATTCTACTATTGGCCTCGCACCAAAATATATTAGTGACCATACGAACCAGCCCGGACTATGAGGAGCACAGGGACTGGACTCCTGTTAGTGCCCAGAGTCAGAACTAAACATGGGGAGGCTGCTTTTCGGATTCATGCTGCTAAAATCTGGAACAATCTTCCTGAAGATGTGAGACAGGCCTCCTCTCTGACAATGTTTAAAACCAGGTTAAAGACAGTTCTGTTTAGCTGTGCTACAACTGAGGGATTTTATATTTTTATCTTTCTTTTTAATGTTCTCTGATTATTTATGATTTTAATGCTTTCTTGTCTTGTTCAGCACTTTGAGTTGCCTTGTGTATGAATTGTGCTATACAAATAAACTTGCCTTGCCTTGCCTTGCCTATTGTGGAGAAAATCACAGTTTAAATAAATAAAGGTTACCTACTCTTCCCACATACTGACTCCTGCTCATCCAGGGGAATCTGGGAGCAAAGTGTCCTGGGTCTTCTCCTGGTCTCAGGTCTCTGCATCTGTACATCTGTGACATGTTAGAGCCATGTGAACCAACTCTGAGGAGCACAGGGACTGGCCTCCTGCTGGGACTCTGAAGAGCACAGGGACTGGCCTCCTGCTGGGACTCTGAGGAGCACAGGGACTGGCCATTTATGCAGCTTAAATCTGATTTGTCTTTCAGAAGATGTCTGTCTCACATTTTCAGGAAATGTAAACATCCAGGTTAAAAATAGTTCATTTGCGACAACTGAGAGATTTTCTTCACTCCTTTTGCTGTGATTGTTAATGATTCTAATGTGCGTCTGTTGTGTGTGGCGTCTGTTGTGCGTGGCGTCTGTTGTGCGTGGCGTCTGTTGTGCGTGGCGTCTGTTGTGCGTGGCGTCTGTTGTGCGTGGCGTCTGTTGTGCGTGGCGTCTGTTGTGCGTGACGTCTGTTGTGCGTGACGTCTGTTGTGCGTGACGTCTGTTGTGCGTGACGTCTGTTGTGCGTGACGTCTGTTGTGCGTGACGTCTGTTGTGCGTGACGTCTGTTGTGCGTGATGTCTGTTGTGCGTGATGTCTGTTGTGCGTGATGTCTGTTGTGCGTGATGTCTGTTGTGCGTGATGTCTGTTGTGCGTGATGTCTGTTGTGCGTGATGTCTGTTGTGCGTGATGTCTGTTGTGCGTGATGTCTGTTGTGCGTGATGTCCGTTGTGCGTGATGTCCGTTGTGCGTGATGTCTGTTGTGCGTGATGTCCGTTGTGCGTCCGCAGCTGCAGACCTGTGCAGACGTGCGGTGCCTCAGTCCGGCTCTCAGGGACTGGATTCATCGCTGTGGAGTCCCTGAGGTCTCTGGGGCCTCGACCGCGGAGCTCCCCGACATCTACAGACGAGTCGTCACACACTACATCCACGACCGGTACAGACTCCGGCAACGTCCGCTTTATTTGTGTGGCACATTCACCAGCGTCTGCTTTGACTTCCATCCATCCATCCATCCATTTTCTTCCGCTTTATCCATTGCCGGGTCGCGGGGGCAGCATTCTAGGCAGAGACGCCCAGACTTCCCTATCCACACACACTTCCTCCAGCTCGTCCGGGGCGACCCCAAGGTGTTCCCAGGCCAGCTGAGAGACATACTCCCCCCAGCGTGTCCTGGGTCTTCCCCGGGGTCTCCTTCCGGTGGGACTTATCCGGAACAAATGCCCGAGCCACCCCAACCAGTTCCTCTCGACCTGGAGAAGCATCGGCTCTACCCCGAGCTCCTCCCGTGTGACTGAGCTCCTCACCTTATCTCTAAGGGAGCGCCCAGCCACTCTGCGGAGGAAGCTCATTTTGACCGCTTGTATCCGCGATCTCGTTCTTTCGGTCATTACCCAAAGCTCATGACCATAGGTGAGGGAGGGAACGAAGATTGACCGGCAAATTGAGAGCTTTGCCTTTCGGCTCAGCTCCCTCTTTACCACAACAGTCCGATACAGCTCTGACTGCAGACGCTGCTCCCTCTTTACCACAACGGTCCGATACAGCGACCGCATCACTGTGCACGCTGCACCGATCCGCCTGTCAATCTCACGCTCCATTCTTCCCTCACTCGTGAACAAGACCCCGAGATACTTGAACTCTTCCACTTGAGGAAGGACCTCTCCACCCACCTGCAGAGGGCAAGGCACCTTTTTCCGGTCGAGCACCATGGCCTCGGATTTGGAGGTGCTGATTCTCATCCCAGCCGCTTCACACTCTGCTGCAAACCGCCCCAGTGCATGCTGCAGGTCCTGGTTCGTTGGAGCCAACCGGACAACATCGTCTGCAAACAGCAGAGATGAAATCCTGTGGTCTCCGAACCGGACCCCCTCCGACCCCTGGCTGCGCCTAGAAATTCTGTCCATAAAGACAGTGAACAAAACCGGTGACAAAGGGCAGCCCTGTCGGAGGCCAACATTCACCGGGAACAGGTCTGACTTACTGCCGGCAATGCAAACAGAGCTCTGGCTTCGGTCATACAAGGACCGGACGGCCCTCAGCAGAGGCCCCCGGACCCCATACTCCCGGAGAACCCCCCCAAAGGACACCCCCGGGGAACGCCTTCTCCAAATCAACAAAGCACATGTGGACTGGTTGGGCGAACTCCCATGAAGTTCCATAGCTCTATACTCTCCATCGTATACTCCGATGGTCCAGTGTTCCGTGGCCGGGACCAAAACCACACTGCTCCTCCTGAATCTGAGATTCGACCATCGGACGTAGCCTCCTCTCCAGTACCTTGGAGTAGACCTTACCGGGGAGGCTGAGGAGTGTGATCCCACGATATTTGGAACACACCTTCCGGTCCCCCTTCTTGTAGAGAGGGACCACCACCCCGGTCTGCCACTCCATTGGCACCACCCCCGATCACCATGCGATGTTGCAGAGACGTGTCAGCCAAGACAGTCCTACAACATCCAGAGACTTTAGATTGTCAGGACGGATCTCATCCACTCCCGGCGCCTTGCCACCATGGAGGCTGCCTACCACCTTGGTGACCTCTGCCAGGGAGATGGAAGTATCCGCCCCAACATCCTCAGCCTCTGCCTCCGGGACGTGATTAAGGATTAAGGAGAACCTCGAAGTATTCCTTCCACCGCCCGACAATATCCCCAGTTGAGGTCAGCAGCTCTCCACCCGCACCATACACGGTGTTGGCAAAGAACTGCTTCCCCCTCCAGAGGCGCCGGACGGTTTGCCAGAATCTATTCGAGGCCGACCGATTGTCATGTTCCATGGACTCTCTGAACTCCTCCCAGTCCCGGGTTTTTGCCTCTGCAACAGCCCGGGCCGCGGCACGCTTGGCCTGCTGGTACTGGACAGCTGCTTCAGGAGTCCCCTGAACCCTCATGGCTCGATAGGACTCCTTCAGCCTGACCGCATCCCTTTCTACCGGTGTCCACCACCGGGTTCGGGGGTTGCTGCCGGGACCAGCACCAGAGACGCTGCGACCACAGCTACGAGCTGCCGCATCGGCGATAGAGGAAGAGAACATGGTCCACTCAGACTCAATGTCCCCCTCTTCCGCCAGGACCTGGGAGAAACTCTCCCGGAGGTGTGAGTTGAAAGTCCGTCTGACAGGGGGCTCAGCGAGACGTTCCCAGCAGACCCTCACTACACGCTTGGGTCTGCCAGGTCTGACCGGCTTCTTCCCCTGCCAGCGCATCCAACTCACGACCAGGTGATGATCGGTTGACAGCTCCGCCCCTCTCTTCACCAGAGTTTCCGAGACACGCGGTCGAAGGTCAGATGATACGACAGCAAAGTCGATCATCGACCTCCGGCCTAGGGTGTCCTGGTGCCACGTGCACTGGTGGACACCCTTATGCTTGATTATGGTGTTGGTAATGGACAAACTGTGACTAGCACAGAAGTCCAACAACTGAACACCGCTCGGGTTCAGATCAGGGCCGTTTTTCCCCTTCACCCCTCTCCAAGTGTCACTGGCATTTCCCACATGGGCGTTGAAGTCTCCCAAGAGAATAACGGAGTCCCCGGGCGGTGCACCGTCCAGTACCCCTCCCAAGGACTCAAAGAAGGCCGGGTACTCTGCACTGCTGTTAGGCCCGTAGGCACAACAACAGTGAGAGACTTGTCCCCCACCCGAAGGCGGAGGGACGCGACCCTCTCATTTACCGGGGAGAACTCCAACATGTGGAGCTGAGATGGGGGGCAATGAGTATGGGCGCCCCCGCTCGCCGCCTCTCACTGCAAGAAACACCAGAAAAGTGGAGCGTCCAACCCCTCTCAAGGAGTTAGGTTCCAGAGCCCAAGTTGTGTGTGGAGGTGAGGCCAACTATTTCTAGTCGGTATCTCTCAACCTCCCCCACGAGCTCGGGCTCCTTCCCCCCCAGTGAGGTGACATTCCACGTCCCAAGAGCCAGATGTTGTGTGTGCGGATTGGGTCACTGAGGTCTCCGCCTTTGACTGTTGCCCAGTTCTCTCTGCACCACGTCACCCTTTCGGGCTGAGCCCGGCCGGGCCCCGTGGGCTAAGGTCCGGCCACCAGGCGCTCGCTTGCGAGCCCCGACCCCAGGCCTGGCTCCAGGGTGGGCCCCGGCTGCGCCATGCCGGTCGACGTCACGGTTCTCATATTCGTTTTGTCCATGGTGGCTTTGACTTTTAAAACTTAAGTTTAAACTCCTCCACAACTTTATCCCTGACCTCCTGTCTCTGGCTCCTCAGTCCTGTCTCTGGCTCCTCAGTCCTGTCTCTGGCTCCTCAGTCCTGTCTCTGGCTCCTCAGTCCTGTCTCTGGCTCCTCAGTCCTGTCTCTGGCTCCTCAGTCCTGTCTCTGGCTCCTCAGTCCTGTCTCTGGCTCCTCAGTCCTGTCTCTGGCTCCTCAGTCCTGTCTCTGGCTTCTCAGTCCTGTCTCTGGCTCCTCAGTCCTGTCTCTGGCTCCTCAGTCCTGTCTCTGGCTCCTCAGTCCTGTCTATGGGTCCGCAGGGTCTCTGGCTCCACAGAGTCTCTGTGTCCTCAGTCTGGTCTCTGGCTCCACAGGGTCTCTGGGTCGGTGGAGCAGTTCACTCAGGGTCTGAGCAGCTGTGATGGTCTCTGGAGCTGGATCAAGTCTCACTGTCGGGCCTTCACTCCGATCATGACGTCTGCTCGCTCCAGACCTCTCACACTGCAGGACTTCAGAGCACTGTTCACAACCAGCTACAGCGAAGTGGAGGAGGAGAAGGAGGAAGAGGAGAAGGATGAGGAAAACAAGGTGAAGGAGGAGAAGGAGACGGTCGCTCACTGGGACACGGTGCTGGGCCTCATCAGTGGTGAGAAAACTGACAACTATCAAACAGAAATACAATCTCCATCTGTAGAGTTGTGCTCTGGTCCTGGGCAGGGTCTGGTCCTGGGCGCAGGGTCTGGTCTATTCTGATAAACTAATAAATAAAAGTTTTGTGCATGACTTTAATGGGATCAAAATGACTGCTCTGAGAGTTCTCGTTGTTTGTGTTCTACAGTCTGGTGCAGAGCCACATTTGGAAATTGCTCTAATGAGGGTCACACCTGTTTTCGATGTGGTTATTATTTTTTATTTAACAAAAAGCTATAATTCAAATTATTACCAATTACATTTTGGGTTCATTAATTAGAACAGAATAACTGTAACCTGCCCTGGACTCACATTTATTAGGTTTTGACTCCTGATTCTTTTAGATAAGCAACAGACACGAGGTCACCGGCTCGGAGCGGTCAACCCTGGCTCCGGTGGAAGGAGGGGCCGGCCCCAGGGACTTCTCTCATGGTCTGGTCAAAAAGAAGCTCCTATGCTAGCCCCTGTACCTCTGCTGTACACAGACTGTACGCAGACTGTACGCAGACTGTACGCAGACTGTACGCAGACTGTACGCAGACTGTACGCAGACTGCACGCAGACTGCACGCAGACTGCACGCAGACTACACGCAGACTGCACATCCGAGGTCCCTGACATCACAGGTTCCTGTGGACTCGATGGCTCTTGGCCAGATGCCAGGTCCTGCACCTGATAAGACAGTTCCACTCGTCCTTACAACAACACTGCTTCACTTCCTGCTGCTTTAAGAGATAATGACCTTGACCTTCACTGCATCTTGAGTTTATTAGTTTTGACACGTGTGTCTCAGACTTTGTGCCCTGTTTACACCATGAATCAAATCACACATGTCCCAAATCTTTCTGTAGTTTTGTAAGTGGTTATTAATTTAGAGATGAATTCAGTTTTATTATCTCTCTATCATCGCTCTCCTCTGACGGTTTCAGTTTTGCAGACGTTGTTTGTTTTTCAGACGGAGACGCGGCGCTGACCTTTGAAGATCTGCTGGTCTTCGTCTCTGGAGTGAAGCTGGTGCCTCCTCTGGGCTTTCCTGGTCTCTTCAGGCTGCTCTTCTACTCTCAGGTCTGTGGGAACCATGTGAGCCCCGTGTTTTAAAGCGTGTGTGATCTACTGAGAGAGGAGGTGTTTTTCACGTGTTGTTTATTACTAGATTCTGATCACTTTTGCTCCACCACGTTTGCATGTTAAAATATATGTAGCTCTGCACCAGCCCCACAGTCTGCCCCATGGTATCGGCCACTTCTCAACACTGGGCAGACTCCAGGACCTCAGCCTGTGATTGGCCCACAGCCTTCACCACAGCCTGTGATTGGCCCACAGCCTTCACCACAGCCTGTGATTGGCCCACAGCCTTCACCACAGCCTGTGATTGGCCCACAGCCTGTGATTGGCCAGCAGCCTTCACCACAGCCTGTGATTGGCCAGCAGCCTTCACCACAGCCTGTGATTGGCCAGCAGCCTTCACCACAGCCTGTGATTGGCCAGCAGCCTTCACCACAGGCCGTGATTGGCCCAGAGCCTGTGATTGGCCCACAGCCTTCACCACAGACTCATATGTGGATGGGCAGGTTCAACAGAAGAGCCTGTATTTAAAGGAACAATCTGGAGAGATGTGTTCTTTTTATTTCTGCAGATTATCTTCAACTAAATCTAAATCACTCCTATTTACAAGTACGTTACAAAGTTGTCTCTTGGCCAGCAACAGATCAGAGAATCAATGTAGATCCGGGACTGGGGCCATAGATCCAGGACTGGGGCCGTTTAAATCCGGGCCTCCTTCTTTACTGTATACAGACCTCAGATTATACCAACTACCTGTGTTGGGCACAACATGGACCAGGAAGTTCGTGAGGTCAGAGGTCATGTGATGTTGGCTACATTGAACGACCAATGAGACGGCAGAGACGGGTCACAAATCCTACCCTTTGCAGAAACCAGAAACCTGGACTTTGCTCTGATCCACTTCTTCCCGTGTTTAGGATCCAGTGTCGTCCGCCGTGCGCCTGCCGTTCGCCTCCACCTGTGCTCTGGAGCTGTTCCTGCCACTGCGGGTAGGGGGCGCCGTGGACCTGCTGCGGCTGCTGACCAGAGCTGTGCGAGAATCTGTGGGTTTCACCAGTTTGAGGCCAGAGAAGAGGACCTCATTGGACACTGCCTCGGCCTGACCTCTCGCCATCGGCCTCTTCTTCTGGTCAAGACCGCTCCCTTTTATCTGTTTGTATGTGGATTTTTTCACTTGTATAATTATTACATTTTTTATAAACGTATCCATGTTTGACGCATATATATCACTTTATTTTATACACTATGGCTTTGTTATTGTGTTTTTTCTAAATTAAAAGTTTTACTATTTTAACCTGAGTATTATTGGTCTTATTCTGTACATTATGCAAACTTCATCTGTCGTTACTCTACACACGGACACTAACTACTACCACTACACACCCAAAACTCTCAGAAATGATTTGTGATGAACATATCCAACTACTACAAGACTTAATTTCACCATCAGAGCCGTCGTTTTCATAACTTTTGAAAATATTAGCATTATTCTTCAAAAGCCTGAACGAGACGAGGGTTAAAGACTGATCTAAGGTCCCCAAGAACTCTACAGTCCAGGGTCACTGTCCAAAGTGTTTGCCCAGGATTGGAGTTGGGCCTGTTGGGTTAGGGTTGGAGCTAAATTTAAGCTCAGGGTTGGGTCAAGGTTAGGGCTAAGATAAGAGTGAGAGGTGGAGTCAGGGAGTGGGCTGGGGTTAAGGTTAAGGCTAGAGGGTTAATCATGAGTATGACACTAGTCGTAAATGCTGTTTGTGAAATGACTCTGAAAATGGTAAACCATTTTGGTTTTATTTACACAACATAAGTGAAGTACATATAGTTCTCACATTTCCTACAGATACTGTATAATCAAAACACATCCTTTTCACCGAACTTTCTTTGGCAAAGGACAGAATGCACCAGGGCTGAGAAAAGGCCAAGATCAAGCTGTTACTTTCTGAAAGGCTGTGACGCTGACCGCAGGATCCAGACCGGGCAGCTGGCCTTTCAGGAACTGTAAGAGAAACATTTGTTTAATTCAGGGGTCTCTAAACCAGACGAGTCCAGGGGCCGGCAGCATTGGTGTGTCCCTATCAGTGAATAGATAGGTACTTATCCTTGAACCAGGTGCAAGAGTGACATACGAGTTTCCTCATTTATTTTATTCTGCTGTAAATTATGACACTGAAGTTTCCCCACTAAGGCCCTATAAAGGACTAATAAAGAATGGTTTATCTCAGTGTTTTTCAACCAGTGGGTCTTGGCACGAGAGTTGTTTGGTCCACTATCATCTTATCAATGAAGACTCTGCAGAGTTTCATGTTTGTAAAAGTTGTAGCTCCAGAAGAATGTAAACTTTTTATTGTAAATATCCTTTTTGCCTGAAGACTTTGCTTTTTAAATGCGATTCAATTTCTTACTAATTTCATACTGAGAACTTTTCCTTAAAACTCAAATGCCTTTTCCGACCGAGCCATGAGTTTGGAAAAGTATTCTAATTATGTGCACTGCAAAAAGTGATGAAAAACAAGCCAATCACGCACACAGAGTGGTACAGGTTTTGCTCAAGAATATCCCTGTATTTAGCACCATCCATCTTTCCCTCAACTCTGACCAGTTTCCCAGTCCCGGCTGCTGAGAAACATCCCCACAGCATGATGCTGCCACCACCATGTTTCACTGTGGGGATGGTGTTCTTTGGGTGATGTGATGTGTTGGGTTGAAAAGTTCAATTTTAGTCTCATCAGACCAGAGCACCTTCCTCCATACATTCTGGGAGTCTCCCACAAACTCAAAACGTGCCAATTTGTTTTTTGCTGAAAGTAATGTCTTTCTTCTGCCGCTCTGCCATAAAGCCCAACTCCATGGAGCGTACGGCTTATTGTGGTCCTATGTACAGATACTCCAGTCTCTGCTGTGGAACTCTGCAGCTCCTCCAGGGTTACCTTAGGTCTCTGTGCTGCCTCTCTGATTAATGCCCTCCTTTCCCGGTCCGTGAGTTTTGGTGGGCGGCCGTCTCTTGGCAGGTTTGCTGTTGTGCCGTGTTCTTTTGCACACAGGTGGACATCATTTCACTATGTATGTGACTTCTGAAGGTCATTGGTTGCACCAGAGCTTTTTATGGGCTTCATAACAAAGGGGGTGAATACATGCCAATTTCCAGTTTTTTATTTCTGAAAAATAGTTTTATGTTTATATTTTTCTCAATTCACTTCACCAACTTAGACTATTGTTTTCTGATCCATCACATGAAATTCAGATTAAAAAAAACATTGAACTAAAGGCGGTAATGTAACAAAATAGGTAAAAAGCCAAGAGGGTGAATACTTTTGTGTTCCTTTGGAGATTCAAGCAATAATTTCCTCATATTTTATAATTTTTTGCAGTGCAGACCTATTTTTTGTTCTTATATTTTTTTTACTTTTTTAGTTTCATTTATTTTATTTTGCATTTTAATCTGAAGCAATTTGAGGTCTCTTGGAAATGAAAGGTGCATTAGAAATTAAATGTAATATTATTAATCCGTCACAAGTGAAGATCCAGATAAAGCTAGCACAAGGTACATCCTGACTATATTGGTTGAGCTGAAGTTGGCTGGATGACGCCGTGATATCACCTCATTGGCAGCTTCAGGAAACTGGCCTGGGTTTGGACCATGGTGTAGTCGTTAGTCCAGGTGCAGGTAAAATGAGGACTCACCTGTTTGATGAGTTCCGTAATTCTTTCTTGGCTGAAGTTTGCAGGCGCCAAGAGCCGCATCTGAACATGAGCAAAAACCTTCTCCCCTGTAAAAGAAAAGATGCTCACATGTTTGTGACCAGGAACGGGATCTGTTTGTTTATTTTATGTTAAGATACCTGAGGTTGGAGGCGTTGTGACGTTTGTGGTCGGAGTGGTGGTGTTGGCGACTGTGGTCAGAAAGGTGGTGTTGGCGACTGCGGTCGGAAAGGTGGTGTTGGCGACTGTGGTCGGAAAGGTGGTGTTGGCGACTGCGGTCGGAAAGGTGGTGTTGGCGACTGCGGTCGGAAAGGTGGTGTTGGTGACTGTGGTCGGAGTGGTGGTTATTGTTGGAGCGTTGGTGGTTGTTGTTGGAGCGTTGGTGGTTGTTGTTGGAGCGTTGGTGGTTGTTGTTGGTTGTTGTTGGACTGTGTGGTTGTTATTGTTGGAGCTGTGGTAGTTATTGTTGGAGCGTTGGTGGTTGTTGTTGGAGCTGTGGTAGTTATTGTTGGAGCTGTGGTAGTTGTTGTTGGAGCTGTGGTAGTTATTGTTGGAGCTGTGGTGGTTGTCGTTGCAGCTGTGGTAGTTATTGTTGGAGCGTTGGTGGTTGTGGTTAGAGCTGTGGTAGTTATTGTTGCAGCTGTGGTAGTTGTTGTTGGAGCTGTGGTAGTTATTGTTGGAGCTGTGGTGGTTGTCGTTGCAGCTGTGGTAGTTATTGTTGGAGCGTTGGTGGTTGTGGTTAGAGCTGTGGTAGTTATTGTTGCAGCTGTGGTAGTTATTGTTGGAGCTGTGGTAGTTATTGTTGGAGCGTTGGTGGTTGTTGTTGGAGCGTTGGTGGTTGTTGTTGGAGCGTTGGTGGTTGTTGTTGGAGCTGTGGTAGTTATTGTTGGAGCTGTGGTAGTTATTGTTGGAGCGTTGGTGGTTGTTGTTGGAGCTGTGGTAGTTATTGTTGGAGCTGTGGTAGTTGTTGTTGGAGCTGTGGTAGTTATTGTTGGAGCTGTGGTGGTTGTCGTTGCAGCTGTGGTAGTTATTGTTGGAGCGTTGGTGGTTGTGGTTAGAGCTGTGGTAGTTATTGTTGGAGCGTTGGTAGTTATTGTTGGAGCGTTGGTGGTTGTCGTTGCAGCTGTGGTGGTTGTTGTTGGAGCGTTGGTGGTTGTCGTTGCAGCTGTGGTGGTTGTTGTTGGAGTGTTGGTGGTTGTCGTTGCAGCTGTGGTGGTTGTTGTTGGAGCGTTGGTGGTTGTCGTTGCAGCTGTGGTAGTTATTGTTGGAGCGTTGGTGGTTGTGGTTAGAGCTGTGGTGGTTGTCGTTGCAGGCGCTTTAGTTAATGATTGTGCTGTAGAAGAAAATATAACTTTTAATTTGTGAATAGAGGTAGAGTAGTAGAGGTGGTAGTGGTGGTTTCAGTGGTTGTGGTGGTGGTATTCAAGCAGTACTAGATTTCTTTACTTTTTTGTCTTATTAAAAGAACCCCTTTTATTTTTATGACAGGCTTTCACTGAATAATTTAGATGCAGATCGAGGTAAAAGTGCCTAAAACAAAGTGAGACGCTCCAAAGATTAGGTTAGTAGATTTCAGTTCCAAGCTTCAGGTCGATATGTGACTCAAACGGTAATCTGTCAAAGGAAACTACCCTGGTCTTACCATGTGTAAACTCTGGTCCATGATCATATCCTACATGTACGTCTGGTCTTACCATGTGTAAACTCTGGTCCATGATCATTTCCTACATGTACGTCTGGTCTTACCATGTGTAAACTCTGGTCCATGATCATTTCCTACATGTACGTCTGGTCTTACCATGTGTAAACTCTGGTCCATGATCATTTCCTACATGTACGTCTGGTCTTACCATGTGTAAACTCTGGCCCATGATCATTTCCTACATGTACGTCTGGGTCTGATCCTAGTGGCTGCAGTTGAATCCCCTCCGACCAATCAGAGAGCGGGGGAGGCGGGTGTTGTAGGTCGTGTCGGTGACGTCAAGAGTTTGTGCTGAATTTGCTGGTTGTAGTCATGGATCTACTATAATGGATGGAGTATTACAGCTTGGAGCTGAAGGACCATGTGCTCAGGGGATTCTCGCGGTACTGCAAACTGAGCCAGACTAAATTCACGTTACCCAGAAATTTCGCCGAGGCTTGGTTGTAGTTTGGCGGAGAATGCGATAATAAAATAATCTGTTTTGGTTCAATCCAAATATCAAGAAACTGAAGCCGGAGCAAGAGGAATGTTTAGTAAATGTCATTGAAGCAAAGATGTTGTGGCTCTACTCCCCACGGGCTCTGTTAGCAAAGGCAAAGGAGATGGCTAAAGCTAGGCTAAATGCTAAAGCTAGGCTAAATGCTAAATGCCTCACTCACTCGGGCTCATTACATACATCACAGTAAACTCAGATCCAATGGTTTCAATCTACAAAAGGAGTTAGCCCCTCCCACCTGTTCACGGAGACAATGGAGCTTAGTACCAAATGAAATGAGTACGATGGTATGGTAAGACCAGGCTATGAGGAAACCATTTGCAGGTTAAAATCTAAATTTAAAGGGTTCTTTGAAGACATTTATAAAGTTATTGTTTTTGTCTTTTCTTATAGAGAAACATTTCATATTTAAGTTAAAGATCTTTAAATACTTCCAGCTTTAATGTTGAGAACCGTCACAGTTTAGAAGAAAAGAAAAGCACCAGAAAAGTTTATGCTTTTTCATTGGAAAGAAATTCAGAATCTTTAGGAAATCTTTACTTTTGTTTGGTTTTATTTGTGGTGAATGTAAAAGTATGGTTTTGTATTTTGTTTGTCCTGTTTTTCTTCTTAATAAACGCTGCAAAAATGATTAAATATGAGGTAATAGATGGATCCAGTGTTTTTTGTCTTAATCTGACACATTCTGACTGTGTTAAAAAGATTCTCCGATGGGACAAAGACATTTAGTCTGATTTCAAGAATTCCAGGGGAAACATTTCTATCTTTTTATTGATAAATCTTGTTTTAAGGCTCAGTCAGAAGAAGCCCAAATTAAGTTACATGTGATTATTTTGATTATTGCAATTCTTATACTATTAGGTTTTAAAAGCATAATCTTTTTCACTATTTTTGTGATAAGTTGCCGCCTGTTGTCAGTTGCCCCGGTGCAGCTGTGGCTGTAGCAGCCCACACACCGACAGTGCATCAATAAAGCTAAAAGTAAAGACGTGTTTTTACCTTTTCCCAGAGTCACCGAGGACAATCCCAGTAACAACATCAAACAGACGTCCATCTTGTCCAAGCAGACGACTGTGTGCGTCTGTGTGTGTACCTGTGTGCACCTGTGTGTACCTGTGTGCACCTGTGTGCGTCTGTGTTCTCTGTGTGTGTACCTGTGTGCACCTGTGTGCGTCTGTGTTCTCTGTGTGTGTACCTGTGTGCACCTGTGTGCGTCTGTGTTCTCTGTGTACAAGGATCTGTTTCCTCTGGACAGAAGGAAACGTTCTTTTATTTTAAAAAAAACATGCTCCACCTTTGTACTGATGGTGTCAAACCAGTTTGACATATTCAAGCTTGATTACCTGTACCAGTTATGTACCAGTGTCAGGGACCAGTTGTGCTCATGGACTGGAGACCAGAGGGACTAAACAGACACATTAATCCTCCACTACAACATAAGTGTGTGAGGATCTTTTTATATCAATTTATTTATAAATGGTAACAACAGTTTGGCACTTTACAGCCACAGCCGCCCCACTGTGGCACCAGGTGTTCCCAGAGGTCTCCCATCTCAGGACTACCCTACTTAGCTTCAGAGGTCAGACGGGATCTGGCTTTTACATGTATCTGGCGCCACCTACATGACACTGATGGGACTACTGAAAAAGAAACATTTTCTCCTGTTAAAAGTTTTTGTGCTCTCCTCGTGTGTGTGTGTTTATGTGTGTATATGTGTGTGTGTGTCTGTCTGTGTGTTTATGTGTGTATCTGTGTGTGTGTTTATGTGTGTATCTGTGTGTGTGTGTGTCTGTCTGTGTGTGAGTCAGACACACACACATGTGTGTTTGTGAAATGACTTCATTAAAAACAGTAAAACATTGTGGTTTTATTTACACAACATAAATGAAGTACATATAGTTCTCACATTTCCTACAGATACTGTATAATCAAAACACATCCTTTTCACCGAACGTTCTGCAGCAAAGGACAGAATGCACCAGGGCTGAGAAAAGATCAAGCTGTTACTTTCTGAAAGGCTGTGACGCTGACCGCAGGATCCAGACCAAGCAGCTGGCCTTTCAGGAACTGTAAGAGAAACATTTGTTTAAAATAGAATTATGTAAGAGGTTCATGTCAAGTCATCTTAAAGGCCCTAATCTATCCAAAGGCATTGATAAAACACGTTCTTTTCCAACACTTCTTTAACTAACAACAGTAGTTCAGAGATATTTGGATTTCTAAATTACTTTTCCAGCCCCTAAATCTTGTTGTTTTCATTTCGATGTCCCGCCCTCCACCGTTTCACCAATCAGAAAGTCTGTGATCCGGGCACCAGAACTCACCGCGTGGAGCTAATCTCACTGGTAAAGTACCATGTGGCGCAGAACTAAAAAGGTCTCGTTATGATTCTCAAATCATTAACGACAAAACAAGGAATAAAACCAGGATTTCTATCTTTGTGAAAAAGGTGTTGGTTATAGATTTGTTGTTGACAAAACTCTTGTCTATTCAGCTGTTATGGTCCTAGCTGGATTCGTCTGCATATCTGGCAACCTGAGTCAGGGAGAGTGGGAGAGGCTGCAGTACCACTTTTGGCCACCCATCCATCCATTTTCTTCCCCTTAATCCATTTCTGGGTCGGGGGGATGGCCAGAGATGCCACAGCACACAGAGCACCAGCCCCTCACTGATCCTCCTGCAGGTGGTGAGTCCACAGGAGCTGAGATCTTTCAGTGGGAGCTTCAGGCAAAGTGGGGTTAAGTGTCTTGCCCAAGGACACAACGACAGCAGTCATCAGTGGGAGTCGTGAAGTAGGTCTTACGGTGGGCTCGAACCCACGACCTTCAGGCTCAAAGGCCAATGCTCTACCAACTGAGCTACTGTCGCCCCTTTTGATGTATTGTTTATTATTATTATTATTATTATTATTATTATTATTATTATTATTATTATTATTATTATTATTATTATTATTATTATTATTATTATTATTAATAATAATAATAATATTAACCAGTCACAAGTATGCATTTTTTATATAAAATGCATTATTTCAAAACACCCAAGGACACTGTACAGGCAAGAATAATAACATTAAAAACAAAAGCTACAGAATAAAACAGCAGTGCATTATGGAATGGTGGGGTGTGTGTGTGTTAGGTGGGGGAGTGTGTGTTAGGTGGGGGAGTGTGTGTTAGGTGGGGTGTGTGTGTGTTAGGTGGGGTAGGACAGTCTGAACAGATGGTGGAGAGAGTTCCAGAGCAGCTCTGTGTCCCACGGTGATGAGTCTGGCTGGGGGGTGCGGGGGGTGAGAGAGGTGATGTTATTGACGTGAGATTGGAAGGAGAGTGAAGGGAGGACAGATGTGTTATGGATGGGGAGGGGGGGACAGATGTGTTATGGATGGGGAGGGGGGGACAGATGTGTTATAGATGGGGAGGGGAGGACAGATGTGTTATGGATGGGGAGGGGGGGACAGATGTGTTATAGATGGGGAGGGGGGACAGATGTGTTATAGATGGGGAGGGGGGACAGATGTGTTATGGATGGGGAGGGGGGGACAGATGTGTTATGGATGGGGAGGGGGGACAGATGTGTTATGGATGGGGAGGGGGGGACAGATGTGTTATGGATGGGGAGGGGAGGACAGATGTGTTATGGATGGGGAGGGGGGGACAGATGTGTTATAGATGGGGAGGGGGGGACAGATGTGTTATGAATGGGGAGGGGGGGACAGATGTGTTATGGATGGGGAGGGGAGGACAGATGTGTTATGGATGGGGAGGGGGGGACAGATGTGTTATAGATGGGGAGGGGGGGACAGATGTGTTATGAATGAGGAGGGGAGGACAGATGTGTTATGGATGGGGAGGGGGGACAGATGTGTTATGGATGGGGAGGGGGGGACAGATGTGTTATGAATGAGGAGGGGGGGACAGATGTGTTATAGATGGGGAGGGGGGGACAGATGTGTTATAGATGGGGAGGGGGGACAGATGTGTTATAGATGGGGAGGGGGGGACAGATGTGTTATGGATGGGGAGGGGGGGACAGATGTGTTATGGATGGGGAGGGGGGACAGATGTGTTATGGATGGGGAGGGGGGGACAGATGTGTTATGGATGGGGAGGGGGGACAGATGTGTTATGGATGGGGAGGGGGGGACAGATGTGTTATGGATGGGGAGGGGGGGACAGATGTGTTATAGATGGGGAGGGGAGGACAGATGTGTTATAGATGGGGAGGGGGGACAGATGTGTTATGGATGGGGAGGGGGGGACAGATGTGTTTAGATGGGGAGGGGAGGACAGATGTGTTATGGATGGGGAGGGGGGGACAGATGTGTTATGGATGGGGAGGGGGGGACAGATGTGTTATGGATGGGGAGGGGGGGACAGATGTGTTATAGATGGGGAGGGGGGGACAGATGTGTTATGGATGGAGATAGAGAAGCTGTTAGATTTGGAGAGAGTGGAGGGGATGCCTATGAGAAGGACTTCAGTTTTAGAGCTGTTGAGTTTGAGGAAATTAGGATGTAGTCGTTGGTCCAGGTGTAGGTAAAATGAAGACTCACCTGTTCGATGAGTTCAGTAAATCTTTCTTGGCTGAGGTTTGCAGGCGCCGAGATCCGCATCTGAACATGAGCGAGAATGTTCTCTCCTGTAAAAGAGAAGAAGATGATCACCACAACTGCCACATGTTCGTGACCAGAAAGATACCTTTGGTTGGAGGATCAGTTGTGGATCTTGTCGGAGGCTCGGTTGTAGTCGGAGGCTCAGTTGTGGTTGTTGTAGTCGGAGGCTCAGTTGTGGTTGTTGTCGGAGGCTCAGTTGTGGTTGTTGTCGGAGGCTCAGTTGTGGTTGTAGTCGGAGGCTCAGTTGTGGTTGTAGTCAGAGGCTCATTTGTGGTTGTTGTCGGAGACTCACTTGTGGTTGTTGTCGGAGGCTCAGTTGGGGTTGTAGTCGGAGGCTCAGTTGTGGTTGTTGTTGGAGGCTCAGTTGTGGTTGTTGTCGGAGGCTCAGTTGTGGTTGTTGTCGGAGGCTCAGTTGTGGTTGTTGTCGGAGGCTCAGTTGTGGTTGTTGTCGGAGGCACAGTTGTGGTTGTAGTCGGAGGTTCAGTTGTGGTTGTTGTCGGAGGCTCAGTTGTGGTTGTTGTCGGCGGCTCAGTTGTGGTTGTTGTTGGAACTGTGGTTGTTGTTGGAACTGTGGTTGTTGTTGGAACTGTGGTGGTTGTCGTTTGAACCGTGGTGGTTGTTGTTGGAACTGTGGTGGTTGTTGTTGGAACTGTGGTGGTTGTCGTTTGAACCGTGGTGGTTGTTGTTGGAACTGTGGTGGTTGTTGTTGGAACTGTGGTTGTTGTTGTTGGAACTGTGGTGGTTGTTGTTGGAACAGTGGTGGTTGTTGTTGCAACTGTGGTGGTTGTTGTTGGAACTGTGGTGGTTGTTGTTGGAACTGTGGTGGTTGTTGGTTGAACCGTGGTGGTTGTTGTTGGAACTGTGGTGGTTGTCGTTGGAACTGTGGTTGTCGTTGGACCTGCGGTGGTTGTCGTTGGACCTGTGGTAGTTGTTGTTGGACCTGTGGTAGTTGTTGTTGGAACTGTGGTTATCGTTGGACCTGTGGTGGTTGTTGGAACTTTGGTGGTTGTTGGAAATGTGGTGGTTGTCGTTGGAACTGTGGTGGTTGTTGTTGGAACTGTGGTGGTTGTTGGTTGAACCGTGGTGGTTGTTGTTGGAACTGTGGTGGTTGTCGTTGGAACTGTGGTTGTCGTTGGACCTGCGGTGGTTGTCGTTGGACCTGTGGTAGTTGTTGTTGGACCTGTGGTAGTTGTTGTTGGAACTGTGGTTATCGTTGGACCTGTGGTGGTTGTTGGAACTTTGGTGGTTGTTGGAAATGTGGTGGTTGTCGTTGGAACTGTGGTGGTTGTTGTTGGAACTGTGGTGGTTGTTGTTGGAAATGTGGTGGTTGTTGTTGGAAATGTGGTGGTTGTTGTTGGAACTGTGGTGGTTGTTGGAACTGTGGTGGTTGTTGGAACTGTGGTGGTTGTTGTTGGAACTGTGGTGGTTGTTGGAACTGTGGTGGTTGTTGGAACTGTGGTGGTTGTTGGAACTGTGGTGGTTGTTGGAACTGTGGTGGTTGTTGGAACTGTGGTTGTTGTTGGAGCGGTGGTGGTTGTTGTTGGAGAGGTGGTGGTTGTTGTTGAAGTGGTGGTTGTGGTTGGAGCTGTGGTGGTTGTCGTTGGAGAGGTGGTGGTTGTGGTTGGAGCTGTGGTGGTTGTGGTTGGAGCTGTGGTGGTTGTCGTTGGAGAGGTGGTGGTTGTGGTTGGAGCTGTGGTGGTTGTTGTTGGACCACAGGTCCAACTACAAGCAGTGGTTGTTGGAACTTTGGTGGTGGTGGTTGGAGCTGTGGTGGTTGAAACTCCGGTGGTTGTTGTAACTCTGGTGGTTGTGGTTGGAGCAGTGGTGGTTACCGTTGGAACGTTGGTGGTTGTGGTTGGAATTGTGGTAGGTGTAGCTGTGGTGGTTGTCGTTGGACCCGTGGTGGTGGTCGTTGGACCTGTGGTGGTGGTTGTGGTTGGAGCAGTGGCGGTTGTAGTAGGAGCTGCAGTGGTTGTGGTTGTAGCTGTGGTGGTTGTGGTTGTAGCTGTGGTGGTTGTGGTTGGACCTGTGGGGGTTGTAGCTGTGATTGTTGTCGTTGGACCTGTTGTGGCTGGAGCAGTGGTAGTTGTGGTTGGACCTGTGGTGGTTGGAAATGTGGTGGTTGTGGTTGGAATTGTGGTAGTTGTAGCTGTGGTGGTTGTAACAGTGGTGACGGTTGTTGTTGGAGCTGCAGTGGTTGGAACTTTGGTGGTGGTGGTTGGAGCTGTAGTGGTTGAAACTGTGGTGGTTGTTGTAACTCTGGTGGTTGTGGTTGGAGCAGTGGTGGTTACCGTTGGAACTTTGGTGATTGTGGTTGGAATTGTGGTCGTTGTAGCTGTGGTGGTTGTCGTTGGACCCGTGGTGGTTGTCGTTGGACCCGTGGTGGTTGTTGTTGGACCTGTGGTGGTTGTCGTTGGACCTGTGGTTGTGGTTGGAGCAGTGGCGGTTGTGGTTGGAGCTGCAGTGGTTGTGTTTGGAGCTGTGGTGGTTGTCGTTGGGCCTGTGGTGGTTGTCGTTGGGCCTGTGGTTGTGGTTGTAGCTGTGGTGGTTGTGGTTGGACCCGTGGTGGTTGTGGTTGGACCTGTGGGGGTTGTAGCTGTGATTGTTGTCGTTGGACCTGTTGTGGCTGGAGCAGTGGTAGTTGTGGTTGGACCTGTGGTGGTCGGAAATGTGGTGGTTGTCGTTGGAATTGTGGTAGTTGTAGCTGTGGTGGTTGTGGTTGGAACAGTGGTGGCGGTTGTTGTTGGAGCTGCAGTGGTTGGAACTTTGGTGGTTGTGGTTGGAATTGTGGTGGTTGTGTTTGGTAGTTGGAATTGTGTTGTAGCTGTTGTAGCTGTGGTGGTTGTCGTTGGACCTGTGGTGGTTGTGGTTGGTAGTTGGAATTGTGTTGTAGCTGTGGTGGTTGGAGGAGTGATGGTTGGGGTTGTAGCTGTGGTGGTTGTCGTTGGACCCATGGTGGTTGTTATTGGGCCTGTGGTGGTTGTTATTGGGCCTGTGGTGGTGGTTGTGGTTGGAGCAGTGGCGTTTGTTGTTGGAGCTGCAGTGGTTGTGGTTGGAGCAGTGGTGGTTGTGGTTGTAGCTGATGTGGTTGTCATTGGACCTGTGGTTGGACCTGTGGTGGTTATGGTTGGACCCGTGGTGGTTGTGGTTGGACCTGTGGGGGTTGTAGCTGTGATTGTTGTTGTTGGACCTGTTGTGGCTGGAGCAGTGGTAGTTGTGGTTGGACCTGTGGTGGTTGTGGTTGGAATTGTGGTAGTTGTAGCTGTGGTGGTTGTGGTTGGAACAGTGGTGGCGGTTGTTGTTGGAGCAGTGGTGGTTTGAGCTGTGGTGGTTGTGGTTGTAGCTGTGGTGGTTGTCATTGGACCTGTGGTGGATGTCGTTGGACCCGTGGTGGTTGTAGCTGTGGTGGTTGTCGTTGGAACTCTGGTAGTTGTGGTTGGACCTGTGGTGGTGGGAAAGGTGGTGGTTGTGGTTGGAATTGTGGTAGTTGTAGCTGTGGTGGTTGTGGTTGGACCCGTGGTGGTTGTGGTTGGACCTGTGGGGGTTGTAGCTGTGATTGTTGTCGTTGGACCTGTTGTGGCTGGAGCAGTGGTAGTTGTGGTTGGACCTGTGGTGGTCGGAAATGTGGTGGTTGTCGTTGGAATTGTGGTAGTTGTAGCTGTGGTGGTTGTGGTTGGAACAGTGGTGGCGGTTGTTGTTGGAGCTGCAGTGGTTGGAACTTTGGTGGTTGTGGTTGGAATTGTGGTGGTTGTGTTTGGTAGTTGGAATTGTGTTGTAGCTGTTGTAGCTGTGGTGGTTGTCGTTGGACCTGTGGTGGTTGTGGTTGGTAGTTGGAATTGTGTTGTAGCTGTGGTGGTTGGAGGAGTGATGGTTGGGGTTGTAGCTGTGGTGGTTGTCGTTGGACCCATGGTGGTTGTTATTGGGCCTGTGGTGGTTGTTATTGGGCCTGTGGTGGTGGTTGTGGTTGGAGCAGTGGCGGTTGTTGTTGGAGCTGCAGTGGTTGTGGTTGGAGCAGTGGTGGTTGTGGTTGTAGCTGATGTGGTTGTCATTGGACCTGTGGTTGGACCTGTGGTGGTTATGGTTGGACCCGTGGTGGTTGTGGTTGGACCTGTGGGGGTTGTAGCTGTGATTGTTGTTGTTGGACCTGTTGTGGCTGGAGCAGTGGTAGTTGTGGTTGGACCTGTGGTGGTTGTGGTTGGAATTGTGGTAGTTGTAGCTGTGGTGGTTGTGGTTGGAACAGTGGTGGCGGTTGTTGTTGGAGCAGTGGTGGTTTGAGCTGTGGTGGTTGTGGTTGTAGCTGTGGTGGTTGTCATTGGACCTGTGGTGGATGTCGTTGGACCCGTGGTGGTTGTAGCTGTGGTGGTTGTCGTTGGAACTCTGGTAGTTGTGGTTGGACCTGTGGTGGTGGGAAAGGTGGTGGTTGTGGTTGGAATTGTGGTAGTTGTAGCTGTGGTGGTTGTGGTTGCACCTGTGGTGGTGGTTGTGGTTGGAGCAGTGGTGGTTGTCGTTGGAACTTTGGTTGTGGTTGGAATTGTGGTAGTTGTAGCTGTGGTGGTTGTCGTTGGAATTGTGGTATTTGTAGCTGTGGTGGTTGTGGTTGGAGCAGTGGTGGTTGTGGTTGGAACGATGGTGGTTGTGGTTGGACCCGTGGTGGTTGTGGTTGGAACTGCGGTGGTTGTGGTTGGAACTGCGGTGGTTGTGGTTGGAACTGCGGTGGTTGTGGTTGGAACTGCGGTGGTTGTGGTTGGAACGATGGTGGTTGTGGTTGGACCCGTGGTGGTTGTGGTTGGAACTGCGGTGGTTGTGGTTGGAACTGTGGTTGGAACGATGGTGGTTGTGGTTGGAACTGTGGTTGGAACGATGGTGGTTGTGGTTGGAACGATGGTGGTTGTGGTTGGAACGATGGTGGTTGTCGTTGGACCAGTGGTGGTTTTGCTTGTGGTTGTAGCTGTGGTGGTTGTTGTCGGACCACAGGTCCAACGACAATCTGTGGTCGTTGTTGGAGCGTTGGTGGTTGTTGTTGCATACGCTGTAGTTGATGATTGTGCTGCAGAAGAAAATAGCATTTTTATTTTGCGAGCAGAGGTAGAGTAGTAGTGATGGTTGTAGTGGTTGTGGTTGTGGTAGGAGGCAATTATGCAGTACTAGCTTTCTCCTACATGTACGTCTGGTCTTACCATGTGTAAACTCCGTTCCATGATCATTTCCTACATGTACGTCTGGTCTTACCATGTGTAAACTCTGGTCCATGATCATTTCCTACATGTACGTCTGGTCTTACCATGTGTAAACTCCGTTCCATGATCATTTCCTACATGTACGTCTGGTCTTACCATGTGTAAACTCTGGTCCATGATCATTTCCTACATGTATGTCTGGTCTTACCATGTGTAAACTCTGGTCCATGATCATTTCCTAAATGTACGTCTGGTCTTACCATGTGCAAACTCTGGTCCATGATCATTTCCTACATGTACGTCTGGTCTTACCATGTGCAAACTCTGGTCCATGATCATTTCCTACATGTACGTCTGGTCTTACCATGTGTAAACTCTGGTCCATGATCATTTCCTACATGTACGTCTGGTCTTACCATGTGTAAACTCTGGTCCATGATCATTTCCTACATGTACGTCTGGTCTTACCATGTGTAAACTCTGGTCCATGATCATCTCCTACATGTACGTCTGGGTCTGATCCTAGTGGCTGCAGTTTCCTCGGTTGAATCCCCTCCGACCAATCAGAGAGCGGGGGAGGCGGGTGTTGTAGGTTGTGTCGGTGATGTCAAGGGTTTGTGCTGAATTTGCTGGTTTTAGTCCTGGATCTATTATAATATTATAATATTTTTATAATATTTTTATTTTAGTGTCTCTTGTCGTCCTGAACTTTTTTCTTCTTAAATTCCTCGTTTTTTCTTAAATCCACACTTTAGTGCAACAAACTCTGCTCGTTTGGCACCCGTTCCAACTCCAGCTCTGATTGGTCGTAACACGGCCGGGCCCCTCTGTGCACGTGCATGAGAGCCACACATGTGTATTTGGCACAAAGCATCATGGGAGCTCGTCCACTCCGCAGAACCGGGAGGACCAGACGATGCCCAAATATGGGTGAGTTCCGCTACTCTTTCGGTCCCCATGGTGACATATGCACCACTGAGCACAAGCCATTGAATTGAGTAGGACGGCATCGTGGAACGCCGGGGCTTGGTTGCAATTTGGCGGAGAATGCAATTGTAAAATAATCTGTTCTGGTTCAATCCAAATATCAAGAAATTGAAGCCGGAACAAGAGGAATGTTTTGCAGATTTCGTCGCTGCAAAGATGTTGGGCTCTGCTCCCCAGGAGCTTTGTTGGTGGCAAAGAAAATGGCTAAAGCTAGGCTAAATGCTACCTACTCACTTGGGCGCATTAAATACGTCACAGTAAAATCTGATCGTCTCAATCTGCAAAAGGAGTTAACCCCTCCCACCTGTAAACGGAGTCAATGGAGCAAATCCAGACCTTAAAATGAAATGAGTATGATGGTATGGTAAGACCAGGGTTTGAGTGTAGTAGTGTAGACAGTTTATCCGCCCACTAGCTGGGGGCGCCAGACAGTTTATCCGCCCACTAGCTGGGGGCGCCAGACGCTACATTATAAAACCCTGCAAATAGTTGACGTTTGCAGTCTGTACTTCCGGGTGCTGGTCGCTCGGCTTATGTGTTTGTGTGTCGGTACTCTGCGTAGCAGGTATACTGTAGTAAGTAAAACATGTAGATATTTCTAGATGTGTACGTTGGTCCTCATCAGGCATGTTGTTCAGGTAGTGGCGCTGATGGAGGCGCTTTCAACGCACAGCCGGGTGGCGCTTCTCTGGAGTCTTTCCTTCCCCAGTGAGAACAGGCTGAAGTGGAACTGCCTGAGTGAAGTGGTGTGTCTGTCGTACTGGGCCTACTCGCCATTTAGCTCCATATATATTCACAGCATATGTTCAGCATATATATGACATATAGATCATATGAAACAGACATACAGTGGGGCAAAAAAGTATTTAGTCAGCCACCGATTGTGCAAGTTCTCCCACTTAAAATAATGACAGAGGTCTGTAATTTTCATCAAAGGTTCACTTCAACTGTGAGAGACAGAATGTGAAAAAATAAATCCAGGAATTCACATTGTAGGATTTTTATTTATAAAAATTCAACTCATACTTTGTAATATAACCTTTGTTGGCAATAACAGAGGTCAAACGATTACTATAGGTCTTCACCAGGTTTGCGCACACCGTAGCTGGTATTTTGGCCCATTCCTCCATGCAGATCTTCTCGAGAGCAGTGAACACGGACTTTCAACGCCCTCCACAGATGTTCAATGGGGTTGAGGTCTGGAGACTGGCTCGGCCACTCCAGGACTTTCAAATGCTTCTTACGGAGCCACTCCTTCGTTGCCCGGGCGGTGTGTTTGGGATCATTGTCGTGCTGGAAGACCCAGCCACGTTTCATCTTCAAAGCTCTCACTGATGGAAGGAGGTTTTGGCTCAAAATCTCACGATACATGGCCCCATTCATTCTTTCCTTAACACGGATCAGTCGTCCTGGCCCCTTAGCAGAAAAACAGCCCCAAAGCATGACGTTTCCACCCCCATGCTTCACTGTAGGTATGGTGTTCTTAGGATCCAACTCAGTATTCTTCTTCCTCCAAACACGACGAGTTGAGTTTATACCAAACAGTTGTACTTTGGTTTCATCTGACCTCATGACATTCTCCCAATCCTCTGCTGTATCATCCATGTGCTCTCTGGCAAACTTCAGACGGGCCTGGACATGCACTGGCTTCAGCAGTGGGACACGTCTGGCACTGCAGGATTTGATTCCCTGTCGTCGTAGTGTGTTACTGATGGTAACCTTTGTTACTATGGTCCCAGCTCTCTGCAGGTCATTCACCAGGTCCCCCCGTGTGGTTCTGGGATATTTGATCACCGTTCTCATGATCATTTTGACCCCACGGGATGAGATCTTGTGATCGAGGGAGATTATCAGTGGTCTTGTATGTCTTCCATTTTCTGATAATTGCTCCCACAGTTGATTTGTTCACACCAAGCTGCTTGCCTATTGTAGATTCACCCTTCCCAGTCTGGTGCAGGTCTACAATTCTTTTCCTGAAGTCCTTCGACAGCTCTTTGGTCTTGGCCATAGTGGTCTTGGCCATAGAGTTTGGAGTCTGACTGTTTGAGGCTGTGGACAGGTGTCTTTTATACAGATGAGTTCAAACAGGGCCATTAATACAGGTAACGAGTGGAGGACAGAAGAGCTTCTTAAAGAAGAAGTTACAGGTCTGTGAGAGCCAGAGATCTTCCTTGTTTGAAGTCACCAAATACTAATTTTCCACCATCATTTACAAATAAATTCTTTATTAGATTTTTTTTTTCACATTCTGTCTCTGTCTGTCTATATAACAGCAGTATGTGTTCACGGAGGTGACTTTATATAACAGCAGTATGTGTTCACGGAGGTGACTTTATATAACAGCAGTGTGTGTTCACGGTGATTTTATATAACAGTAGTGTGTGTTCACGGAGGTGCGCCATACGTGTTTTCATATTATTAAACGGTATTAAACGAGAACACACTCGAAGCAGTTGCATAAGGTCACAGGACCATGACAACCCATATTTTCACAAGCACAGAGTCCCCCATTGTCAACCCTGGTTTGAGTTCTGGTGAAGTCTGGTGTGGGTCCTGTTTTGGCTGTTTACAGTATTTTCAGTCTGCTCGCTCAGTCCACTAATGTCCCCGTGACCACTTTGCTGCTCTCTGATTGGTTGTCGCACGAACGTCCCAAGGAAAGGATGAGCAGAATCCATCTCCTGTGGGCGTCCATTTTTCGCTCCTCCCCTTTGACTTTCCCACCAAGTCTGTGCGTCTCTACTGAACAGTCCGTGCGTGCCGAGGGGTCCGTGCGTTGTGACGCTCGAACGCGCGTCACCATTGACTTTGCATTGAATGCAGTCGCAACGCATGATCCGGTCTGAACGCGGCATCAGACCTCTGGCTACTTCAATATTTTGAGCTGTTGATCATTGTTTAAGGCCGAGCTTCGTACTGCCAGTGATAGACCAACATTATTGCTTTGCAATTTGATTATTTCATTAACTTAAGCCTTGCACTGAAACTTTATACTTTTTCTTTATAAATTCAAGAAAAAAGTATAAAGAAAAAATTCTACTAGAATATAGTGCTGATGAAGGTATTTAAATTATTAAGATAATTTGGAAATTACAAAATCACTGAGGTATATGGTGGTGCTACTTGTTATGGTTGTCATTGCTAACCCCGTTGTCTACTGCATTACACAGTTTAGGATGTAAAAATCCACAAACTCCACCAGTTAGGGCAGCCGGGTGGGGGCTTTTTGATTGGGGGCATGTACCACCCTCAATGGGCCACTTTTCACCCTGGCTTTTTAATGCACTACAATAAATAGGGCAATCATTTATAATATAATAAACCTATATATTAAAAATAAATAAAAATATAAATACCATACACGTTCTCAAACATAAAATGTATGGCAGCGGAGATGGTTGTGACAAAGGTGAAGTAGCCAGACCACAGAATACCAATGAACATGCATTAGTGTGACTAGTGACCATCGGCAAAGAGTGGCATTGGTGATGGGCTTCCTGTAGCACATTGCAGAAACAAGACGACTGATATAGTTGTGCTGTTTTTTTTTTCCTTGTTTAGTTTATGATCAAGTCTGATATATAATCCGTACATTTCTCCAGTTTGAACTTTGTAGTAGTAAGTTTTGTTTTATGTCCATTTAATGATAAACTCAAAGAAGATTAATTGTATTAATCCGTAGGTGAATGTTGTTTGTTGATGTTTTGAAGCTTTTCTTCGGATGGAAAATGTAACTATTATTATTTTTTTTTCACGTAAGAGTACAGTAAAAATGTTAAAGTACTGTATGGATACAATACTCTAAGACGTACAGTTACTTCTATAAGTTACTCAAGTTCATGTACTTGAGTAAATGTAATTGTTTTTGTTTTGTTTTGTTTTTCGGAATTATTATTTTGGATACGGACTGATTGTGCAGTATCACCGGGAAATGTAAATGTATATCATAGTGATTACGGGGTAGGCGTATATATAAGCTTCTGGCTTCAGCCTACTCCTTTTCTTTTTGGGAGCGCCTCTAATAGAATGATGTAAATGTGAATGTTAAAATGTAAACGGCTCAAAAAAGAAATAAATAAATACATTAAAAAAATAAATAAGCTGAGCGCACAATTGTTTTCTGTGCGCCATGGCAGACATCTCTCTTCAATCCATTTGGGACGCAATATATCAACTGAAAGATCAAGTCACTGGTGAAGTGACATGAAAATGGGTACTGTGCAAGCAGGCTTAATGGATATACAAAAGACATTGGGTTCACAGGACAAATCACCAAATTGCAAGAGCGTAAACGAGGACAATGTTGGGGGCCTGGAAAGACAACGCTTACAGTACCTGAAGGAGAAGGTGGATGATCTGGAGAACAGAAGCAGAAGATCGAACCTTTGTTTCATTAATGTTCCGGAAACGAGTGAGGGGAGAGACTTGTAGAGATACATCTTTTATGTATGTGCTGATTCCCATGCTCCTAGGAAAGGAACACTTCCCCGTACCACCTGTGATGGAGCGGGTGCACCGCTCCCCAACATTCACCAACTCATCCCAGCCACAAACACGTCCCCAACCGATTCTTGTTAAGCTCGGTTGGGGACCAATAAAGTCAAAATCATGCGGCTGGCCAGGGAAAAGGGAACTCTCCAGTTCGATGGAAGAAAAGTGCTCATATATCCGGATTTCAGTCCTGGAATTGTCCAGAAACGGCGTGAATTTGATGAAATCAAAAGGAAGCTCCGTTCCGAATACTCCTTGCTTTATCCCAGCACGCTGCGGGTTTTGGTGGAGGGGGAACCAAAGCTGTTTCGCTGTTCCAAAGACGCAGAGGAATTCTTCCGTGGTGCCTCCGCTGGATCAGCGACGTAGACCACCCACAGCGTCTAAACTTTACCTGTGCCTGGATCTTGACTTTTGTTTAACAGGTGACACTAATGTATGAACTGTTATAAATATCCAGGCAGCGGTAACACCGGTATTTTTTCTTATTTTCCTTATCCTGCCGTAAATTGCCTGCCGTGAAATCTAGTCAGAATGTCGTGAAATGTAGTTCAAAAGACGTGAGAAGTCACAGCGCATCGGTGAGTTCAGTTCATTTTTTGAAGGAATGGATATTATTATGTTTATTTTGTATTTTTTCTTCTCAAACAGCAGTTATTATTATGAATAAAGACTAATGAAAGTAGCTATGTCTATAGGCATCTATTGTTTTTTTTTTTTTGTATTTGCCATGATTTTTGGTTGTGTGTGTGAAAGTGTGTGTCATGTTCAGCCTGTGGCCCTCACTCACTGACCAGTACTCTCCTGTCACGGTTCTTTCCATGCCTCTGAGATAATGTTATGTACAATGACAGCAATAGTTCCTCTTCGTCCTCCACCGACAGCAATATAATGTTTAATGTAAACTGCCAGAATTTAGAATTTTATTCTTTACAATTTACTGACTATAAATCTCAATCAGGTCCGAAGGAAATCAATCCTTACAATAATATTTACAATAATTAGAGCAAAAAATTGCTCATAGTATACTGACACATTATTTAACAAAAACATTATTATGAAGGATAAACTGTCCATTATTCATTTTAACAGCAGAAGTTTATACACAAATTTCAATAATATTAAGAATATTTGAATAAATTAAAAAAGCCTTTCAGTATCATAGCAATATCAGAGACATGGTTAAATGCTGACAAGGGTACAGAGTTTAACTTCAATGGTTATGAAATGCTCTGTGTAAATACAGCATATATGATGTAAAATAGTTTAATACTGTTAAAGAAGTATTTGAATGTGTTACAGTTGAAATTAAACTGAAAAAAAAAAAAAAACATTATTGTAAGTTGTGTCTATAGGACTCCAGGATCTGACATGAATACATTTAAGGAATGGATGGAAAAAATGTTTGCAACCAAAGTCAAAAAGCATGTTATGATATGTGGAGATTATAACATAGACTTACTAAATGCAAAAAAACCATAAACATACAGAAGAATTCGTTGACACAATGTTTAGTATGAACCTGTTTCCGTTGATCACTAGACCATCAAGAATAACAACACAGTGCTACCCTGATCCACAACATCTTTTCCAACGTTCTAGATGACAAATTTAAGGACAGCTCCCCTCAAATAAATTTTTTTTGCTGATAAACAGTATAAATGAGTGTCCAATAGTGTGGTCTACATATCCTGGTCATAATTTGTCACTTTGGTGCAAATTAGTAGAAAGATCAACTTTCTGCCTAGAACCGTCTGTGAGGCGCCATCTGCAGGCGACCTGGATCACTACATTTGAATTTTGAATCTGGCGCCAACATTGGTGCAGCCGTGGCTGCTGACGTCTGCAGTTGTTCCTGACGTCTGTAGTTGTTCCTGACGTCTGCAGTTGTTCCTGACGTCTGCCGTTGTTTCTGACGTCTGCAGTTGTTCCTGACGTCTGCAGTTGTTCCTGACGTTTGCAGTTGTTTCTGACGTCTGCAGTTGTTCCTGATGTCTGCAGTTGTTCCTGACGTTTGCAGTTGTTGCTGACGTCTGCAGTTGTTCTGCAGTTGTTCCTGACGTCTGCAGTTGTTGCTGACGTCTGCAGTTGTTCTGCAGTTGTTGCTGACTTCTGCAGTTGTTTCTGACGTCAGCAGTTGTTCCTGACGTTTGCAGTTGTTGCTGACGTCTGCAGTTGTTCTGCAGTTGTTCCTGACGTCTGCAGTTGTTGCTGACGTCTGCAGTTGTTCTGCAGTTGTTGCTGACGTCTGCAGTTGTTTCTGACGTCAGCAGTTGTTTCTGACGTCTGCAGTTGTTTCTGACGTCTGCAGTTGTTCCTGACGTCAGCAGTTGTTGCTGACGTCTGCAGTTGTTCCTGACGTCTGCAGTTGTTTCTGACGTCTGAATTTGTGTCTGACGTCTGCAGTTGTTCTGCAGTTGTTGCTGAAGTCTGCAGTTGTTCTGCAGTTGTTGCTGACGTCTGCAGTTGTTGCTGACGTCTGCAGTTGTTTCTGACGTCAGCAGTTGTTTCTGACGTCTGCAGTTGTTTCTGACGTCTGCAGTTGTTCCTGACGTCTGCAGTTGTTGCTGACGTCTGCAGTTGTTCCTGACGTCTGCAGTTGTTGCTGACGTCTGCAGTTGTTCCTGACGTCAGCAGTTGTTTCTGACGTCTGCAGTTGTTTCTGACGTCTGCAGTTGTTGCTGATGTCTGCAGTTGTTCTTCAGTTGTTCCTTACGTCTGCAGTTGTTCCTGACGTCTGCAGTTGTTGCTGACGTCTGCAGTTGTTTCTGACATCTGCAGTTGTTCCTGACGTCTGCAGTTGTTCCTGGCGTCTGCAGTTGTTTCTGACATCTGCAGTTGTTGCTGACGTCTGCAGTTGTTCCTGACGTCAGCAGTTGTTGCTGACGTCTGCAGTTGTTGCTGATGTCTGCAGTTGTTCCTGACGTCTGCAGTTGATGCTGACGTCTGCAGTTGTTCCTGACGTCTGCAGTTGTTGCTGACGTCTGCAGTTGTTCTGCAGTTGTTCCTGACGTCTGCAGTTGTTCCTGGCGTCTGCAGTTGTTTCTGACATCTGCAGTTGTTCCTGACGTCAGCAGTTGTTCCTGACGTCAGCAGTTGTTGCTGACGTCTGCAGTTGTTCCTGACGTCAGTAGTTGTTTCTGACGTCAGCAGTTGTTGCTGACGTCTGCAGTTGTTCCTGACGTCTGCAGTTGTTTTTGACGTCTGCAGTTGTTCTGCAGTTGTTCCTGACGTCTGCAGTTGTTCCTGACGTCTGCAGTTGTTCCTGACGTCTGCAGTTGTTCCTGACGTCTGCAGTTGTTCCTGACGTCTGCAGTTGTTCCTGACGTCTGCAGTTTTTCCTGACGTCAGCAGTTGTTCCTGACGTCTGCAGTTGTTTCTGACGTCTGCAGTTGTTCCTGACGTCTGCAGTTGTTGCTGACGTCAGCAGTTGTTTCTGACGTCTGCAGTTGTTCTTCAGTTGTTCCTGACGTCTGCAGTTGTTCCTGACGTCTGCAGTTGTTCCTGACGTCTGCAGTTGTTTCTGACGTCTGCAGTTGTTCCTGACGTCTGCAGTTGTTTCTGACGTCTGCAGTTGTTCTGCAGTTGTTCCTGACGTCTGCAGTTGTTGCTGACGTCTGCAGTTGTTCTGCAGTTGTTGCTGACGTCTGCAGTTGTTTCTGACGTCAGCAGTTGTTGCTGACGTCTGCAGTTGTTTCTGACGTTTGCAGTTGTTCCTGACGTCAGCAGTTGTTGCTGACGTCTGCAGTTGTTCCTGACGTCTGCAGTTGTTTCTGACGTCTGCATTTGTGTCTGACGTCTGCAGTTGTTCTGCAGTTGTTCCTGACGTCTGCAGTTGTTCCTGACGTCTGCAGTTGTTGCTGACGTCTGCAGTTGTTCCTGACGTCTGCAGTTGTTGCTGACGTCTGCAGTTGTTCCTGACGTCAGCAGTTGTTTCTGACGTCTGCAGTTGTTGCTGACGTCTGCAGTTGTTCCTGACGTCAGCAGTTGTTTCTGACGTCTGCAGTTGTTGCTGATGTCTGCAGTTGTTCTTCAGTTGTTCCTTACATCTGCAGTTGTTGCTGACGTCTGCAGTTGTTTCTGACATCTGCAGTTGTTCCTGACGTCTGCAGTTGTTCCTGGCGTCTGCAGTTGTTTCTGACATCTGCAGTTGTTGCTGACGTCTGCAGTTGTTCCTGACGTCAGCAGTTGTTTCTGACGTCTGCAGTTGTTGCTGATGTCTGCAGTTGTTCCTGACGTCTGCAGTTGATGCTGACGTCTGCAGTTGTTCCTGACGTCTGCAGTTGTTTTTGACGTCTGCAGTTGTTCTGCAGTTGTTCCTGACGTCTGCAGTTGTTCCTGACGTCTGCAGTTGTTCCTGACGTCTGCAGTTGTTCCTGACGTCTGCAGTTGTTCCTGACGTCTGCAGTTGTTCCTGACGTCTGCAGTTGTTCCTGACGTCTGCAGTTGTTCCTGACGTCAGCAGTTGTTCCTGACGTCTGCAGTTGTTTCTGACGTCTGCAGTTGTTCCTGACGTCTGCAGTTGTTGCTGACGTCAGCAGTTGTTTCTGACGTCTGCAGTTGTTCTTCAGTTGTTCCTGACGTCTGCAGTTGTTCCTGACGTCTGCAGTTGTTCCTGACGTCTGCAGTTGTTTCTGACGTCTGCAGTTGTTCCTGACGTCTGCAGTTGTTTCTGACGTCTGCAGTTGTTCCTGATGTCTGCAGTTGTTTCTGACGTCTGCAGTTGTTCTGCAGTTGTTCCTGACGTCTGCAGTTGTTGCTGACGTCTGCAGTTGTTCTGCAGTTGTTGCTGACGTCTGCAGTTGTTTCTGACGTCAGCAGTTGTTGCTGACGTCTGCAGTTGTTTCTGACGTCTGCAGTTGTTCCTGACGTCAGCAGTTGTTGCTGACGTCTGCAGTTGTTCCTGACGTCTGCAGTTGTTTCTGACGTCTGCATTTGTGTCTGACGTCTGCAGTTGTTCTGCAGTTGTTCCTGACGTCTGCAGCTGTTCCTGACGTCTGCAGTTGTTGCTGACGTCTGATGTTGTTCCTGACGTCTGCAGTTGTTGCTGACGTCTGCAGTTGTTCCTGACGTCAGCAGTTGTTTCTGACGTCTGCAGTTGTTGCTGACGTCTGCAGTTGTTCCTGACGTCAGCAGTTGTTTCTGACGTCTGCAGTTGTTGCTGATGTCTGCAGTTGTTCTTCAGTTGTTCCTTACATCTGCAGTTGTTGCTGACGTCTGCAGTTGTTTCTGACATCTGCAGTTGTTCCTGACGTCTGCAGTTGTTCCTGGCGTCTGCAGTTGTTTCTGACATCTGCAGTTGTTGCTGACGTCTGCAGTTGTTCCTGACGTCAGCAGTTGTTTCTGACGTCTGCAGTTGTTGCTGATGTCTGCAGTTGTTCTGCAGTTGTTCCTGACGTCTGCAGTTGTTCCTGACGTCTGCAGTTGTTGCTGACGTCTGCAGTTGTTGCTGACGTCTGCAGTTGTTCCTGACGTCTGCAGTTGTTGCTGACGTCTGCAGTTGTTCTGCAGTTGTTGCTGACGTCTGCAGTTGTTTCTGACGTCAGCAGTTGTTGCTGACGTCTGCAGTTGTTTCTGACGTCTGCAGTTGTTCCTGACGTCAGCAGTTGTTGCTGACGTCTGCAGTTGTTCCTGACGTCTGCAGTTGTTTCTGACGTCTGCATTTGTGTCTGACGTCTGCAGTTGTTCTGCAGTTGTTCCTGACGTCTGCAGTTGTTCCTGACGTCTGCAGTTGTTGCTGACGTCTGATGTTGTTCCTGACGTCTGCAGTTGTTGCTGACGTCTGCAGTTGTTCCTGACGTCAGCAGTTGTTTCTGACGTCTGCAGTTGTTGCTGACGTCTGCAGTTGTTCCTGACGTCAGCAGTTGTTTCTGACGTCTGCAGTTGTTGCTGATGTCTGCAGTTGTTCTTCAGTTGTTCCTTACATCTGCAGTTGTTGCTGACGTCTGCAGTTGTTTCTGACATCTGCAGTTGTTCCTGACGTCTGCAGTTGTTCCTGGCGTCTGCAGTTGTTTCTGACATCTGCAGTTGTTGCTGACGTCTGCAGTTGTTCCTGACGTCAGCAGTTGTTTCTGACGTCTGCAGTTGTTGCTGATGTCTGCAGTTGTTCTGCAGTTGTTCCTGACGTCTGCAGTTGTTCCTGACGTCTGCAGTTGTTGCTGACGTCTGCAGTTGTTGCTGACGTCTGCAGTTGTTCTGCAGTTGTTCCTGACGTCTGCAGTTGTTCCTGACGTCTGCAGTTGTTGCTGACGTCTGCAGTTGTTTCTGACGTCTGCAGTTGTTGCTGACGTCTGCAGTTGTTCCTGACGTCAGCAGTTGTTTCTGACGTCTGCAGTTGTTGCTGATGTCTGCAGTTGTTCTTCAGTTGTTCCTTACATCTGCAGTTGTTCCTGACGTCTGCAGTTGTTGCTGACGTCTGCAGTTGTTTCTGACATCTGCAGTTGTTCCTGACGTCTGCAGTTGTTCCTGGCGTCTGCAGTTGTTTCTGACATCTGCAGTTGTTGCTGACGTCTGCAGTTGTTCCTGACGTCAGCAGTTGTTTCTGACGTCTGCAGTTGTTGCTGATGTCTGCAGTTGTTCCTGACGTCTGCAGTTGATGCTGACGTCTGCAGTTGTTCCTGACGTCTGCAGTTGTTGCTGACGTCTGCAGTTGTTCTGCAGTTGTTCCTGACGTCTGCAGTTGTTCCTGGCGTCTGCAGTTGTTTCTGACATCTGCAGTTGTTCCTGATGTCAGCAGTTGTTCCTGACGTCAGCAGTTGTTGCTGACGTCTGCAGTTGTTCCTGACGTCAGTAGTTGTTTCTGACGTCAGCAGTTGTTGCTGACGTCTGCAGTTGTTCCTGACGTCTGCAGTTGTTTTTGACGTCTGCAGTTGTTCTGCAGTTGTTCCTGACGTCTGCAGTTGTTCCTGACGTCTGCAGTTGTTCCTGACGTCTGCAGTTGTTCCTGACGTCTGCAGTTGTTCCTGACGTCTGCAGTTGTTCCTGACGTCAGCAGTTGTTCCTGACGTCTGCAGTTGTTTCTGACGTCTGCAGTTGTTCCTGACGTCTGCAGTTGTTCCTGACGTCAGCAGTTGTTTCTGACGTCTGCAGTTGTTGCTGACGTCAGCAGTTGTTCCTGACGTCTGCAGTTGTTCCTGACGTCAGCAGTTGTTCCTGACGTCTGCAGTTGTTTCTGACGTCTGCAGTTGTTCCTGACGTCTGCAGTTGTTCCTGACGTCAGCAGTTGTTTCTGACGTCTGCAGTTGTTGCTGACGTCAGCAGTTATTTCTGACGTCTGCAGTTGTTCTTCAGTTGTTCCTGACGTCTGCAGTTGTTCCTGACGTCTGCAGTTGTTCCTGACGTCTGCAGTTGTTTCTGACGTCTGCAGTTGTTCCTGACGTCTGCAGTTGTTCCTGACGTCTGCAGTTGTTTCTGACGTCTGCAGTTGTTCCTGACGTCTGCAGTTGTTCCTGACGTCTGCAGTTGTTCCTGACGTCTGCAGTTGTTCCTGACGTCTGCAGTTGTTTCTGACGTCTGCAGTTGTTCCTGACGTCTGCAGTTGTTCCTGACGTCTGCAGTTGTTTCTGACGGCTGCAGTTGTTCCTGACGTCTGCAGTTGTTCTGCAATTGTTCCTGACGTCTGCAGTTGTTCCCGCCGCCCTGAGGTATAGAAACGGCCTAGTCTCGGTCACGCCCCCGTAGCAAGTTGGAGAAGGAATAGCAGAGTGTATTTTTTTTGATTGTCATGTTTGCGATTAGTTATAGCATTTAGGTAGATTTTTATTAGCATAGCTGTTTGTATTATAGATAATTGTTTAGTGTTGATAGCGTTGTTGTTGAATATTGTGGTATAGTCATTAGTGAGTTGCTTTTATTGTTAGATTAGTTAGATGAATTTAGCTTAAGGCTTGTTAGTATTACTAGTGTTGTATTTTGTGTGCAATTTCATTGTATATTGTTTATTGTACTTGTGACCAATAAATACAACTTTATGTTTGAGCGAGTGTTAAATTTCTGTCTCTTTTGTGCACATTGGGGATCATTTCTATCCAAAATGCCTTTGGGGTTTCCATGCAGCACAAGTTTTTTCCCTTGGGAACAAGGAGGTGCAGTGGCCGCAGGTTATTGTGGCAGAGTTTAGAATTTTATATCTATATGACCCCCACAACATATACTTTATCTTGGTCTGGGTTCATACATAAAATATACAGACAAAACTGTGAATAAAAGCACCGCAACATAAGCGGTTACTGTGGGAACATGGGAAGGCTCCCAGTGACAGGCAGTTCGTACTTTTTATTCCACTCTAATCGATATCATTCATATCTCATTTATTTTCATTTAGACACATTTGACAAATGTTCAGACACATATGTTCAAGGTTTGAAAAGGGGTTGGATGAAGCACTATGCTTATTTTAGCCCAACCCTCTCACCCACACAACACCCGTCAAAATAATCCAAAAATCACATTACAAAGTACTACTGTCAATACAACACTACCACCAATGGTATACAAGAATACTACTGTACATTTTGCCAAGAATTTCAATACGATACTACCACCAATGGTATACAACAAAAAATGTATATATATATATATATACAGTGCCTTGCGAAAGTATTCGGCCCCCTTGAACCTTTCAACATTTCGCCACATTTCAGGCTTCAAACATAAAGATATAAAAAAAATATTTTTTTGTCATGAATCAACAACAAGTGGGACACAATCGTGAAGTGGAACAAAATGTATTGGATAATTTAAACTTTTTTAACAAATAAAAAACTGAAAAGTGGGGCGTGCAATATTATTCGGCCCCTTTACTTTCAGTGCAGCAAACTCAGTCCAGAAGTTCAGTGAGGATCTTTGAATGATCCAATGTTGTCCTAAATGACTGATGATGATAAATAGAATGCTCCTGTGTGTAATCAAGTCTCTGTATAAATGCACCTGCTCTTTGATAGTCTCAGGGTTCTGTTTAAAGCGCAGAGAGAACCATGAAGACAAAGAAACACACCAGGCAGGTCCGAGATACTGCTGTGGAGAAGTTTAAAGCTGGATTTGGATACAAAAAGATTTCCCAAGCTTTAAACATCTCAAGGAGCACTGTGCAAGCAATTATATTGAAATGGAAGGAGCATCAGACCACTGCAAATCTACCAAGACCCGGCCGTCCCTCCAAACTTTCATCTCAAACAAGGAGAAGACTGATCAGAGATGCAGTCAAGAGGCCCATGATCACTCTGGATGAACTGCAGATAACTACAGCTGAGGTGGGAGAGTCTGTCCATAGGACAACAATCAGTTGTGCACTGCACAAATCTGGCCTTTATGGAAGAGTGGCAAGAAGAAAGTAATTTCTCAAACAAATCCATAAAAAGTCTCGTTTAAAGTTTGCCACAAGCCACCTGGGACACACCAAACATGTGGAAGAAGGTGCTCTGGTCAGATGAAACCAAAATCGAACTTTTTGGCCACAATGCAAAACGATATGTTTGGGGTAAAAGCAACACAGCTCATCACCCTGAACACACCATCCCCACTGTCAAACATGGTGGTGGCAGCATCATGCTTTGGGCCTGCTTTTCTTCAGCAGGGACAGGGAAGATGGCTAAAATTGATGGGAAGATGGATGGAGCCAAATACAGGACCATTCTGGAAGAAAACCTGTTGGAGTCTGCAAAAGACCTGAGACTGGGACGGAGATTTATCTTCCAACAGGACAATGATCCAAAACATAAAGCCAAATCTACAATGGAATGGTTCACAAATAGACGTATCCAGGTGTTAGAATGGCCAAGTCAAAGTCCAGACCTGAATCCAATCGAGAATCTGTGGAAAGAGCTGAAGACTGCTGTTCACAAACACTCTCCATCCAACCTCACTGAGCTCGAGCTGTTTTGCCAGGAAGAATGGGAAAGAATTCCAGTCTCTCGATGTGCAAAACTGATAGAGACATACCCCAATCGACTTGCAGCTGTAATTGCAGCAAAAGGTGGCGCTACAAAGTATTAGTGCAAGGGGGCCGAATAATATTGCACGCCCCACTTTTCAGTTTTTTATTTGTTAAAAAAGTTTAAATTATCCAATACATTTTGTTCCACTTCACGATTGTGTCCCACTTGTTGTTGATTCTTGACTAATTTTTTTTTTTTTATATCTTTATGTTTGAAGCCTGAAATGTGGCGAAATGTTGAAAGGTTCTAGGGGGCCAAATACTTTCGCAAGGCACTGTATATATATATATAAAAAAAAAAAAATACAACCCATGCGCATACACGCACACACGCACACACGCACGCACGCACACACACACACACACACACACACACACACACACACACACGCACACACGCACACACACACACACAGGCCCGAACACTCTGACCCCACCCCTCTCTGCCATCACTCGCTCTGTGCTGAGGGCATCACTCTCTTTCCTCCTTGTATTTCTTTAGTACATCTTTTTTAAACAAAGCTTTAAATTGAGTCAGATTTGTACTATTTTTAAGTTCATCCTTTAAGGTATTCCATAGAGAAACTCCTCGCACTGAGACACACATTGACTTTAAAGTGGTCCTTAATTTAGGCAAGTTTCCCATCTCTACACCTTCTCCACCGACTCCCACTGATGACTGCTGTCGTTGTGTCCTTGGGCAAGACACTTAACCCCACTTTGCCCAAAGCCCCCACTGAAAGATCAAGGCTATGCTCACAGTCAGAGAGCAGCCGTCCTCCTGTGGACTCACCACCTGCAGAGGGTCAGTGAGGGGCTGGTGCTATGAGACTTGGGTGGCATCTCTGACTGCCACCCCCCTGACCCAGAAATGGATTAAAGGGAAGAAAATGGATGGATGGATGGATACATGTTTATTTCCTCTTAGTCTATGACTATGATGCGCGTCTGTCACGAAATAAATTCTGAACATTTGGAGGCAGAGAGTTTTTTGATGCCCTGAACATAATCTGAGCAGTTCTAAAGTGAATCAAATCTTGTAATTTAAATTCTTCCAACTCTATGAACAGTGGGTGAGTATGATGCTTGTAGTGAACATTAGAGACAGTCCTTATGGCCTTTTTCTGCAGCGTGATCAGAGGCTGTAAGTGGGATTTGTAGCAGTTTCCCCACACTTCAACACAGTAATGTAAATATGACATGATGAAAGAACGAAACAATAATAGAAGAGCATTGGTGTTGAGTAAATGACTTGCTCTCCTCATCATTCCAACACATTTAGCAACTTTTGACCTGATGAAATGTATGTGGGGTTTCCAGGATATTTTATCTATTACAACTCCTAAAAATGTATTTTGGTGAACTTTTTCCATTTCTGTATCGTCAATGACATTCTTGACAGGAATATTACATCTGCGATTGCTAAAAAGCATAATCTTGGTCTTTTTTATATTTAATGACAACTTGTTTGTATTAAACCAGGTCTTTAGTTTGTTCATTTCAACAGTTACAACGGCCAAGAGCTGCTCCAGATCATCACCTGCACATATGATATTTGTATCATCGGCAAAGAGAATGAATTTCATTAAGTTTGATATTGTACATATATCATGTATGTACATTATGAATAAAGTGGGTCCAAGTATTGATCCTTGAGGTACTCCACACGTTATGTTCTTAAATCCAGATTTGTGTTGGTCAATCTGTACCAGCTGCCTTCTCTCACTTAAATAACTCTCTAACCATTGTTTAGGCTGTCCCCTTATGCCATAGCTCTCAAATTTGTGTATCAAAATATGGTGGTCAATTGTATCGTACGCTTTTTGAAGGTCAATGAAAATCCCTAAAACAAATGTATTTTTCTCAATACCGTTAGTGATTTCTTCAATTAAATCAATTAGTGCTAGTGAAGTGGATCTGTTTTGTCTAAATCCATATTGACTATTGGACAGTAACTTGTGGTTTTCAATAAAGCAGCGAAGTCTAGTGTCAAATACTTTTTCTAATATTTTAGAAAACTGTGGCAGAAGGGAAACAGGCCGATAGTTTGTAAAGTGGTGTTTGTCTCCAGATTTAAAAATTGGTATGACTTTTGCAAGTTTCATTTGTGAGGGAAATTCTCCCAGCTGAAAAGATAAGTTGCAGATATGTGTGAACGGTTTAGCAATTTCCTCTGCTACATTTCGGACAGTCCTCATGTCGAGATCATTAATATCACCAGATGTTTTATTTTTACAGTTCCTAATGACGTTGAGGACTTCCTTCTCGTCTGTGGGGGCGATAAACATCGAATGTGAATTTGTTTCAATGAGTTCTCTTAGCTGATCATTGTTTTCTGGGATTTTTCCTGCCAACTCAGGCCCTATATTAACAAAGAAATTATTAAAACCATTTGCAATCTTCTTTTTGTCTCGAACAATCATGTCATTTTCAAAAGAAAACTCGGGATAACACAGGCTGCTAGAGCCACGACCAATAACGCTATTCAATACATTCCAAATTCCTTTAATGTCATTTTTCTTTTTGAGAAGTAAATCTATATAATATTCTTTTCTGCTGGTTCTCATTATGCTAGTTAATTTATTGTTATATGTTTTGTATTTTTGTTCAGTTTCTGTCGTTTGATACCTAAGAAATTGCCTATACAAGTAATTATTCTTTTTGCAAGCGTTTACAAGGCCTCTTGTTAACCATGGAGTTAACCATATCTGCTGCCGGTGGGGACCGTTAACAGCGTATCCGATTCTCAATATGGTTTCAGACGTAACAGTTCAACTTCACTTGCTCTTATTGATCTTATAGAAGGAATAACCAAGCGCATTGAAAAAAAGTAATTTGTAATTGTAATTTTTATTGATTTACAGAAGTCATTCGACGCCATTGATCATGTCATCTTATTACAGAAACTTGAGAACTGTGGCATCAGGGGGATAGCGCTAACATGGTTACAGAGTTATTTGAAACACAGACAGCCATTTTTCCAAATTGACAAAAGTAAATCCAGTTACGTCACGTGGGGTTCCACAAGGGTCGATTTTGGGGCCCACACGCTTTCTACTGTACATTAATGAATTTTGTAAACCATCCACATGCATGAAGTGTGAACTCTTTGCAGATGATACAAATATCATTATATCTGAGGAGAATTTGGAGCAACTTTTGGAAGAATTAACTAATGAATTAAAACAATTAAAAACTGGTTCCATGCAAATAAATTATCATTAAATCTAAAAAAAAGTAATGTTTTTTGGAAAGAGAAAATTGGATAAAACTGTGAACATAATTATTGATTATGTTCAAAATGAAAGGGTCCAGCAAAATGTGTTCTTAGGCGTGATGCTGGACGACAAGATTTCCTGGAATCCCCATATTAGTTATTCACGTTCTAAAGTTGCCAAGTGTGTCGGTGTCATTAAGAAAGGTAGATATGTACTAAACGTAAAAGCACTGCAAATATTGTATCACTCACTTGTGATGTCACATTTGAATCATTGTGTTGAAGTTTGGGGAAACTGTTATAAAACAAACCTATTGCCTTTGATTACATTCCAGAAAAGAGCACTTTGGATTGTTCACTAAGTCCCTCACAATGAACACACAAGCAGTTTTTTATCAAGAACAGTGATTTAAAATGAGAGGATTTGGTCAATTTTAAAACTGAACAAGTTATGTTCAAGGCATCAAAACACTCTCTTCCAGAAAAAGTCCAAAATCTCTTTTGTGATCGAGACACTCGGCTCCAAGTGAGTCTGAGAAGAGTCCATAGATTACACAGGGTCAGAACAACACTTAAGTCTGTGTGTGTTTCTGTGAGAGGAGTGAGTTTGTGGAATGGACTCACTGAGGACCTGAAAAACTGTTTACATTTGACACCGTTCAAACGATATTTTAAAAGTTTGGTGATGGAAAAGAACCTGGATGAGAGACCATGATCCCTTTATGTAATTGTGACAGTAGGAGAGGGGTGTTGGGTCGGAAAATGATTTGTCTGCGTGTGGAGTGTGTGGGGGTGGCTTTATATAAGCTTCCATCATCCCCCTTTCAAACCAAGCAGCCTTGTATTTTTGTTTTTCCTGTTTGTATACACATGCAGGTTTGAAATAAATAAAGTAAATAAATAAATTGTTCTAAAAAGCTAACAATAGTAAAATATAACAGCACTTCAGGTCACAGCAGCAGAGATGGAATAGTTATTACACTCAAAGTAGCTCAGCGGCTACTTATTTTGGAATTTGTTGACTTTTTTTCCAACACTTTTTGCAGTATGTGATTGTCTTGATTGTTGCAGTTCTTATAAATTCTTTTTCCCTATTTTTGTGATAAGTTGCCGCCTGTTGTCAGTTGCCCCGGTGCAGCTGTGGCTATAGCAGCCCACACACCGACAGTGCATCAATAAGCTTTGAAAGTAAAGAAGTGTTTTTACCTTTTCCCAGAGTCACCGAGGACAATCCCAGTAACAACATCAAACAGACGTCCATCTTGTCCAAGCAGACGACTGTGTGCGTCTGTGTGCGTCTGTGTCCGTCTGTGTGCGTCTGTGTGCGTCTGTGTGCGACTGTGTGCGTCTGTGTGCGTCTGTGTGCTCCGCGTACAAGGCTTTTCCTCTGAACAGAAGGAAACGTTCTTTTATAAAAACATGCTCAACATTCATTCTGATGGTGTCAAACCAGTTTGACATATTCAAGCTTGATTACTGTTAACCTCAGGAGTCATGCACCAGTCATGCACCAGTCATGCACCAGTTATGCACCAGTTATGCACCAGTCACGTACCAGTTATGTACCAGTTATGCACCAGTCATGCACCAGTTATGCACCAGTCACGTACCAGTTATGTACCAGTTATGTACCAGTTATGTACCAGTTATGTACCAGTGTCAGCCAATACAAAAGAAAGGGAAAGTCCAGGGACCAGTTGTGCTCATGGACTGGAGACCAGAGGGACTAAACAGACACATTAATCCTCCACTACAACATAAGTGTGTGAGGATCTTTTTATATCAATTTATTTATAAATGGTAACAACAGTTTGGCACTTTACAGCCGCAGCCGCCCCACTGTGGCACCAGGTGTTCCCAGAGGTCTCCCATCTCAGGACTACCCTACTTAGCTTCAGAGGTCTGACAGGATCTGGCTTTCACCTGCATCTGGCGCCGCCTACATGACACTGATGGGATTGTGTGCGTGCGTAGTAGCAGTAGTAGTAGTATTAGTAGCAGTAGTAGTATTAATAGTAGTAGCAGTAGCATCATTAGCAGTAGTAGTAGTAGCAGTAGTAGTATTAATAGTAGTAGCAGTAGCATCATTAGCAGTAGCAGTAGTAGCAGTAGCAGTAGCAATAGCAGTAGTAGTAGCAGTAGCAGTAGTAGCAGCAGTAGCAGTAGCAATAGCAGTAGTAGTAGTAGCAGTAGTAGCAGTAGCAATAGCAGTAGTAGTAGCAGTAGCAGCAGTAGCAGTAGCAGTAGTAGCAGTAGTAGCAGTAGCAGTAGCATCAGTAGCAGTAGCAGTAGTAGCAGTAGCAGCAGTAGCAGTAGTAGCAGTTGCAGCAGTAGCAGTAGCAGTAGTAGCAGTAGCAGCAGTAGCAGTAGTAGCAGTAGCAGCAGTAGCAGTAGCAGTTGCAGTAGTAGCAATAGCAGTAGCAGCAGTAGCAGCAGCAGTAGTAGCAGTAGCAGTAGCAATAGCAGTAGCAGCAGTAGCAGCAGCAGTAGTAGCAGTAGCAGTAGCAATAGCAGTAGTAGCAGTAGTAGCAGCAGTAGTAGTAGCAGTAGTAGCAGTAGCAGTAGCAGCAGTAGCAGCAGTAGCAGTAGCAGCAGTAGCAGTAGCAGCAGTAGCAGTAGTAGCAGTAGCAGTAGCAGTAGCAGCAGTAGCAGTAGCAGCAGCAGCAGTAGTAGTAGCAGTAGTAGCAGCAGCAGCAGTTGGACCTGCAGGTTGGTCTTTGCTTTTCGCAGCAAAATTCATTAAGAGACGCCCAGACTTCCCTATCCACTTCCTCCAGCTCGTCCGGGGGGACCCCAAGGTGTTCCCAGGCCAGCTGAGAGACATAGTCCCTCCAGCGTGTCCTGGGTCTACCCTGGGGTCTCCTCCCGGTGAGACGTGCCCGGAGGCATCCGGGACGAATGCCCGAGCCACCTCAACTGGTTTGTGGAGAAGCAGCGGCTCTACTCCAAGCTCCTCCCGTGTGACTGAGCTCCTCACCCTATCTCTAAATCTAAAAATCAACACTTTTAAAGTGCTTTGTGACTCTGGTGTGTGAAAGGCGCTATATAAATAAAGGTTACCTGCTCTTCCCACATACTGACTCCTGCTCATCCAGGGGAATCTGGGAGCAAAGTGTCCTGGGTCTTCTCCTGGTCTCAGGTCTCTGCATCTGTACATCTGTGACATGTTAGAGCCATGTGAACCAACTCTGAGGAGCACAGGGACTGGCCTCCTGCTGGGACTCTGAGGAGCACAGGGACTGGCCTCCTGCTGGGACTCTGAGGAGCACAGGGACTGGCCTCCTGCTGGGACTCTGAGGAGCACAGGGACTGGCCTCCTGCTGGGACTCTGAGGAGCACAGGGACTGGCCGCCTTCTGGGACTCTGAGGAGCACAGGGACTGGACTCCTGCTGGGACTCTGAGGAGCACAGGGACTGGCCTCCTGCTGGGACTCTGAGGAGCACAGGGACTGGCCTCTTGCTGGGACTCTGAGGAGCACAGGGACTTGCCTCCTGCTGGGACTCTGAGGAGCACAGGGACTGGCCTCCTGCTGGGACTCTGAGGAGCACAGGGACTGGCCTCCTGCTGGGACTCTGAGGAGCACAGGGACTGGCCTCCTGCTGGGACTCTGAGGAGCACAGGGACTGGCCTCTTGCTGGGACTCTGAGGAGCACAGGGACTTGCCTCCTGCTGGGACTCTGAGGAGCACAGGGACTGGCCTCCTGCTGGGACTCTGAGGAGCACAGGGACTGGCCTCCTGCTGGGACTCTGAGGAGCACAGGGACTGGACTCCTGCTGGGACTCTGAGGAGCACAGGGACTGGACTCCTGCTGGGACTCTGAGGAGCACAGGGACTGGCCGTCTATGCAGCTTAAATCTGGTTTGTCTTTCAGAAGATGTCTGTCTCACATTTTCAGGAAATGTTAAAATCCAGGTTAAAAAACAGTTCTGAGAGATTTTCTTCACTCCTTTTACTGTGATTTTTAATGATTCTAATGCCTCCTGTTGTGTGGTGTCTGTTGTGTGTGGCGTCTGTTGTGTGTGGCGTCTGTTGTGTGTGACGTCTGTTGTGTGGCGTCTGTTGTGTGTGGCGTCTGTTGTGTGTGGTGTCTGTTGTGTGTGGTGTCTGTTGTGTGGTGTCTGTTGTGTGTGGCGTCTGTTGTGTGGTGTCTGTTGTGTGGTGTCTGTTGTGTGTGGTGTCTGTTGTGTGTGGTGTCTGTTGTGTGGTGTCTGTTGTGTGTGGTGTCTGTTGTGTGGCGTCTGTTGTGTGGCGTCTGTTGTGTGTGCCGTCTGTTGTGTGTGCCGTCTGTTGTGTGGTGACTTTTGTGCGTCCGCAGCTGCAGACCTGTGCAGACGTGCGGTGCCTCAGTCCGGCTCTCAGGGACTGGATTCATCGCTGTGGAGTCCCTGAGGTCTCTGGGGCCTCGACCGCGGAGCTCCCCGACATCTACAGACGAGTCGTCACACACTACATCCACGACCGGTACAGACTCCGGCCACGTCCGCTTTATTTGTGTGGCACTGGTCCTCAGTCTGGTCTCTGGGTCCTCAGTCCGGTCTCTGGGTCCTCAATCCTGTCTCTGGGTCCTCAGTCCTGTCTCTGGGTCCTCAGTCTGGTCTCTGGCTCCACAGGGTCTCTTGGTTGGTGGAGCAGTTCACTGTTATCCTCTGGTTACCCTCTGGTTACCCACTGGTCCTCCTCTGGTTCCCCTCTGGTCCTCCTCTGGTCCTCCTCTGGTTCCCCTCTGGTCCCCCTCTGGTCCTCCTCTGGTTCTCCTCTGGTTCCCCTCTGGTTCCCCTCTGGTCCCCCTCTGGTCCTCCTCTGGTTCTCCTCTGGTTCCCCTCTGGTTCCCCTCTGGTTCCCCTCTGGTCCCCCTCTGGTCCTCCTCTGGTTCTCCTCTGGTTCCCCTCTGGTTCCCCTCTGGTCCCCCTCTGGTCCTCCTCTGGTTCCCCTCTGGTTCCCCTCTGGTCCCCCTCTGGTCCTCCTCTGGTTCCCCTCTGGTTCCCCTCTGGTCCCCCTCTGGTCCTCCTCTGGTTACCCTCTGGTCCTCCTCTGGTTCTCCTCTGGTTCCCCTCTGGTCCTCCTCTGGTTCCCCTCTGGTCCCCCTCTGGTCCTCCTCTGGTTCCCCTCTGGTTCCCCTCTGGTCCCCCTCTGGTTCCCCTCTGGTCCTCCTCTGGTTCCCCTCTGGTTCCCCTCTGGTTCCCCTCTGGTCCTCCTCTGGTCCTCCTCTGGTTCCCCTCTGGTTCTCCTCTGGTTCTCCTCTGGTTCTCCTCTGGTTCTCCTCTGGTTCCCCTCTGGTCCCCCTCTGGTTCTCCTCTGGTTCTCCTCTGGTTCTCCTCTGGTTCCCCTCTGGTCCCCCTCTGGTTCTCCTCTGGTTCTCCTCTGGTCCCCCTCTGGTTCTCCTCTGGTTCTCCTCTGGTTCTCCTCTGGTTCTCCTCTGGTCCCCCTCTGGTTCTCATCTGGTTCTCCTCTGGTTCCCCTCTGGATTGTTTTATATATTAAACAGAGATTTGAATACTTAATGAGACTGTCCCAGTTTAAAGCCTGTGCTTTTGAAGAATATTGCAGTGATGATGTCGTAAAGGGCTTTTTGTCCCGTACTTTTATTGTCCCTTTGTTTAATGATTCTATTGGTTTTAATGTTTTATTTGCCTGTGACCCAGTTGTTAAACAGTCAGTGATGTGAGACCATGGAATGCATACACATTTTTGCTGCTTGCAGAGACAGTTGTGACCTGATGAACGGACATTTGAAAGATTGAATTTGACTTTCTTTCAGACCTTTTTCACTTGTGTTTTGAATGTGAGATTTAAGTCTATTGTGATGCCCAGATATTTGTATTCTTAAACCATTTGCAATTTTTCACCTGCAATAAAAACATCTGACCATTGATCTGTGGTATTGGACTTGGAAAAAAGACTGTTTTATTGACGTTGAGTTTTAAGCATGACTGATTTAACCAATCTGTAAAATGGACCAAAGACTGGGTTTTCCAGCCACTTGTGACGGGTGTTTGCCATGTGCATAGATTACTGTGTCATCAGCATACACTTGAACTTGGTCTGTCAGTGCCTTATGGTGCGTTCAGACCAAACGCGATTTCTGCGGCCAAAGCGGCGGGTCTACATTGACACAACATGGGGGACGCGCGCCAAGGAGCGGCGAGAGATCACGCGGCGCGATTCGCGCGGCCAGAGCGGCGCGAATTCGAGCGTTTCGCGCGATTCGCGCGGCGTGTTTTGAGATGTCAAGCGTTTTGACGCGCGTTTCGCGCGATTCGTGCCTCCAACGCGGCCGCCGCTAGAGTTGAACAATGTTGAACTTTTTGGGAGAATTCGCGTGTGCCGACCAATCAGGAGCTTTCTCCTCCAGTGACGTAGTGACGCATTTCACTACCGGAAAAACACTGGTAGATGACAGCTATGGAGGACACGTCAATTGCTCAGGTCGGTGCTCATTCTGAGCTATACAACACTGCGGACCACAGCTACCGGGACCGAAATAAAAAGAAGCTTGCTTGGAGGAGGGTTAGCGAGGTGGTTGGTGTCTCGGGTAAGTTATTTTAACTTTTCAATGTTGTAAATATTTCCCCGCGAAAAAAACTACTACTTTCCTGCTTACGAGTTGATGTGTTTATTCAGTGGAAGTTTGCAAAAAGCGGTGGAAGAATCTGAGGGACACATATGAGGTGCTGAAGGTCGGTGTCATGCAGCAAACGGAGACCTCGAACAGTTGGAAAAAATACATTTCTTTCCTTTCTATTACCCACATTTTGCTGACTTTTACATTTATATTGCTTTCTGTGTATGCATTTCTTTTAATGCTTTCTTAACATCATGGCCAGGTGAAAATAGGCATTGGCTATTTTCAAACCAGGATAGATCTTGATCATGTGTTGTGTTAAATTTCACTTTTCCCTTTTATATGAACAAATCATTTAAATGTACATAATAATGTACATTATTATGTACATATAAATGTCATAAGCGCAATGTACACATGATATGAAATAATTGTATTTCTTGTTTTCTTCTGGCGCAGATACTGCCACCACCACACAAGGTGAGACATCTTGGCCTGAGCTGCTGCTGCTGCTGCTGCTGCTTCCTCAGCCGGTTCTTCTTCTGTGAGGGCTGGACCTTCCCCTGCTTCTGCACCTACAGGTGTGGCTTTTTTTAATCATTGTTATATTTTTATTCTTATTACAGGACTGTTCATATAAACAAAATGTTACTGCATAATATGCCAAAATTACCCAAGGGCTGTTACATCAGTGTAGACGACAAATTTACAGAGAAACGACAAGATGTCAAGGCACTACAGGTGGAAAGAAGCTTTGGTCTGATACAACACATCTTCCCTCTTTCTTTGATAAAAACATACTACTGAAATACCTTATGCTATAAAAGTACTGAACAAATACATGCAATGGTTGCCACAAGATGGCAGCTATCCTGTTTAATGCAGACAATAGAGTATTACTTTTTTACAGCCAATTTCAAATTTCATTGCGAAATACACTTCAGAGATATTAGTTTGTAACTGTCGAAATTTGTGCATGTGTGAGTAATTTCATTGATAACTGCAATGTTCAAGTTAATTGTAACAAACACACAACTTAAAAGTGTTTTACATGTGTTTAACTATGTCTACACACTCTGGCTTTAATACAGATATTATTTGCTCTCTTCATTTTGCTTTTTTGAAATACATGTTCCACTTTTTAACACTGTGATTGCCCTGTGTTCTTTGTTGGCGGCTCTACGGACGTGGGCCTCTTCCGAGCCCTCTTCCTTGGTGGGCCTTCAGAGTGGGAGCGGGAGCTGCTGGAGACTCTACGGACCAAAGCAGCCGGACCGCCCGACTACTCAGAAGACCATCAGTTCCTGCTCTCTCTCTTTCCTCTCCTGCAAAGGGTGGCACCAGAGTCAAAAGAATTTGTGAAATTCAAAATGTACCAACTTTTATATGAAAGCAGCACCGTTCTGCTTAATTTGGAACCATTGGCCAGTACAGTTTTTTTTACCTAAGGTAACACCTTTTGCAGGGGAGGAAACAGACATGTGTCCCTTTCCTCTTCCACCGCACCTCCTCCAAGCAAGCTCCTTTTCATTTGTTTATATGTACATTTCATTTATTTTTCATTGTTTGTTCCTTTTTTTATAAAGAAAATATTTTTCAAACCTCATGTGTTCTACTTCAAGCCAACCATTACTACCTTTCATATAATATTGACAGAAAATGCTATTCTATATTTGTACATTTACTTTTATAAGAGCTGACTGGGTTTTATAGAAGATGGAATAACAAACACTTAAAGAGCGATACAGTAGTTGACAGTATTTTTTATTCATTTCACCTTTTACTGTTTTAACAACCTTGTAATTATGGAAAAGCTTGAATGTGCATATGATTAACCTGAAGTTGGAGTGGAGTCGCAGTGGAGTCTGGCAGTCATTACCTAGAAACAGAAGGTATACAGGTGAATAGAATAGTGCAAATCAATATGGGTTTGGACTATGGCCAGATGTGGGTCAGTCTTGTGGTGGACATGACTACTCTGTGGGCTGCCACGGCAGTGCTCCCTCCTCACTGAAGTGGGCCATGAACACTTTCCTTATGTCCACTGCTGGCTTCCAGGCGGCCATCCGCTGCACGCCTGGAAGTGGTTCTTCACCGGCAGCAGCTCCCCTCGGTGCAGGAACCTGCCCATCTCCAGCCATCCTCATCCTCATCCTGGAGATGGGCAGGGCGCATTAAATTGCAGCGCAGTGAAAAGGCCTCATCTGCCACGAACACATGGGGCTGGGGTCCTCTGTGGTCAGCTCCAGGTATGCACTGGTCAGGAGGCAGGTCGAGTGTGACCTCGCGCAGAGCCTCACCAAAGGCAGAGTGGACACGATGCCTCCATCGCTGGATCTGCCGTACCCTCCCACATCAATCACCCTGAACCTGTACTGGGCATCCACTACAGCCAGGAGCACAAGGGAATGGTGCCCCTTATAATTAAAAAACATGGACCCAGAGTTGGGGGGTGCCTTCACAGCCACATGCTTCCCATCAATGGCCCCACAGCACAGAGGGAAGTTCCATCGGACCTCCACTCCTCTGCTCCAGGCACAGCCATGAACTCCTCCACGAGGCAGTCCCAGATGGCTGCCACCACATCTGGGATGAGCATGGAGACGGTGGATATGCCCGCTCTGAAGCTCCCCGCAATGGTCCTGTAGGAGTCCCCAGTGGCAAGAAACCTGCAATTACAAAATGATATGAACATATTTATCACAATTACATTCATAAAAATCACGTGACAAAACTTGTGTAGCATAAAATACGTTAAACTAGTAGACAGTAAACATCATAGACAGTAATCATAGACACCATATTGTTGCATAATACTGTTTTCTGAGCAATTACATTGTGGATTGTGATTGAAAAATGACACACTTTGTAAGTTTTTAGGAATTCTGAATGGGGTAAAAAACACTAACCGCAGACAGATGGACAGGCGCTCTTCAGCTGGAATAGAGCGCCTGTAGTTGGAGTCCTGGTAGGGAGATCCTTGCGCCAATGCGGGTCAGTAGGTCGTCAAACTGGGCCAGGGAGAGACGAAAGTACCGCTGAAAGCGACCCTCATCCGAGCGCAGCTCCCGGAGCAAATGGTGAAACTCACCAAACTCCAACCGTCTACGGACTATCTGATGAATCCAGACACGTCGTCGATTCGCCCTTTGACGACGTGTCTGGCTTTATTTATCAGATAAAGCAACTCCTTCGCTGACATCCATTTTGGGAAGCTACAGGCAAAAGAGACAAGCTCCGCCCCTAAACGCTCTCAACTCTCTGTGACAGCGGCTGCCCTCTAGTGTCCTGGCCGCGCGGCCAAGTTTCTCTGTGACAGCGGCTGCCCTCTAGTGTCCTGGCCGCGCGGCCAAGTTTCTCTGTGACAGCGGCTGCCACAATTTGTCACAAGCGGCTCAAGCCGCGCGATAGACGCGATTTGGCCGCAGAAATCGCGTTTGGTCTGAACGCACCATTAGACACTGTAGGTCTGCTGCTGATGGTCTGTCAGTGCAGACTGAAAAGCGGTCTCCATTTTTAAAGACTGGAATGACAGCAGCTGATTTCCAGACCTGAGGAGAAATGACTTCTGTGATAGACTGATTTAGGATTTTAGTTATTGGAGTGATTAATGACGTGCCAAGTTCTTTCAGTGCACATGGGTCTATACTGAATACATCTTTTGTTTTGGATGGTTTTAAGGATTGAATAGTCTGTGAAACCTGGGCCTCGGAGAAATGGTAATGCCACCAGAAGGAAATGACTGGGCAATAGTGGACACGGACTCGATAAAGAAATTATTGAAGGCATCTGCAACACTTTTTGGATTAATTCCAAGAGTTTCATGTGTTTTACATCATGACCCAAAAGTTTCTTTACATGATTCCAGATCATTTTAGAGTTTCCTTTTGCATTATCAATGAAACTCAAGAAAATAGTGGCTTTGGCTTTTCAAATGCTTTTAACCACCTTGTTCCTGAGAGTTGCAAATAACTTTTTACCATCTGGTGTCTTACTTTTTAAAGCATACATCGACTGTACCTCTGCTGTACACAGACTGCACGCAGACTGCGTGCACGCAGACTGCGCGCAGACTGCACGCAGACTGCACACAGACTGCACATCCGAGGTCCCTGACATCACAGGTTCCTGTGGACTCGATGGCTCTTGGCCAGATGCCAGGTCCTGCACCTGATAAGACAGTTTCACGATCGTCCTTACAACAACACTGGTTCACTTCCTGCTGCTTTAAGAGAAAAATACTTTGACCTTCACTGCATCTTGAGTTTATTAGTTTTGACACGTGTTTCTCAGACTTTGTGCCCTGTTTACACCATGAATCAAATCACACATGTCCCAAATCTTTGGTTGTGGTTATAAATTTAGAGATGAATGCGTGCAGTCTGCACACAGACTGTACATCGGAGGTCCCTGACATCACAGGTTCCTGTGGACTCGATGGCTCTTGGCCAGATGCCAGATGCCTGTGATTGGCCCACAGCCTGTGATTGGCCAGCAACCTTCACCACAGCCTGTGATTGGCCAGCAGCCTTCACCACAGCCTGTGATTGGCCCACAGCCTTCACCACAGACTCATATGTGTTTGTTTTGTTTTTATTCAGATCCCCATTAGCTACTGAAAGAGACAGTAGCTATTGTTCCTGGGGTCCATGTGGATGGGCAGGTTCAACAGAAGAGCCTGTATTTAAAGGAACAATGGTTGGAATCTGGAGAGACGTGTTCTTTTTATTTCTGCAGATTATCTTAAACTAAATCTAAACCACTCCTATTTACAAGTACGCTACAAAGTTGTCTCTTGGCCAGCAACAGATCAGAGAATCAATGTAGATCCAGGACTGGGGCCATAGATCCGGGCCTCCTTCTTTACTGTATACAGACCTCAGATTATACCAACTACCTGTGTTGGGCACAACATGGACCAGGAAGTTCGTGAGGTGAGGGTTAAGTTTAGGTCCAGAGTTAAGGTTAAGGATAGGGTTGAGATTTAGGTTGAAGGTTAGAGCCAGAGTTAAGGGGAGGGATAGAGGGTTAATCATGAGTCTGACACTAGTAAATGCAGTATATAACATGTGTTTTATTTACACAACATAAGTGAAGTACATATAGTTCTCACATTTCATACAGATAGTGTATAATCAAAACACATCCTTTTCACCGAACGTTCTTTGGCAAAGGACAGAATGCACCAGGGCTGAAAAAAGGCCAAGATCAAGCTGTTACTTTCTGAAAGGCTGTGACGCTGACCGCAGGATCCAGACCGGGCAGCTGGCCTTTCAGGAACTGTAAGAGAAAGATTTGTTTAATTCAGGGGTCTCTAAACCAAACCAGACGAGTCTAGGGGCCGGCAGCATTGGTGTGTCCCTATCAGTGAATAGATAGGTACTTATCCTTGAACCAGGTGCAAGAGTGACATAAGAGTTTCCTCATTTATTTTATTCTGCTGTAAATTATGACACTGAAGTTTCCCCACTAAGGCCCTATAAAGGACTAATAAAGAATGGTTTATCTCACTGTTTTTCAACCAGTGGGTCTTGGCACGAGAGTTGTTTGGTCCACTATCATCTTATCAATGAAGACTCTGCAGAGTTTCATGTTTGTAAAAGTTTTAGCTCCAGAAGAATGTAAACTTTTTATTGTAAATATCCTTTTTGCCTGAAGACTTTGCTTTTTAAATGTGATTCAATTTCTTACTAATTTCCTACTGAGAACTTTTCCTTAAAACTCAAATGCCTTTTCCGACCGAGCCATGAGTTTGGAAAAGTATTCTTATTATGTGCACTGCAAAAAGTGATGAAAAACAAGCCAATCACGCACACAGAGTGGTGTTGGCGCAGACTGCGGTCGGAGTGGTTCATGATCATCTCCTACATGTACGTCTGGTCTTACCATGTGTAAACTCTGGTCCATGATCATTTCCTACATGTACGTCTGGTCTTACCATGTGTAAACTCTGGTCCATGATCATTTCCTACATGTACGTCTGGTCTTACCATGTGTAAACTCTGGTTCATGATCATTTCCTACATGTACGTCTGGTCTTACCATGTGTAAACTCTGGTCTATGATCATTTCCTACATGTACGTCTGGTCTTACCATGTGTAAACTCTGGTCCATGATCATTTCCTACATGTACGTCTGGTCTTACCATGTGTAATCTCTGGTCCATGATCATTTCCTACATGTACGTCTGGTCTTACCATGTGTAAACTCTGGTCCATGATCATTTCCTACATGTACGTCTGGGTCTTACCATGTGTAATCTCTGGTCCATGATCATTTCCTACATGTACGTCTGGTCTTACCATGTGTAAACTCTGGTCCATGATAATTTCCTACATGTACGTCTGGTCTTACCATGTGTAAACTCTGGTCCATGATCATTTCCTACATGTACGTCTGGTCTTACCATGTGTAAACTCTGGTCCATGATCATCTCCTACATGTACGTCTGGTCTTACCATGTGTAAACTCTGGTCCATGATCATCTCCTACATGTACGTCTGGTCTTACCATGTGTAAACTCTGGTCCATGATCATTTCCTACATGTACGTCTGGTCTTACCATGTGTAAACTCTGGTCCATGATCATTTGCTACATGTACGTCTGGTCTTACCATGTGTAAACTCTGGTCCATGATCATTACCTACATGTACGTCTGGTCTTACCATGTGTAAACTCTGGTCCATGATCATCTCCTACATGTACGTCTGGTCTTACCATGTGTAAACTCTGGTCCATGATCATTTCCTACATGTACGTCTGGTCTTACCATGTGTAAACTCTGGTCCATGATCATCTCCTACATGTACGTCTGGTCTTACCATGTGTAAACTCTGGTCCATGATCATTTCCTACATGTACGTCTGGTCTTACCATGTGTAAACTCTGGTCCATGATCATATCCTACATGTACGTCTGGTCTTACCATGTGTAAACTCTGGTCCATGATCATTTCCTACATGTACGTCTGGGTCTGATCCTAGTGGCTGCAGTTTCCTCGGTTGAATCCCCTCCGACCAATCAGAGAGCGGGGGAGGCGGGTGTTGTAGGTCGTGTCGGTGACGTCAAGAGTTTGTGTTGAATTTGCTGGTTGTAGTCATGGATCTATTATAATGGATGGAGTATTACAGCTTGGAGCTGAAGGACCCATGTGCTCAGGGGATTCTCGCGGTACTGCAAACTGAGCCAGACTAAATTCACTTTACCCAGAAATTTCGCAGAGGCTTGGTTGTAGTTTGTCGGAGAATGCGATAGTAAAATAATGTGTTTTGGTTCAATCCAAATATCAAGAAACTGACGCCGGAGCAAGAGGAATGTTTAGTAAATGTCATTGAAGCAAAGATGTTGTGGCTCTACTCCCCACGGGCTCCGTTAGCGGCAAAGGCAAAGGAGATGGCTAAAGCTAGGCTACATGCTAAAGCTAGGCCAATGGTTTCAATCTACAAAAGGAGTTAGCCCCTCCCACCTGTTCACGGAGACAATGGAGCTTAGTACCAAATGAAATGAGTACGATGGTATGGTAAGACCAGGCTATGAGGAAACCATTAACAGGTTATAATCTAAATTTAAAGGGTTCTTTGAAGACATTTATAAAGTTATTGTTTTTGTCTTTTCTTATAGAGAAACATTTCATATTTAAGTTAAAGATCTTTAAATACTTCCAGCTTTAATGTTGAGAACCGTCACAGTTTAGAAGAAAAGAAAAGCACCAGAAAAGTTAATGCTTTTTCATTGGAAAGAAATTCAGATTCTTTAGGAAATCTTTACTTTTGTTTGGTTTTATTTGTGGTGAATGTAAAAGTCTGGTTTTGTATTTTGTTTGTCCTGTTTTTCTTCTTAATAAACGCTGCAAAAATGATCAAATATGAGGTAATAGATGGATCCAGTGTTTTTTGTCTTAATCTGACACATTCTGACTGTGTTAAAAAGATTCTCCGATGGGACAAAGACATTTAGTCTGATTTCAAGAATTGTGACCTACTGTAGCAGCAGTAGCAGTAGCAGTAGCAGCAGCAGAAATAGCAGTAGTAGCAGGAACAGGAGTAGCAGTAGTAGTAGCAGTAGTAGTAGTAGCAGCAGTAGCAGTAGTAGCAGTAGCAGTAGCAGTAGTAGCAGTAGCAGTAGCAGCAGTAGCAGTAGTAGCAGCAGTAGCAGCAGTAGTAGCAGCAGCAGTAGCAGCAGTAGCAGTAGTAGCAGCAGTAGCAGCAGTAGCAGTAGCAGCAGTAGCAGTAGCATTAGCAGCAGTAGCAGTAGCATTAGCAGCAGTAGCAGTAGTAGCAGCAGTAGCAGCCGTAGTAGCAGTAGCAGTAGCAGCAGCAGCAGTAGCAGTAGCAGTAGTAGCAGTAGCAGCAGTAGCAGTAGCAGCAGTAGCAGCAGTAGCAGTAGTAGCAGCAGTAGCAGTAGCAGTAGCAGCAGTAGCAGCAGTAGCAGTAGCAGCAGTAGCAGCAGTAGCAGTAGTAGCAGCAGTAGCAGTAGCAGTAGTAGTAGTAGCAGCAGTACTAGCAGTAGCAGTAGTAAAAGTAGCAGCAGTAGCAGTAGCAGCAGTAGCAGCAGCAGTAGCAGCAGTAGCAGTAGTAGCAGCAGTAGTAGTAGCAGCAGTAGCAGTAGCAGTAGTAGCAGTAGCAGCAGTACTAGCAGTAGCAGTAGCAGCAGTAGCAGTAGCAGCATTAGCAGCAGCAGCAGCAGCAGTAGCAGCAGTAGTAGTAGTAGTAGCAGTAGCAGTAGCAGCAGTACTAGCAGTAGCAGTAGTAGCAGTAGCAGCAGTAGTAGCAGCAGTAGCAGCAGCAGCAGTAGTAGCAGCAGTAGCAGTAGCAGCAGTAGTAGTAGTAGTAGTAGTAGTAGCAGCAGTAGTAGTAGTAGTAGTAGCAGCAGTAGTAGTAGTAGTAGCAGTAGTAGCAGTAGTAGTAGCAGTAGTAGCAGTAGTAGTAGCAGTAGTAGCAGTAGTAGTAGTAGTAGTAGCAGTAGTAGTAGTAGTAGTAGTAGCTATTGGTGTAGACTTGTGACTAATAATAAATGAAAGTATTTTCCTCACGTTGGTTCAGAACGATCTGCTCCAGTTCCTCTTTGGACTTTTGACTTTTATTCAGAACCTGCTCCTGGTCCCACAGTCTCTGACGGAGAAGCTTCAGCTGCTCCAGGAGGACTCCCACCTGAGAGACGTTTCAGTAAAGACGTTTCAGTGAGACGTGTTTCAGTGAGACGTGTTTCAGTGAGACGTGTTTCAGTGAGACGTGTTTCAGTGAGACGTTTCAGTGAGACGTGTTTCAGTGAGACGTTTCAGTGAGACGTGTTTCAGTGAGACGTTTCAGTGAGACGTGTTTGTGGTTGTAGTCGGAGGCTCAGTTGTGGTTGTTGTCTGAGGGTCGGTTGTGGTTGTTATAGTTGGGGGCTTGGTTGTGGTTGTTGTCGGAGGCTCAGTTGTGGTTGTTGTCGGAGGCTCAGTTGTGGTTGTTGTCGGAGGCTCAGTTGTGGTTGTTGTCGGAGGCTCAGTTGTGGTTGTTGTTGGAGCTGTGGTGGTGGTAGTTGTTGGAGGAGCTGTAGTTGTGGTGGTTGTTGGAGGAGCTGTGGTGGTGGTAGTTGTTTGAGGAGCTGTGGTGGTGGTGGTTGTTGGAGGAGCTGTGGTGGTGGTAGTTGTTGGAGGAGCTGTAGTGGTGGTAGTTGTTGGAGGAGCTGTGGTTGTGGTAGTTGTTGGCGGAGCTGTAGTTGTGGTATTGTTGGAGGAGCTGTAGTTGTGGTTGTTGGAGGAGCTGTAGTTGTGGTGGTTGTTGGAGGAGCTGTAGTTGTGGTAGTTGTTGGAGGAGCTGTAGTTGTGGTAGTTGTTGGAGGAGCTGTGGTGGTGGTAGTTGTTGGAGGAGCTGTAGTTGTGGTAGTTGTTGGAGGAGCTGTAGTTGTGGTGGTTGTTGGAGGAGCTGTGGTGGTGGTGGTTGTTGGAGGAGCTGTGGTGGTGGTAGTTGTTGGAGGAGCTGTAGTTGTGGTAGTTGTTGGAGGAGCTGTGGTGATGGTGGTTGTTGGAGGAGCTGTGGTGGTGGTAGTTGTTGGAGGAGCTGTAGTTGTGGTAGTTGTTGGAGGAGCTGTGGTGGTGGTAGTTGTTGGAGGAGCTGTAGTTGTGGTGGTTGTTGGAGGAGCTGTGGTGGTGGTAGTTGTTGGAGGAGCTGTAGTTGTGGTAGTTGTTGGAGGAGCTGTAGTGGTGGTAGTTGTTGGAGGAGCTGTAGTTGTGGTGGTTGTTGGAGGAGCTGTGATGGTGGTAGTTGTTGGAGGAGCTGTAGTGGTGGTAGTTGTTGGAGGAGCTGTGGTTGTGGTAGTTGTTGGGGGAGCTGTGGTGGTGGTAGTTGTTAGAGGAGCTGTAGTTGTGGTATTGTTGGAGGAGCTGTGGTTGTGGTAGTTGTTGGCGGAGCTGTAGTTGTGGTGGTTGTTGGAGGAGCTGTAGTTTTGGTGGTTGTTGGAGGAGCTGTAGTTGTGGTAGTTGTTGGAGGAGCTGTAGTTGTGGTAGTTGTTGGAGGAGCTGTGGTGGTGGTAGTTGTTGGAGGAGCTGTAGTTGTGGTAGTTGTTGGAGGAGCTGTAGTTGTGGTGGTTGTTGGAGGAGCTGTGGTGGTGGTGGTTGTTGGAGGAGCTGTGGTGGTGGTAGTTGTTGGAGGAGCTGTAGTTGTGGTAGTTGTTGGAGGAGCTGTGGTGGTGGTGGTTGTTGGAGGAGCTGTGGTGGTGGTAGTTGTTGGAGGAGCTGTAGTTGTGGTAGTTGTTGGAGGAGCTGTGGTTGTGGTAGTTGTTGGGGGAGCTGTGGTTGTGGTAGTTGTTGGAGGAGCTGTGGTGGTGGTAGTTGTTGGAGGAGCTGTGGTGGTGGTTGTTGGAGGAGCTGTGGTGGTAGTTGTTGTTGGAGGAGCTGTAGTTATGGTAGTTGTTGGAGGAGCTGTAGTTGTGGTAGTTGTTGGAGGAGCTGTGGTTGTGGTAGTTGTTGGAGGAGCTGTGGTGGTGGTAGTTGTTGGAGGAGCTGTAGTTGTGGTAGTTGTTGGAGGAGCTGTGGTGGTGGTGGTTGTTGGAGGAACTGTGGTTGTGGTAGTTGTTGGAGGAGCTGTGGTGGTGGTAGTTGTTGGAGGAGCTGTGGTGGTGGTTGTTGGAGGAGCTGTAGTTGTGGTAGTTGTTGTTGGAGGAGCTGTAGTTATGGTAGTTGTTGGAGGAGCTGTAGTTGTGGTAGTTGTTGGGGGAGCTGTGGTTGTGGTAGTTGTTGGAGGAGCTGTGGTGGTGGTAGTTGTTGGAGGAGCTGTGGTGGTGGTTGTTGGAGGAGCTGTAGTTGTGGTAGTTGTTGTTGGAGGAGCTGTAGTTATGGTAGTTGTTGGAGGAGCTGTAGTTGTGGTAGTTGTTGGAGGAGCTGTGGTTGTGGTAGTTGTTGGAGGAGCTGTGGTGGTAGTTGTTGTTGGAGGAGCTGTAGTTGTGGTGGTTGTTGGAGGAGCCGTGGGGGTGGTAGTTGTTGGAGGAGCTGTAGTTGTGGTGGTTGTTGGAGGAGCCGTGGTGGTGGTAGTTGTTGGAGGAGCTGTGGTGGTGGTAGTTGTTGGAGGAGCTGTAGTTGTGGTGGTTGTTGGAGGAGCCGTGGGGGTGGTAGTTGTTGGAGGAGCTGTAGTTGTGGTGGTTGTTGGAGGAGCCGTGGTGGTGGTAGTTGTTGGAGGAGCTGTGGTGGTGGTAGTTGTTGGAGGAGCTGTAGTTGTGGTGGTTGTTGGAGGAGCTGTGGTGGTGGTAGTTGTTAGAGGAGCTGTAGTTGTGGTGGTTGTTGGAGGAGCTGTGGTTGTGGTTGTTGGAGGAGCTGTAGTTGTGGTAGTTGTTGGAGGAGCTGTGGTGGTGGTTGTTGGAGGAGCTGTGGTGGTAGTTGTTGTTGGAGGAGCTGTAGTTATGGTAGTTGTTGGAGGAGCTGTAGTTGTGGTAGTTGTTGGAGGAGCTGTGGTTGTGGTAGTTGTTGGAGGAGCTGTAGTTGTGGTAGTTGTTGGAGGAGCTGTAGTTGTGGTAGTTGTTGGAGGAGCTGTGGTGGTGGTAGTTGTTGGAGGAGCTGTGGTGGTGGTAGTTGTTGGAGGAGCTGTGGTGGTGGTAGTTGTTGGAGGAGCTGTGGTGGTGGTAGTTGTTGGAGGAGCTGTGGTGGTGGTGGTTGTTGGAGGAGCTGTGGTTGTGGTAGTTGTTGGAGGAGCTGTAGTTGTGGTAGTTGTTGGAGGAGCTGTAGTTGTGGTAGTTGTTGGAGGAGCTGTAGTTGTGGTAGTTGTTGGAGGAGCTGTGGTGGTGGTGGTGGTTGTTGGAGGAGCTGTGGTTGTGGTAGTTGTTGGAGGAGCTGTAGTTGTGGTAGTTGTTGGAGGAGCTGTGGTGGTGGTAGTTGTTGGAGGAGCTGTGGTGGTGGTAGTTGTTAGAGGAGCTGTGGTGGTGGTAGTTGTTGGAGGAGCTGTAGTTGTGGTAGTTGTTGGAGGAGCTGTGGTGGTGGTAGTTGTTGGAGGAGCTGTGGTGGTGGTAGTTGTTGGGGGAGCTGTGGTGGTAGTTGTTGTTGGAGGAGCTGTAGTTATGGTAGTTGTTGGAGGAGCTGTAGTTGTGGTAGTTGTTGGAGGAGCTGTGGTTGTGGTAGTTGTTGGAGGAGCTGTGGTGGTGGTAGTTGTTGGAGGAGCTGTAGTTGTGGTAGTTGTTGGAGGAGCTGTGGTGGTGGTGGTTGTTGGAGGAGCGTGTGGTGGTGGTAGTTGTTGGAGGAGCTGTAGTTGTGGTAGTTGTTGGAGGAGCTGTGGTTGTGGTAGTTGTTGGGGGAGCTGTGGTTGTGGTAGTTGTTGGAGGAGCTGTGGTGGTGGTAGTTGTTGGAGGAGCTGTGGTGGTGGTTGTTGGAGGAGCTGTAGTTGTGGTAGTTGTTGGAGGAGCTGTAGTTGTGGTAGTTGTTGGAGGAGCTGTGGTTGTGGTAGTTGTTGGAGGAGCTGTAGTTATGGTAGTTGTTGGAGGAGCTGTAGTTGTGGTAGTTGTTGGAGGAGCTGTGGTTGTGGTAGTTGTTGGAGGAGCTGTGGTGGTAGTTGTTGTTGGAGGAGCTGTAGTTATGGTAGTTGTTGGAGGAGCTGTAGTTGTGGTAGTTGTTGGAGGAGCTGTGGTTGTGGTAGTTGTTGGAGGAGCTGTAGTTGTGGTAGTTGTTGGAGGAGCTGTAGTTGTGGTAGTTGTTGGAGCTGTGGTGGTGGTAGTTGTTGGAGGAGCTGTGGTGGTGGTAGTTGTTGGAGGAGCTGTAGTTGTGGTGGTTGTTGGAGGAGCCGTGGGGGTGGTAGTTGTTGGAGGAGCTGTAGTTGTGGTAGTTGTTGGAGGAGCTGTGGTGGTGGTAGTTGTTGGAGGAGCTGTAGTTGTGGTAGTTGTTGGAGGAGCTGTGGTGGTGGTGGTTGTTGGAGGAGCTGTGGTGGTGGTAGTTGTTGGAGGAGCTGTAGTTGTGGTAGTTGTTGGAGGAGCTGTGGTTGTGGTAGTTGTTGGGGGAGCTGTGGTTGTGGTAGTTGTTGGAGGAGCTGTGGTGGTGGTAGTTGTTGGAGGAGCTGTGGTGGTGGTTGTTGGAGGAGCTGTAGTTGTTGTTGGAGGAGCTGTAGTTATGGTAGTTGTTGGAGGAGCTGTAGTTGTGGTAGTTGTTGGAGGAGCTGTGGTTGTGGTAGTTGTTGGAGGAGCTGTGGTGGTAGTTGTTGTTGGAGGAGCTGTAGTTATGGTAGATGTTGGAGGAGCTGTAGTTGTGGTAGTTGTTGGAGGAGCTTTGGTTGTGGTAGTTGTTGGAGGAGCTGTAGTTGTGGTAGTTGTTGGAGGAGCTGTAGTTGTGGTAGTTGTTGGAGCTGTGGTGGTGGTAGTTGTTGGAGGAGCTGTGGTGGTGGTAGTTGTTGGAGGAGCTGTAGTTGTGGTGGTTGTTGGAGGAGCCGTGGGGGTGGTAGTTGTTGGAGGAGCTGTAGTTGTGGTAGTTGTTGGAGGAGCTGTGGTGGTGGTAGTTGTTAGAGGAGCTGTAGTTGTGGTGGTTGTTGGAGGAGCTGTGGTTGTGGTTGTTGTTGGAGGAGCTGTGGTGGTGGTTGTTGGAGGAGCTGTGGTGGTAGTTGTTGTTGGAGGAGCTGTAGTTGTGGTAGTTGTTGGAGGAGCTGTGGTGGTGGTGGTTGTTGGAGGAGCTGTGGTGGTGGTAGTTGTTGGAGGAGCTGTAGTTGTGGTAGTTGTTGGGGGAGCTGTGGTTGTGGTAGTTGTTGGAGGAGCTGTGGTGGTGGTAGTTGTTGGAGGAGCTGTGGTGGTGGTTGTTGGAGGAGCTGTGGTGGTAGTTGTTGTTGGAGGAGCTGTAGTTATGGTAGTTGTTGGAGGAGCTGTAGTTGTGGTAGTTGTTGGAGGAGCTGTGGTTGTGGTAGTTGTTGGAGGAGCTGTAGTTGTGGTAGTTGTTGGAGGAGCTGTAGTTGTGGTAGTTGTTGGAGCTGTGGTGGTGGTAGTTGTTGGAGGAGCTGTGGTGGTGGTAGTTGTTGGAGGAGCTGTAGTTGTGGTGGTTGTTGGAGGAGCCGTGGGGGTGGTAGTTGTTGGAGGAGCTGTAGTTGTGGTAGTTGTTGGAGGAGCTGTGGTGGTGGTAGTTGTTAGAGGAGCTGTAGTTGTGGTGGTTGTTGGAGGAGCTGTGGTTGTGGTTGTTGGAGGAGCTGTAGTTGTGGTTGTTGGAGGAGCTGTGGTTGTGGTTGTTGGAGGAGCTGTAGTTGTGGTTGTTGGAGGAGCTGTGGTTGTGGTTGTTGGAGGAGCTGTAGTTGTGGTTGTTGGAGGACCACCACCGGTTGTCGTTGGAGCGGTGGTGATTGTCATTGTAGGCGCTGTACTTGATTGTGCTGTAGAAGAAAATTTGTAATTTGTGAATAGAGGTTTAGTAGTAGTGGTAGTGGTTGTGGTTGTAGTAGGTGGTAATTAAGCAGTACTAGCTTTCTTTACTTTTTTGAATTATTAAAAGAACTCCTAGTTTTAAGATTAGATTAGTAGATTTCAGTTCCAAGTTTCAAATTGATATGTGACTCAAAAGGTGATCTACCAAATTGTTGAGGAAACTACCCTGGTCTTACCATGTGTAAACTCTGGTCCATGATCATCTCCTACATGTACGTCTGGGTCTTACCATGTGTAAACTCTGGTCCATGATCATTTCTTACATGTACATCTGGTCTTACCATGTGTAAACTCTGGTCCATGATCATTTCCTACATGTACGTCTGGTCTTACCATGTGTAAACTCTGGTCCATGATCATTTCCTACATGTACGTCTGGTCTTACCATGTGTAAACTCTGGTCCATGATCATTTCCTACATGTACGTCTGGTCTTACCATGTGTAAACTCTGGTCCATGATCATTTCCTACATGTACGTCTGGGTCTGATCCTAGTGGCTGCAGTTTCCTCGGTTAAATCCTCTCCGACCAATCCGAGAGCGGGGGAGGCGGGGGTTGTAGGTCGGTGTTGGTGACGTAAAGAGTTTTTGCTGAATTTTCTGGTTTTAGTCCTGGATCTATTATAATATGTGGATGGAGTATTACAGCTTGGAGCAGAAGGACCATGTGCTCGGGGGATTCTCTCTACAGACTAAACTATACTAAGTTTACGTTACCCAGAAATGTTCCCCATAGAACTCAGTGTAAACTAAAACAGCTCGACCTCAGAGAACCTGACAGAGAACCTGACAGAGAACCTGATAGAGAACCTACAGCTTTCATAAAGGAGGATTTTGTGGGGATTTTAGTGTCTCTTGTCATCCTGACCTTTTGTTCTTCTTAAATCCTTCGGTTTTCTTTAAATCCACACTTTAGTGCCACAAACTCTGCTCGTCTGGCTCTCGCTCTAACTCCCGCTCTGATTGGTCCGTGCAAGGACCAGACGATGGGCGAGTTACGCTAATCTTTTGATCCCCGTGGAGGTGCATTAGCCACTGAGCACAAACCACTGATTTGAATAGGACGCCATCTTGGAACGCCGGGGCTTGGTTGTAGTTTGTCGGAGAATGCGATAATAATAATAATCTGTTCTGGTTCAATCCAAATATCAACAAACTGAAGCCGGAGCAAGAGGAATGTTTAGTAAATGTTATTGAGGCAAAGATGTTGTGGCTCTACTCCCCACGGGCTCTGTTAGCAAAGGCAAAGGAGATGGCTAAAGCTAGGCTACATGCTAAAGCTAGGCTAAATGCCTCACTCACTCGGGCTCATTACATACGTCACAGTAAACTCAGATCCAATGGTTTCAATCTACAAAAGGAGTTAGCCCCTCCCACCTGTTAACGGAGACAATGGAGCTTAGTACCAAATGAAATGAGTACGATGGTATGGTAAGACCAGGGTATGAGGAAACGATTAACAGGTTAAAATCTAAATTTAAAGGGTTCTTTGAAGACATTTATAAAGTTATTGTTTTTGTCTTTTCTTATAGAGAAACATTTCATATTTAAGTTAAAGATCTTTAAATACTTCCAGCTTTAATGTTGAGAACCGTCACAGTTTAGAAGAAAAGAAAAGCACCAGAAAAGTTTATGCTTTTTCATTGGAAAGAAATTCAGATTCTTTAGGAAATCTTTACTTTTGTTTGGTTTTATTTGTGGTGAATGTAAAAGTCTGGTTTTGTATTTTGTTTGTCCTGTTTTTCTTCTTAATAAACGCTGCAAAAATGATCAAATATGAGGTAATAGATGGATCCAGTGTTTTTTGTCTTAATCTGACACATTCTGACTGTGTTAAAAAGATTCTCCGATGGGACAAAGACAAGACTGATTTCAAGAATTCCAGGGGAGACATTTCTATCTTTTTATTGATAAATCTTGTTTTAAGGCTCAGTCAGAACAAGCCCAAATTAAGTTACATTTTGGAAAATGTTAGCAATTTGTGACTTTTTTTTGCAGTATGTGATTATTTTGATTATTGCAATTCTTATACTATTAGGTTTTAAAAGCATAATCTTTTTCACTATTTTTGTGATAAGTTGCCGCCTGTTGTCAGTTGCCCCGGTGCAGCTGTGGCTATAGCAGCCCACACACCAACAGTGCATCAATAAAGCTAAAAGTAAAGACGTGTTTTTACCTTTCTGAAAGGCTGTGACGTTGACCGCAGGATCCAGACCAAGCAGCTGGCCTTTCAGGAACTGTAAGAGAAACATTTGTTGACGGAGAGTGTGAGGGTGGAGGAGGAGCGGAGTGTGTGTGCAGGAGTGGCAGGGTGGAGGAGGTCAGATAAGTACGGAGGAGCCAGGTTGTGAGGTGCTTTGAAAGTGGTGAGGAGTATTTTTAAGTTGATGTGTTGTTTGACAGGAAGCCAGTGATGTGGGGGTGATGAGGTCAGCTGTAGGGGTCCGGGTGATGTGGGGGTGATGAGGTCAGCTGTAGGGGTCCGGGTGATGTGGGGGTGATGAGGTCAGCTGTAGGGGTCCGGGTGATGTGGGGGTGATGAGGTCAGCTGTAGGGGTCCGGGTGATGTGGGGATGATGAGGTCAGCTGTAGGGGTCCGGGTGATGTGGGGGTGATGAGGTCAGCTGTAGGGGTCCGGGTGATGTGGGGGTGATGAGGTCAGTTGTAGGGGTCCGGGTGATGTGGGGGTGATGAGGTCAGCTGTAGGGGTCCGGGTGATGTGGGGGTGATGAGGTCAGCTGTAGGGGTCCGGGTGATGTGGGGGTGATGAGGTCAGTTGTAGGGGTCCGGGTGATGTGGGGGTGATGAGGTCAGCTGTAGGGGTCCGGGTGATGTGGGGGTGATGAGGTCAGCTGTAGGGGTCCGGGTGATGTGGGGGTGATGAGGTCAGCTGTAGGGGTCCGGGTGATGTGGGGGTGATGTGGTCAGCTGTAGGGGTCCGGGTGATGTGGGGGTGATGTGGTCAGCTGTAGGGGTCCGGGTGATGTGGGGGTGATGAGGTCAGCTGTAGGGGTCCGGGTGATGTGGTGGTAATGAGGTCAGCTGTAGGGGTCCGGGTGATGTGGGGGTGATGAGGTCAGCTGTAGGGGTCCGGGTGATGTGGGGGTGATGAGGTCAGCTGTAGGGGTCCGGGTGATGTGGGGGTGATGAGGTCAGCTGTAGGGGTCCGGGTGATGTGGTGGTGATGTGGTCAGCTGTAGGGGTCCGGGTGATGTGGGGGTGATGAGGTCAGTTGTAGGGGTCCGGGTGATGTGGGGGTGATGAGGTCAGCTGTAGGGGTCCGGGTGATGTGGGGGTGATGAGGTCAGCTGTAGGGGTCCGGGTGATGTGGGGGTGATGAGGTCAGCTGTAGGGGTCCGGGTGATGTGGGGGTGATGAGGTCAGCTGTAGGGGTCCGGGTGATGTGGGGGTGATGTGGTCAGCTGTAGGGGTCCGGGTGATGTGGGGGTGATGTGGTCAGCTGTAGGGGTCCGGGTGATGTGGGGGTGATGAGGTCAGCTGTAGGGGTCCGGGTGATGTGGGGATGATGAGGTCAGCTGTAGGGGTCCGGGTGATGTGGGGGTGATGTGGTCAGCTGTAGGGGTCCGGGTGATGTGGGGGTGATGTGGTCAGCTGTAGGGGTCCGGGTGATGTGGGGGTGATGAGGTCAGCTGTAGGGGTCCGGGTGATGTGGGGATGATGAGGTCAGCTGTAGGGGTCCGGGTGATGTGGGGGTGATGAGGTCAGCTGTAGGGGTCCGGGTGATGTGGGGGTGATGTGGTCAGCTGTAGGGGTCCGGGTGATGTGGGGGTGATGAGGTCAGCTGTAGGGGTCCGGGTGATGTGGGGGTGATGTGGTCAGCTGTAGGGGTCCGGGTGATGTGGTGGTGATGAGGTCAGCTGTAGGGGTCCGGGTGATGTGGGGATGATGAGGTCAGCTGTAGGGGTCCGGGTGATGTGGGGGTGATGAGGTCAGCTGTAGGGGTCCGGGTGATGTGGGGGTGATGTGGTCAGCTGTAGGGGTCCGGGTGATGTGGGGGTGATGAGGTCAGCTGTAGGGGTCCGGGTGATGTGGGGGTGATGTGGTCAGCTGTAGGGGTCCGGGTGATGTGGTGGTGATGAGGTCAGCTGTAGGGGTCCGGGTGATGTGGGGGTGATGTGGTCAGCTGTAGGGGTCCGGGTGATGTGGTGGTGATGAGGTCAGCTGTAGGGGTCCGGGTGATGTGGGGGTGATGAGGTCAGCTGTAGGGGTCCGGGTGATGATGCGAGCTGCAGTTTCTGGAGGGATTTGTTGGGGAGGCCGAAGAGAAGTGAGTTGCAGTAGTCAATCCTAGAGGTGACGAGGCTGTGGACGAGGATAGAGGTGGTGTGTGGGGGTGAGAGAGGGGCGGAGACGAGGATGTCTCCGCCCCTCGAGGAGGGGAGGACAGATGTGTTATGGATGGGGAGGGGGGGACAGATGTGTTATGGATGGGGAGGGGAGGACAGATGTGTTATAGATGGGGAGGGGGGGACAGATGTGTTATGGATGGGGAGGGGAGGACAGATGTGTTATGGATGGGGAGGGGGGACAGATGTGTTATGGATGGGGAGGGGGGGACAGATGTGTTATAGATGGGGAGGGGAGGACAGATGTGTTATGGATGGGGAGGGGGGACAGATGTGTTATGGATGGGGAGGGGGGGACAGATGTGTTATGGATGGGGAGGGGGGGACAGGTGTGTTATGGATGGGGAGGGGAGGACAGATGTGTTATAGATGGGGAGGGGGGGACAGATGTGTTATGGATGGGGAGGGGAGGACAGATGTGTTATAGATGGGGAGGGGGGGACAGATGTGTTATGGATGGGGAGGGGAGGACAGATGTGTTATAGATGGGGAGGGGGGACAGATGTGTTATGGATGGGGAGGGGGGGACAGATGTGTTATAGATGGGGAGGGGAGGACAGATGTGTTATGGATGGGGAGGGGGGACAGATGTGTTATGGATGGGGAGGGGGGGACAGATGTGTTATGGATGGGGAGGGGGGGACAGGTGTGTTATGGATGGGGAGGGGGGACAGATGTGTTATGGATGGAGATAGAGAAGCTGTTAGATTTGGAGAGAGTGGAGGGGATGCCTATGAGAAGGACTTCAGTTTTAGAGCTGTTGAGTTTGAGGAAATTAGGATGTAGTCGTTGGTCCAGGTGTAGGTAAAATGAAGACTCACCTGTTCGATGAGTTCAGTAATTCTTTCTTGGCTGAGGTTTGCAGGCGCCGAGATCCGCATCTGAACATGAGCGAGAATGTTCTCTCCTGTAAAAGAGAAGAAGATGATCACCACAACTGCCACATGTTCGTGACCAGAAAGATACCTTTGGTTGGAGGATCAGTTGTGGTTGTTGTCGGAGGCTCAGTTGTGGTTGTAGTTGGAGGCTCAGTTGTGGTTGTTGTAGTCGGAGGCTCAGTTGTGGTTGTTGTCGGAGGCTCAGTTGTGGTTGTTGTCGGAGGCTCAGTTGTGGTTGTAGTCGGAGGCTCAGTAGTGGTTGTTGTCGGAGGCTCAGTTGTGGTTGTTGTCGGAGGCTCAGTTGTGGTTGTAGTCGGAGGCTCAGTTGTGGTTGTTGTCGGAGGCTCAGTTGTGGTTGTAGTCGGAGGCTCAGTAGTGGTTGTTGTCGGAGGCTCAGTTGTGGTTGTAGTCGGAGCCTCAGTTGTGGTTGTTGTCGGAGGCTCAGTTGTGGTTGTTGTCGGAGGCTCAGTTGTGGTTGTAGTCGGAGCCTCAGTTGTGGTTGTTGTAGTCGGAGGCTCAGTTGTGGTTGTTGTCGGAGGCTCAGTTGTGGTTGTTGTCGGAGGCTAAGTTGTGGTTGTAGTCGGAGGCTCAGTTGTGGTTGTTGTAGTCGGAGGCTCAGTTGTAGTTGTTGTCGGAGGCTCAGTTGTGGTTGTTGTCGGAGGCTCAGTTGTGGTTGTAGTCGGAGGCTCAGTTGTGGTTGTTGTAGTCGGAGGCTCAGTTGTGCTTGTTGTCGGAGGCTCAGTTGTGGTTGTTGTCGGAGGCTCAGTTGTGGTTGTAGTCGGAGGCTCAGTAGTGGTTGTTGTCGGAGGCTCAGTTGTGGTTGTAGTCGGAGCCTCAGTTGTGGTTGTTGTCGGAGGCTCAGTTGTGGTTGTTGTCGGAGGCTCAGTTGTGGTTGTAGTCGGAGCCTCAGTTGTGGTTGTTGTAGTCGGAGGCTCAGTTGTGGTTGTTGTCGGAGGCTCAGTTGTGGTTGTTGTCGGAGGCTAAGTTGTGGTTGTAGTCGGAGGCTCAGTTGTGGTTGTTGTAGTCGGAGGCTCAGTTGTAGTTGTTGTCGGAGGCTCAGTTGTGGTTGTTGTCGGAGGCTCAGTTGTGGTTGTTGTCGGAGGCTCAGTTGTGGTTGTTGTCGGAGGCTCAGTTGTGGTTGTTGTCGGAGGCCTGGTTGTGGTTGTTGTAGTCGGAGGCCCAGTTGTGGTTGTAGTTGGACGCTCGGTTGTGGTTGTTGTAGTCGGAGGCTCAGTTGTGGTTGTAGTCGGAGGCTCAGTTGTGGTTGTTGTCGGAGGCTCGGTTGTGGTTGTAGTCGGAGGCTCGGTTGTGGTTGTTGTAGTCGGAGGCTCGGTTGTGGTTGTTGTAGTCGGAGGCTCAGTTGTGGTTGTAGTCGGAGGCTCAGTTGTGGTTGTTGTCGGAGGCTCGGTTGTGGTTGTTGTAGTCGGAGGCTCAGTTATGGTTGTTGTCGGAGGCCTGGTTGTGGTTGTTGTAGTCGGAGGCCCAGTTGTGGTTGTAGTTGGACGCTCGGTTGTGGTTGTTGTAGTCGGAGGCTCAGTTGTGGTTGTTGTTGGAGGCTCAGTTGTGGTTGTTGTAGTCGGGGGCTTGGTTGTGGTTGTTGTCGGAGGCTCAGTTGTGGTTGTTGTCGGAGGCTCAGTTGTGGTTGTAGTCGGAGGCTCGGTTGTGGTTGTTGTAGTCGGAGGCTCAGTTGTGGTTGTTGTCGGAGGCTCAGTTGTGGTTGTTGTCGGAGGCTCGGTTGTGGTTGTTGTAGTCGGAGGCTCAGTTGTGGTTGTTGTCGGAGGCTCAGTTGTGGTTGTTGTCGGAGGCTCGGTTGTGGTTGTTGTAGTCGGAGGCTCAGTTGTGGTTGTTGTCGGAGGCCTGGTTGTGGTTGTTGTAGTCGGAGGCCCAGTTGTGGTTGTAGTTGGACGCTCGGTTGTGGTTGTTGTAGTCGGAGGCTCAGTTGTGGTTGTAGTCGGAGGCTCAGTTGTGGTTGTTGTCGGAGGCTCGGTTGTGGTTGTAGTCGGAGGCTCAGTTGTGGTTGTTGTAGTCGGGGGCTTGGTTGTGGTTGTTGTCGGAGGCTCAGTTGTGGTTGTTGTCGGAGGCTCAGTTGTGGTTGTAGTCGGAGGCTCGGGTGTTGTTGTTGTAGTCGGAGGCTCAGTTGTGGTTGTTGTCGGAGGCTCAGTTGTGGTTGTTGTCGGAGGCTCGGTTGTGGTTGTTGTAGTCGGAGGCTCAGTTGTGGTTGTTGTCGGAGGCCTGGTTGTGGTTGTTGTAGTCGGAGGCCCAGTTGTGGTTGTAGTTGGACGCTCGGTTGTGGTTGTTGTAGTCGGAGGCTCAGTTGTGGTTGTAGTCGGAGGCTCAGTTGTGGTTGTTGTCGGAGGCTCGGTTGTGGTTGTAGTCGGAGGCTCGGTTGTGGTTGTTGTAGTCGGAGGCTTGGTTGTGGGTTGTTGTAGTCGGAGGCTCAGTTGTGGTTGTAGTCGGAGGCTCAGTTGTGGTTGTTGTCGGAGGCTCGGTTGTGGTTGTTGTAGTCGGAGGCTCAGTTATGGTTGTTGTCGGAGGCCTGGTTGTGGTTGTTGTAGTCGGAGGCCCAGTTGTGGTTGTAGTTGGACGCTCGGTTGTGGTTGTTGTAGTCGGAGGCTCAGTTGTGGTTGTTGTTGGAGGCTCAGTTGTGGTTGTTGTAGTCGGGGGCTTGGTTGTGGTTGTTGTCGGAGGCTCAGTTGTGGTTGTTGTCGGAGGCTCGGTTGTGGTTGTAGTCGGAGGCTCGGTTGTGGTTGTTGTAGTCGGAGGCTCAGTTGTGGTTGTTGTCGGAGGCTCAGTTGTGGTTGTTGTCGGAGGCTCGGTTGTGGTTGTTGTAGTCGGAGGCTCAGTTATGGTTGTTGTCGGAGGCCTGGTTGTGGTTGTTGTAGTCGGAGGCCCAGTTGTGGTTGTAGTTGGACGCTCGGTTGTGGTTGTTGTAGTCGGAGGCTCAGTTGTGGTTGTTGTCGGAGGCCTGGTTGTGGTTGTTGTAGTCGGAGGCCCAGTTGTGGTTGTAGTCGGAGGCTCGGTTGTGGTTGTTGTAGTCGGAGGCTCAGTTGTGGTTGTTGTCGGAGGCTCAGTTGTGGTTGTTGTCGGAGGCTCGGTTGTGGTTGTTGTAGTCGGAGGCTCAGTTATGGTTGTTGTCGGAGGCCTGGTTGTGGTTGTTGTAGTCGGAGGCCCAGTTGTGGTTGTAGTTGGACGCTCGGTTGTGGTTGTTGTAGTCGGAGGCTCAGTTGTGGTTGTAGTCGGAGGCTCGGTTGTGGTTGTAGTCGGAGGCTCGGTTGTGGTTGTAGTCGGAGGCTCGGTTGTGGTTGTTGTAGTCGGAGGCTCAGTTGTGGTTGTAGTCGGAGGCTCAGTTGTGGTTGTAGTCGGAGGCTCGGTTGTGGTTGTAGTCGGAGGCTCAGTTGTGGTTGTTGTCGGAGGCTCAGTTGTGGTTATTGTCGGAGGCTCAGTTGTGGTTGTTGTCGGAGGCCTGGTTGTGGTTGTTGTAGTCGGAGGCTCAGTTGTGGTTGTTGTCGGAGGCTCAGTTGTGGTTGTTGTCGGAGGCTCGGTTGTGGTTGTTGTAGTCGGAGGCCTGGTTGTGGTTGTTGTCGGAGGCCTGGTTGTGGTTGTTGTAGTCGGATGCCCAGTTGTGGTTGTAGTTGGAGGCTCGGTTGTGGTTGTTGTAGTCGGAGGCTCAGTTGTGGTTGTAGTCGGAGGCTCGGTTGTGGTTGTAGTCGGAGGCTCAGTTGTGGTTGTTGTCGGAGGCCTGGTTGTGGTTGTTGTAGTCGGAGGCCCAGTTGTGGTTGTAGTTGGAGGCTCGGTTGTGGTTGTTGTAGTCGGAGGCTCAGTTGTGGTTGTAGTCGGAGGCTCAGTTGTGGTTGTAGTCGGAGGCTCGGTTGTGGTTGTAGTCGGAGGCTCAGTTGTGGTTGTTGTCGGAGACCTGGTTGTGGTTGTTGTAGTCGGATGCCCAGTTGTGGTTGTAGTTGGAGGCTCGGTTGTGGTTGTTGTAGTCGGAGGCTCAGTTGTGGTTGTTGTCGGAGGCTCAGTTGTGGTTGTTGTCGGAGGCTCGGTTGTGGTTGTTGTAGTCGGAGGCTCAGTTGTGGTTGTTGTCGGAGGCCTGGCTAAATGCTAAATGCCTCACTCACTCGGGCTCATTACATACATCACAGTAAACTCAGATCCAATGGTTTCAATCTACAAAAGGAGTTAGCCCCTCCCACCTGTTCACGGAGACAATGGAGCTTAGTACCAAATGAAATGAGTACGATGGTATGGTAAGACCAGGCTATGAGGAAACCATTAACGGGTTAAAATCTAAATTTAAAGGGTTCTTTGAATACATTTATAAAGTTATTGTTTTTGTCTTTTCTTATAGAGAAACATTTCATATTTAAGTTAAAGATCTTTAAATACTTCCAGCTTTAATGTTGAGAACCGTCACAGTTTAGAAGAAAAGAAAAGCACCAGAAAAGTGTATGCTTTTTCATTGGAAATAAATTCAGATTCTTTAGGAAATCTTTACTTTTGTTTGGTTTTATTTGTGGTGAATGTAAAAGTCTGGTTTTGTATTTTGTTTGTCCTGTTTTTCTTCTTAATAAACGCTGCAAAAATGATTAAATATGAGGTAATAGATGGATCCAGTGTTTTTTGTCTTAATCTGACACATTCTGACTGTGTTAAAAAGATTCTCCGATGGGACAAAGACATTTAGTCTGATTTCAAGACTGTATTTTTTAAGGGAGACATTTCTGTATCTTTTTATTGACATCTTGTTTTGAATGGGCCCAAATTAAATTACATTTCTGCAAATTAGGACTTTTTTCCAGTCTTGATTGTATTAGTTCTGATAAATTCTTTTTCCCTATTTTTGTGATAAGTTGCCGCCTGTTGTCAGTTGCCCCGGTGCAGCTGTGGCTATAGAAGCCCACACACCGTCAGTGCATCAATAAAGCTAAAAGTAAAGAAGTGTTTTTACCTTTTCCCAGAGTCACCGAGGACAATCCCAGTAACAACATCAAACAAACGTCCATCTTGTCCAAGCAGACGACTGTGTGCGTCTGTGTGCGTCTCTGTGTGCGTCTGTGTGCGTCTGTGTCCGTCTGTGTGCGTCTGTGTGCTCCGCGTACAAGGATCTGTTTCCTCTGGACACAAGGCAAGGATCTTTTATAAAAACATGCTCCACCTTTGTATTGATGGTGTCAAACCAGTTTGACATATTCAAGCTTGATTACTGTAAACCTCAGGAGTTATGCACCAGTCATGTACCAGTCATGCACCAGTTATGCACCAGTCATGTACCAGTCATGCACCAGTCATGTACCAGTTATGCACCAGTCATGTACCAGTCATGTACCAGTCATGCACCAGTCATGCACCAGTTATGCACCAGTCATGTACCAGTCATGCACCAGTCATGTACCAGTTATGCACCAGTCATGTACCAGTCATGTACCAGTTATGTACCAGTGTCAGCCAATACAAAAGAAAGGGAAAGTCCAGGGACCAGTTGTGCTCATGGACTGAAGACCAGAGGGACTAAACAGACACATTAATCCTCCACTACAACATAAGTGTGTGAGGATCTTTTTATATCAATTTATTTATAAATGGTAACAACAGTTTGGCACTTTACAGCCGCAGCCGCCCCACTGTGGCACCAGGTGTTCCCAGAGGTCTCCCATCTCAGGACTACCCTACTTAGCTTCAAAGGTCTGACAGGATCTGGCTTTCACCTGCATCTGGCGCCACCTACATGACACTGATGAGATTACTGCGAAAGAAACTTTCTCCTGTTTAAGTTTCCCTGCTCTCCTCGTGTGTGTGTCTGTGTGTGTGCGCAGGTGCGTGCACGTGT